TTAATCAATATATTGTATTTTTTATTTTTTTTCTATTATCTTGTTTGTATTAATTCATTTATTATATCATTAGATATTTGTTTCAAATATATTTTAAAATATTATAATTGATTAATTTTGCAACATACCCTTTTTGGTTATTTAACATTCTCATCAGCTAGTTTGGTCCAAACATAATTTATTTATCAGTTAACTTATCAACTAGTTTGACAAACACAACCTTAATAAATACATCATAGTTTTAAAGCAAAATTCATACTTCATAGGTGAAAACTTGATTTATTGGCATTTTGGTTCCACTATTGAAAATTTCACTAAACCTTAAGGACCTAAGTTGGAGTTTACTCTATATTTAAATTAATTAAAAAAATTGTACATATTTTCATATAAATTATAAGGATTCTTTTAAAATAATTATTTTTTAATAAATTCACTTTTTTAATTTTTATGGTACATTTTAAAATAAGTTTTGGTACATATTCTACTACAACTATAACCCTCTTAAGCTATATTTGTATCAATTGTAATATATTAGTTTATATAAATAAAAATATAAATGATATAAATTTAAAATGATGAAACTGCACATTTTTTTAAAAATATATGAAAAAGTAATAGGGGTCGTTTACAACATTTCTAATCGGGTAAGCGCTTACCAAGTCACTTTTTTTTACCAGATGGGTATGGCAATGATCAATAATCTTATCTGGTAAGAGGGAAAGCAAAGACCGAGAGTCTTACCCAGTAAGTGACTGGGACAAATTTTACCATGGTTAACGCTTACCGGGTAAATTGTTACATACAATGTCGTTTGGTAGACTATAATCTTATCCGGTAAGTAAGCAATATAGTTGAATTTTAGACAGCTTTTTTTTATCATAATAACAATATGTCGAGGTTTTTAAGCTGTTTAAATTATCGATAATGTAACATAAAATATGTGAAAAAAAGTTGAGTGTGGATGCTTATCAGTTATCAATTTACCGTGTTTTAATTTGATAACCATATCATTTAATAATTAGTACTTAAAATATTTTTAATTTATGTTATTAAAGTATCTCTAACGATAATGCTAAACATGAATTTTGGAGATTTTGAACGTTTTTACTTCTGCGGATTAGGATTGTCAATGAACCAGACATTCACTGAACTGTAACATCCTCATTTTCATCATGAATTGTGTTACATCATTTAAATAACAATAAATAACTCCAAAATATAGCGGCTAATAAAACCTTATTACAACATAAGTCTTACAATAATTTAACCGTAATCAATATCTCAAAACTAACTTGTCCCATACCAGGTTTACATTACATATAAATTCAATTAAAATACCAAGCATTCCATAAATCCTAACTTGAATAATGTAGCTTTCTTTCCTACGCAAAACATTTGCCCTTGTTCGTTCTTGAACTTCCAGCTCATGAGATGCATACTAATAACTAGTTTTATAAAGTTTAGTGAGTTCATGGTTTTTTTGCACAATCATACATATCTCATCGTGCATAAAATAAACAATACCCCCAAATAAAATAATATGTACTTTTGTTTCAAACCCTTTTTAATAATAATGATATCTCTTAATTTTTCGTTGGGTTAAGGTCTTACCATCATCGCCACTTGTCCGGGTTACATGGCTATCCCTTATCCGATCACCCATCCCTAGGTTGTGTCATCTCTTATAAATTTTGACCATTTCCCATACCCGACAAAAATATCAACCCGTTTATACACATGCTAATTAATGTTTAAAAACACGTAAACAAATAGCATGCAACCCACAATAATAATTCAAATACATGTAATAAACCCATAAACATGTACATACAATAAATAACGTAATGCTCAAATAATTTGTACATAAGCATGCATTTCAATTAAAGTCTCGTCATTAATAGTTCTGCTTAGCTAAACCTCGTTCCTAGGGGTGAGCATAGGCGGGTACCCGCCCTTTTTGACAGGAACCGAAACCGGAACCGGAACCGGCGGTTCTTGAAATATTGGAACCGGAACCGGTTAGAGCGGTTCTTAAATTTTTGGCCTAAAATATTAAAATTTTGTTATTTAGAAATAAAAAATAAAACGTTGCCAAAACACTAAATAAATAAGCAAGAATACAAATTATATATAATAATGGTTACAAATATTGTTTAACGATTTACAAACCATAATAGACTAATAGAAAATGTTCAAAGTTTAACGATTACATACTATAATGATATTTCAAAGTTTAACGATTACATACTATGAATCCAAGTGAACACATAATTTTAAAAAATACGAATTATTCTATATGAAGAATTTAGATGAAAAATGAAGATGACGGCGTGCTTTCAAGATGTAAACCTAATATAAATTTGGTATTAAAAAATAATTATTATTATTTTATTTAAAAATACCGGGTACCCGGCGGGTAACGGTTCCGAAAAATTGAGAACCGGAACCATTCTCAATCGGTTCCGTATTTTAGGAACCGGAACCGGAACTACTCATATCGGTTCCGGTTTCGGAACTGGCGGTTCCAAGGCGGTTCCGGTTCCATAGCCGAATACCCGGTTCCGCTGCTCACACCCTACTCGTTCCTGAGTAGTATCTTATAACATATAACTATATTTCCATAATAGAGTATTGACTTTTCCCAAAAAATCAACCCGGAAGTCGAATGGGTCAACCCTTGGGTTGGCATGGTCAACGGGTCAATCTTAAGCATTTATCGTCGCTCTGTACTCCCTCCCCAATGGAATTTTTCACATCCAAAATAAATTATGACGTATTAAACCCAACATTTATATATATATGATTCTCGTTATAAAAACGTCCGAGCCCACAATTATCTAGTCACAATTCCCGAATTAAGTTATTAATTTTTTTCTTACAACTTAAATATGGAAATCCAATTAATTAATATTTTTTACATTAATGTCCAAATATTGACCAACTTAATTGAAACATTCCGATTAATCCAAGTAAATACCGATTTTATCAAAACAACTTGAGTCTAACCAAACTCGACCGACACAAGTCATGCACGACCCAACCTGGTCTAGCGTCGGCCGGCTCAACTCGACGTCCGACCCAACCTGGTCGCACCCTTGGTCTTGGTGCAGCTATCGTGAACGACCTTCGTTTGAGGTTGTTTTTCACCAAAATTTTTACAAAATCTTATATACACTAATAATTCCAACACGTACCCAAAATTTACAGTCCCTAAGGTTCAATATTAAACTCGTATTTTGAGTTTTTGTACCCGAATCTCGTTGAGCCGCCGCCACAATAGCTTATAGCCTAAACCCGCCCGACGTACAGGCCACCATAGTCGACGAGACTTGTACCAACAGAAAGGTGATTGAAAAACGAAGCCAACCATATATTGTACATCAATTTTGGTTGAGTGTTTTACCTCCTATCTTCGTTTTTGTGTGAAATGACCCTATGCCGCTCCAAACTCGATATCTCTCTCGTTTCTTGATGAAATCCCGAAATTCCGAAGTCGTTTACTCCTTACACCTTTAGGAACGTCTCCACAAAAATTCAACCAAAATTTTCAATTTAGATGGCGTCAAGCCGTCTCTATAATAAGAAAAATGTGATTTGGGAACTGATTTCCCAAATCTCAATCATTGCCAAATTAATTTTATACTTTTGGCGGAACTAGTTCCTTTTGTTTTTCTTTTTGCATTTTCATCCCAAGTCAATAAAATACAAAATGTTTTATTTCATTTTTTATTAATTTTATTTATTGCAATAAAATTATATTTTTTAGTATCGTCGATTTAATTTTGTATGTCGTTTACTCTTTAAATATTAACCCTCAACATTTATTTATTTTACAAATCATAAATTTTAGAGTGTTACAACTGAACCGCTCGTGAACAATTTGACGAGAAGTTTGTTTGTTTAATAAATGAACGAGCACAAACACATTTATTTGTTCGTTTAGTTACCTGGACGAACATGAATTATGGTCATGTTTGTTCATATACATTTGTTTATATTATGAACTAATATGTAAAAATATTAATTAAATTAAGTTTATATAATTCTTTTTATCCCTTCTAAGTTTATCCAGTTTTTTAGTTTGTTATATTATTTATGGGGAACAAAATGATGAGTAATCGTGGTTGTTTTTTGTTCATTTGTGTTCGTTAATGTTCATTCATTTAGGTTGTTTGATAGTTGCTGAATGGTTTGATACAAAATGATTAATAGACTATCATATGATATAGTGTAAAATAAACTATAATTGTTTACAATGAAATTAGGGTGCTAAATGGTTAAGGGAGGTCCATGATGCAAAATCATTCAAAATATTTTAGAATCATTAAGCGGCAAAAAAAATGTTGTCAGACAAGATTCACCTCTTAACGATTCAGATGTTGTCTCTTGTTTGGCAATTGCTAAATGATTTAGTTCATAATGATTAAGTGGTCAAAATGATTAAGAGACTCTCAGATATAGTGCAAAATGAAATATAACTGTTTGGTAATTGTGTACAATGAAATTAGGACTCTTAATGGTTAAGGAAGATCCATGATACAAAATCATTAAGCGGATTTTAGAACCATTAAGAGACATTTTTTTTTTTTGTCAAACAAGATTCACTTTTAATGGAACTATTAATAGGTAAACAAACAACCCTTTAGCATCTTAACAAACAAACACATTTTCTTAATAGTAAACTATTAAGAAGTAAACAAACAACCATTAGCATCTTAACAAACAAACACATTTTCTTAACGACTGAACATAAACACAAAAATATCATACGTTTAGCGTTCGTATTAAAAAAATCATACGTTTAGCGTTCGTATTCATTTATTTCTTTGGTTAAATTAAACGAATGAGTACAAATAAACCTCTGTTCGTTCGATTATTTTACAATCCTAAGAGACTGTTTGGTAGTTGCTGAATGGTTTAATGTAAAATGATTATGAGACTTTTATGATGTAGTGTAATATGAAATATAATTTTTTTGTAATTGTTCAAAATGAATTTAGAGCGCTGAATGGTTAAGAGAGGCTAAAATACAAAATCATTTAGAGGGTTTTAAAATCATTAAGAGACATTTTTTTACCAAACAAAATTCATTTTTAAACAAACAATATCTAAAAAAAAATATTTTCTGCTTTTATTTGTATCGGAATTATAGTTCATGAAAAAAAAGAGACTGTTTGATGAAATCTGTGGGTGGTGTGACGTGGTGTACGGCTGAAAACAAGTCACGTGCTTGCTGGCTTGCCTTCGGGTCCTGTCACGTGATTACCTTATTTTTATAAAAACACTCCTATTTTTATCCACACTTTGTAAAGTTTAATGATGTTTAAGATTAAATTAATTCAAATGATTCATTAACGTACAATAAAACAACTAAATTTATTATATTCATCAACAATAATGTTATGTGAAAAACGGAGAAGATAGTTTCGTAAGTTTTACAATAGGTAGTAAATGAGTTCATATGTGAAAATGTATGATTTACATATGAACTAATTAACCGATTCACACATGAATTAATTAAGTGTTTCACATATAAACTCGTGGGTTCATATGTGAATGACATGTGGTCATATATGAACATGTTTGTCGTCTATGTGTAAAAGTTACGAAACTGTCCATCTATTTTCCGCATACCCATGCGATAAACTATCTAGTGTTTCATGCTCAAAGTCGTAAATGTTGACCAGATGAAGGGTATGATCACTTATTTACTTCTCAAATATTTATCATTTATCAAGTGAACATTTTCCCTAAGTCGATAAATATAAAAATAGATGTGCATATAATCTTCGACATTCTCTTTTGCAGTTCCATCAAACAATCGAAGTTGAATACAGATGTATACATGTTCGGTCCTAGAAAAACCAGTCATTTCAGTTAAAGCTGGGCAAAAAAGACCAGATCAGGCCTTAATCGATCTTTAACATATAAAATTTAAGATCAATCCATACTATCTTAACTGATCATTTTAAGATTTAAAAAGATAACAAATACATATATAAAAGATTGAAATGCACAATAATTTTAAAAAAATTCTTCAAGTTTTCATTTAACTGTAAACTAATTAACATAAATAAATGTAATTAAATACTTATTTGTTTTTTATTGCTACGATGTAAAGGGCTTGACATGAATGACCACGTAAAGAAGTCAATCAATTTGCAAGAACAGCCATAAGATTACAGAGTAAAGTCACATGTGATATAAAACGTCAAAAAACACGCAAACGGCTTATTCTACGCGACCAAGGCCACAGGAAAAAAAGTCACTTGCGGGTATGACCAGTCAATGCGACATGTTTTGTATCACTTGTGATTACGAGTTTGTATCACAGGTGGTTACATGTGACGTGGTCTTTCTTCACACTTCTTGTAAATTATCAGTCTTTGAATATGTGGCTGGAGTTGGGGATCATTTAGTCATGTATAGATGAAGCTGACCACATGGATTAATCTGTCTATATAAATTGAAATTGTTTTTCTCATGTACTTTATCATTCTATTCATTTGATAGTTTTTTATTGCAAAAAAGTAGTCGGACCTGTCAAGGATGATATAATTTGATGAGGTTATGATGTTTAATCTATTAAAAAAGTGACACCCATCATTCAAACAAAACCATATTGTAGCATATCACCAAGGACTTGATCGTTTGACTTGGATGAACACAAAAACCTCAAAAATCCCAATTTTAGTCTGCCCCAAAAACAGACGATTCCAAACTAAAACCATCGTAGAGTGAGACTGCGTGCAAATACGTCTATCACTCTTAACGTAATCAAGAAATCACAATCAGAGGCTGTTTCGATCAATCGAAGAGTGTTTCGCAAAGATATCCTAAAGGTATATGCTCTACCCTTTGATCAACTACTGTTTTCTTATTGATTTATTTGAATTACGGCAGTTCCAGATCTGGGGTTTTTAGAATCGAGAAGGTTCTTGATGCGATCTTCTTAATTCCATTTCGCATTCTCGTGTCCCCTTTGCTTACCAAGCTAACCGTTTTGATTTTTTAGCTTACGGGCACCTGTTTGTACAAATTAACCACTGAAAGTATGAAAATTTAGGTATTGGTGAAACTATTCATCCATAATTAGAAAGTGTGTATACGATGTTGAGCCCTAATTTTGATAATAGTCATGTTAATTATTTCGGTTGCTTGGTAATGGGTGGAAGCCAGCTCGATTGTGGGAGTTGATAGGTTTTATGCACATTTCTTTTTGGTAGAAAGAGAAAAAAGATGTAAATTGGTGTTTGATTCATCTGAAGCCTGCTGAACTTTCTTTTTATGAAATTGCATTCTAGCCCTAAAACTGTTACCTCATTGCAGTGTGGAACCAAACTGTCTGTTAATGATACACTTGAGCAAATGCAAGTTTATCAATAAATTTGTTTGTGCGCCACTTTTAGCAGCTGAGTTTGTTCTTTAAAACTTGGTCATGTTTTAACTTGCTAGAATTTTTGAAAGCTAAAGATGAATGATCAAGTTTCGCGAGTCATCAATTTAATTAATTTTGTTTCTAATTAATCTTACCCTAATCTTTCCTACATCATCAAGTTATGAAGGGACAAAGGGGCAACTAAAGGTAACGCTGAGAATATTCAAGTATACTCACAGCTTAATGAGCTTAGTGGTCTGTGCGGCTTATTCACTCAGCCATATAGGAGTGTTTCTTACAGCTTTATTGTTAAGCCATGAAGCTGGAATGGTAGATGGAATAAGGCAGGACCCCTCATTTGTCCCTGTTAAGCCCACCTCAAAAAAATTAATACCATAAATGCCCACAAAAAAAAAAAAAAAATTCAACCTTCTCTCTTAGCCTCCCTCAAACCTATTGGTCTCCCGTCCCTCATATAGACAAATTTATCCTGGCAAACAACTTAACCATACAGGAACTAATGGGAAAAAAGTAACAGCCCCTTAGAGCACCATTAATTCAATATATCATCTAACTAGGGATGAGAGGTTAAGCATCATTATATTACTAAAGATGACATGTCAAAAGTTAACGGAGCTCGCCCTTTTTTTAATCTATAGGTCTGTTGTAGAAGGATACACGTACATGGTGCATGTGTATATTAGAAAACTTTATAATTCGGTCCATTTGTAATAATAACAAAAAGGCACGCCTCAAGTTTGGGTTGATCTTTTTTTATATTCATAGGCACACTCCTATATTAAATACAAGATGTAAATTGGTTGATGTAGGATCAATTGGCAAGCACAATTGTAATATAGATTTAACAGAGATAATACATTAAATGCATATAATGTTGTTTCAACTGATAGTATTGTGCAATTTGTATCTTTTTAATATGTCGACTGTTTTTATTCAGTCATGTTTCTGTATTTTTGCTTAGATCAATGTTAGTTTGTTATTGATTTATTTTATCTTTTTGAAGGTTCTTAGCTCATTGAACTCTTCTTGTAGTATCTCAAGTTGGTAATACAGTCTTTCTCTTGTGGGGATTGGACCTATCATCTCCAACATTGTTCATCAAATCTGAGCAGTTGTAACTTTTACCACCGAAGTTTTATTTCTGTATTGACAGAATTTATGGTCATGTATAAACGGTCTAGTTGTTGCCATGGTTGTTCATAAGCAGGCTACCATAGTACCAGCAACACAGAGTTAATCAAGCCTGTGCAATTGTAGTTGGTCTCTAATAACACTCCATCTCGTTCGATACAGTTTATAGCTCATGAATAAACTGTATCGTTGGCGCTATGGTCATCTATAAGCAGATATTCTATTTGATCTTGTAGGTCTGAGAGTGAGTTACCCCCATTTCATTCAGTTTTCATGGTATTTTGAAATCAAGATTTGTCACCATTAATTTTTAGTTTTGAAAGAGGCCAATATAGATAGTTTGTATGATGGAACCATCAAAACCCGACAACTATGTTCAGTACAACTCAGTCCAATCTGAGAATAGCGACTCTGCACCTTCATCGCAGAGCTTCCTAAATGCAAACACTAGACCTGCTTCAGTAAAACCCGTGTTGAATTATTCCATCCGGACAGGTGAAGAGTTTGCCCTAGAATTTATACGGGATCGGGTGAATCCTAGGATGCCATTCGTTCCATATCCTGCAGGGGATTCTAATCTAACGACAGGCTACATGGAACTGAAGGGTATTTTAGGCATCAGTCATACTGGGTCCGAGAGTGGGTCTGATATTTCCATGCTCAATATTGTAGAACGAGGTTCAAAGGATCACGAGCATAATTCTTCTCTATATGAAGGCACAAGTAACTTTGGATCTGTGTCATCAATGCCTCAACCGTCATCAGAATTTAACAGTACACGGCCAGTTGTTCATGGTTATTCTTCTTCCGGTGCATCTGATGGTTCATCAAAGATTAAGATCCTCTGTAGTTTTGGTGGTAAAATATTACCTCGTCCAAGTGACGGGAAGCTCAGATACGTTGGAGGAGAAACACGAATCATCCGTATAAGAAGGGATATCTTTTGGCAAGAGTTACGACAGAAGATGATAGAAATCTATATTGAAACTTATGCAATCAAGTATCAGCTTCCCGGGGAGGACCTTGATGCTTTAGTTTCCGTCTCTTCTGATGAGGATTTGCAGAATATGATGGAGGAGTGTCATGTACTAGGTATAGGAGAAGGGTCAAAGAAGCTTCGGTTGTTTCTATTTTCTCTGAGTGACTTGGATGATGCCCATTTTGGTCATGCCAACTCCAGTGGTGATTCTGAATTTCAATTTGTAGTTGCCGTAAATGGGATGGACATGGGATCAAGAAGAGAATCGGGTATGGATGGTCTGATGAGATCTTCAGCAAATAATCTAAGTGAGCTCGATGGACAAACCGTTGAGAGGAACATCAGTAGAGCTGCAACTGACTTTGTTGGAGGCAACGCACCACTTTCAACCGATCTCCATGTTTCATCATCAGTGCCAGCATCTTCTCCTGCTATGCTACCAAACTCTTCCAATGCTTATGGAAACCGTAACCAGATTCATCAAGTGTTGCCAGTGCATCACGGAGAAGCCAATCTAAATATCCAACACCATGCCTCTGTATCTCGTCCTACAGGTGACAAACCTCCTGCTGAAACTTCTGTTCCACTGAATACTGATGGGCTCGTGGACCGTCAAGGAGGATTTACTGACGGGTATCCATCTAGGACCATGGTCGTGCAAAACCGACAGCCACAAAAGGAGGAAAAACCGAAGGGCGATAGCTCTGTTAAGCAAGAAGTTAAACAAGCGAATATTAGATCTCCAAGAGATGAGGCAGCATCAGGTGCCCTACCTTCAGGGGAAGGAAAGCTTCCTCCAAAACCGAAAATGAACGAGGAGAGGCATCAGGACCAAATACAGGTCTCTCCTCCCCTCAATGTTGCTAGCATGGCAAAAGTTGTTGCATCTAACGACAACGATTCATGCACATCTAGCATCGCCTTGGCTCCTGATAACTCAGGGTCTGATCTTATTGATTTGAGTTACCTCGAGCCTCCGGTACCACCTCCCCGGGTTTATCATTCCGAGAGAATTCCACGGGGACAGGGAGAGTATAATAGGTTGACCAAGTCAGACGATTCACTCGGTTCTCAATTTCTTGTTACCCATTTACAATCTGATGTTGAATCACAGGATTTCATCTCAGAATCAGTTGGAAGTTTACACACAGAAGATCTACCTCCTCAAAACGAGCTGCCTCCCATTTCAATGGGAAAGCCGTCACATACAAATTCTCAAATCACCTATGGCGGTAATGGGAAGTCAAAAGAGGCACCACATGAATCTGTGGAAGATCATGCTGTCAACAACGATCAGGTTCAGAATGCGAGTAATGTATCAGATGCTACCATGATCAGTGATAAGAAAGTTAAGTTTGATAAACCTGCAGAAACTGGATCACACTTGATGCACCAGCAGAAACAGACGACTAGTGATTTTACTGCTAGTGGTGCTCAGGTGCATGCTCAATCGTCGGCTCCCAGTGCTTCCCGGCCAGAGCAAGGAGACATTCTTATCGATCTCAATGACCGTTTTCCCCGTGATTTTCTCTCTGATGTATTCACAAGAGCGATGGCTGAAGATTCACCTGGTATTGGTGTCCTGCCACAAGATGGAGCTGGATTGAGCTTGAACATTGCAAATCATGAACCTAAGCACTGGTCATTTTTTCAGAAATTAGCAAGGGGTGAGTTCCGGCAGAAGGATGTTTCTCTTATTGACCAGGATCATCTTGCTTTTTTATCTGGACTTCAGAATATTGAAGAAGAAGCCTCTGCTGTCTATAATGTTGCAAAGTTTAAAAATGATGTTTCTGGAAGTCAGTTGGATTCCCAAAACACTATCATTGAAGATGAAGAAAAAGAAATAACTGGGTCAGAGTCCACATCTATGCAACCACATTATAATCCTTCACATATGAAAAGCAGTGAGGGTATGCAGTTTGGTGATCTGGCTGAAAACTTGAGAATGCCAGACTCAGAGTATGAGGTACTTTGTTTTAATCATTGCTAGTTTACATCAAATCTTTTTTACTGAACTACGATGGCCTTCACAGTGTATCATTTGCTCAATTTGATGCCTGTAGGTTGAGACGAGGAATGACGGGTTACCTTCTATTGATCTTTCTCTTGGTGATCTTGATATCAGTTCTTTGCAGGTATAATGATACTATCAAGCTTTTGGTATGAATTGTATTATCCATGTATAGAAATATGGGACATCCTATGATAGATGAATGCACTTTTGCTTTTACATTCTGATCATCATGAGCTTTGGTTTCTTTGAAGAGATAATGTATATCATGCATTGAATAAGTTTTTCTATCATATTCTTTCAGAGTAATGGTTTAAAAATTGTAGTTGTCACTGGGTTTCCTTAATATAAGCGGCAGTCAGCTGTTCCAGTTCATAGCAGGGCTTTATTGAGAGTTGTGGAAATCTATTGTTCTAAAATCTTCTTGTTGACCCAATGGGAAATGGAACAGATATCTTCACTACAAATGATGTGTTTGTAATGTGTAGATATTTGTGGGGTGCATGTGACACTAAAAACTTAAAAAATTGGAACTTTTTGAAGTTCAAATTGACCATCATCTCGAGCAGATTTTGTACTGATTCATTTGTATCATTGTATGGATCACGATCAGTTTGTCTTGTGTGTGTGTGTATATATATCTTTTATCGCATGCTCTTATGTGCATATTTTCTTGCTCAAAAATGAAGCATGCGCAAATATATCACGAACTTCTGGTGCATATCAAAGTCAGTCAAGTGAGATCTGTTGTATTGTCAACGCTTAAGGGTTACGAAAGATTAATGTCACTCTATCTGGTTTCTAGTGACTTAAAGTTTCTGCTTCTTGCTACAGATCATACGAAATGAAGATCTTGAAGAATTAAGGGAACTTGGTTCTGGTACTTTCGGTACCGTGTACCATGGAAAATGGAGGGGAACTGATGTCGCAATTAAGCGCATCAAGAAGAGCTGCTTTGCAGGCCGTTCATCTGAGCAAGAAAGATTGGTAAGATCATTAAATCTGTTGCTGGATTCTGTTTGAAGTCACAACTCAATGAGCAAGTGAATGACAGTTCTAGAGGAAGTTAGATATAAAAGCTACTTGTAATGGTTAAAGTCACAACCCCATTTTGTATTACCTTCTTTTTTTTCCGGTACACCTTTTATCTAACCCTTGATTTGTTTTCTCCCTTTGATCACATACCAAAGTGAGTCTGTTGGTGTAAGTCTCTTATTTGTCATCTTGACATGATGTTCTTATTCTAGACCATAGAGTTCTGGCGCGAAGCTGATATTCTCTCAAAGCTTCACCATCCGAATGTAATGGCATTTTATGGTGTGGTACAAGACGGGCCTGATGGAACGTTAGCTACTGTCACAGAGTTCATGGTTGATGGCTCACTAAGGCATGTCTTACTTCGCAAAGATAGGTAATAGTTCCACCTGTAATGTATTATGATTGCATCTTTTAGTTCTGTAAGGGCTGTTTGGTTGGTTTTCCATGAAGTTATGTATGGATAAAGTTGTCTGTGTGGATTTGTCTGTATGAGTTGGGAATGTTTTTGTTTGGGAGGGTTTTCTCATAGATGGAAGGGACGCGTTTTCTAATTGGGAGGAGCAGGTTTGGAAAAAAACTTGGCTTTCTGCATAAAGCCCCTCCCCTCTTAAAAGCTTACTGAATAAGTCACTTTTTATATCATTAAGCCACTAACAAATAGTCATGTATAGCTGGCCAAATAAGCCATGAGTTCCATTAAGCTTATTTAGCTGCTAACAAACAGGTCCTAAGTTCTATATTATTTTATCTAACAAAAAACTACATATTTCAAATAGGTGTATTATCAACTTCAGTATAAACATCTCTGTTTGATGACTTGTCTGCTTGCTCCTTCACTATGTGATTTTTAGGCATCTTGATCACCGCAAGAGGCTTATAATTGCAATGGATGCGGCCTTCGGGATGGAGTATTTACACTCCAAGAACATTGTACACTTCGATCTGAAGTGTGACAATTTGCTTGTGAACATGAAGGATTCTTCACGCCCTATATGCAAGGTTATCACTTGAAATATCATGTCCTATTTCTTACTTGATACATGTCTAGGGCCATGGTTTAAAACATCGTTCGAGGCTTACGCCTCTTGGACCCTGGACGAGGCTTACGCCTTGGTTTAGTGAGGCAATTCGGTGAGGCGTGAGGCATTGTCGAGGCGTACTCCTTAGATGATATGCTTTTGTAATGGTTTTACTTCTCTTTATAGTATAAGTAAAAATAAAAAATCAAAGCCCAATGGCCCCAATGTGTACTTTTAATATTTTAAAACCCAAAAGCTAGTACTTTCTTCCCTCAATCAAAAAGTGTGGTTTGACCCTTCCCCTTCCTCTAAGCAACCACTTTTTCCACGCCCTCTCAGCCTATATCATGATTTCACTATTTCCTCTTTCAAGAACCACATAACCAGTGCCCTTAGTGATTTAGTATTATATATGTATATAAATGTATATATATATATTTGTGTAGTATACATATACATATGGTTATATATATATTTCTGCCTCGGGGGTTACGCCTCGTACCCCCTTGAGGCTTACACCTCGGACCCCCTCGAGGCTTACGCCTAGCCTCGTTGAAGGAAAATGCCTCAAGGCCTAATTTCGCCTTTTAAAACCCTGGCTAGGGCACACAACCCAAGTTTTGGGCAATATCTTTACCTGATTCAAGTTTTTATACTATTCAATAACATTTTAACTCCATGCTTTTGCAGGTAGGTGACTTTGGACTGTCAAAAATCAAGCGGAATACTTTGGTTTCAGGTGGAGTTAGGGGAACCCTGCCATGGATGGCGCCAGAGCTACTGAATGGTGGCAGCAATAAAGTTTCTGAGAAGGTAAAGGTGTCCTTTACTTCATTTGCATATGTTATGTAACATTTGATTCTTTCTTTTTCATTTTTTTTTGTCTTGATGTTCTACACTTGTTTTATTTTGCAATGCAATAGGTTGATGTTTTCTCCTTTGGGATCGTGTTATGGGAGATCCTTACTCGCGAGGAGCCATACGCAAATATGCACTATGGCGCCATCATAGGTGTGCTTTGGGTGATTTCTTGCCATTCTTTTAGCTTGAGTTGTTTATCTGTGTCACTTTAGATGATATCTATCACTCCCTCCATCCCAAAATAAGTGCCCACATTTCTATTTATGTTTGTCCCAAAATAAGTGGGAGTAGTTGACTTGATAGGTTAGGATTGTTATCAACTTAATAAGCTTAATGGTACTCCCAACCAATTCAGTCACACATACATGATTGATTGGTAGTGACTTAATGATATAGAAAGTGGCTTATTCAGTAAGCTTCTAGGGGGAGCTTTTTGCAGCAAGCCAAGTTTTTTCCAAGCCTGTCCTTCCCAATTAAAAAGCACACTCCTTCCATCTATGAAAACCCTCGCAAACAAAAACCTTCCCGATCTATACAGATAGATTAATCCACACAAACAACTTTATCTATACGGTACTTAATGGAAAACCAACTAAACAACCCCTTAGTATCAGATATAACCACTCAGCCAAAACATTATTGATGTACTTCATGCAACTAATTGAAATTAGATAATTAAACATATTTTATATGTTGGAAATCAAATCAAGAAGAACCAGGAAACAAACTGAAGATCGATGCAAAAGAACTACAAAAATTGCACACTGATTTTGGAACTTTTCTGGGTATGCTTCAAAAACGAGAAAACGATCACATTAAAACTAGAAGAAATAAATCCTTCTTTTACTCTCTAAGGAAACTGAAAATGCAAACTACTGTTAATAAACTAAGAAAATGTAAAACAGTTGTGTGTACGTGCAACGTGCATCGTGCACCACCACTTCTTCCTATTCTAATGCAACTAAAAACCCATGATTTTCGAACTGACTAAGTCAACGATGACTGGGTCAGAATTACTTCCAATACTATCCCCACTCCCATAGAAAAAGGTAAGAAATGGAACGATGGAAATCTCAAGGTTTAATACCGACTTCCCAAATTTGAGCTTATACATCTTTACATATGGAAGTGGGTTTCTTTGATTTCTTGTGCTAAAGAAAAGTTTAATTGTCGAACGTTTCCCTCTATTGCAGGAGGCATTGTGAATAACTCACTTAGACCCACCATTCCAAGTGATTGTGATCCCGAGTGGAGAAGGCTGATGGAGCAATGTTGGTCCCCTGATCCCGTGGTTAGGCCATCCTTCACTGAAATAACTAATCAATTATTGGTAATGTCTGCAGCCTGCCAAAGTAAAGGGCATGCTCATAAAGCGTCTTAATTTGCTTTGTTACTGTTTCTCTTCAAACAATCATATATACAAACAGGGTATACTTTATCATGCATAAACCCAGATTATTATCGACTTATTGTATTTGTATCCAATTGAAAAGAATATATGAATATTTGATTATATACATGTCAAGTGGACAAATTTTTTGTGCAAGGACCGGAGAAATGTTAAATCATCACGTTCAGGTTGTTTGAATGGATAGATTCTAATGATTAGACGTGGGATCGTGTGAGAATAATAGTTATGGTGAGAATGGTGAGAACACTTTTGAGCCTTTACATGAGTTGGCTTCTTAATCCAACTTCATTTTTTCTTCAATTACTTTCAGTACCTTTAACTACATTCATCTACCTTTATCTTCACATCTATTTTCACTTTTAGTTACTTTCATGAGCTTTTATACATTAAAGCTGTCTGTATAGGTTAGAAATTTTTTGTTTGGGAGAGCTTTTTAATAGATGAAATGAGCATGTATTTAAGTATTTTAAATAGGAGGGACATGTTTGGAAAAAACTTAGCTATCTGCGTAAACCTCCCCCTAGAAGTTTACCGGATAAGTCGCTTTCTATATCATTAAGCCACTACCAGACAGTCGTGTGTATAGCTGATCGAGTAAGTTGGGAGACCCATTAAGCTCATTAAGCTGCTAACAAACAGGCCCAAAGTGAACAACATAAATAATAATCTTATAGAAACTTTGAACTACAATAGATTTGGTGCAATTACAAGATCTAAGCTAGCTCTGTATTTGTTTTGTATAGCACAGGGGTCATCAATTAATTAGATTGAGACTCCCTTGACTTTATTAAGTAATTAATTAATCTTTAATACATAAAAATATAGAGTAATTTGTCCACTAAAGAAAAAATGGTGGTGGGAGTCGGTCGAAACTAGGAGGAGCGGGGAAGATCATTTCTTTTTGGTAACCGTGAGTGGCCGGGACATTCGTGCACCTCGACTCATCTCATGGGGCCCAGAAGATAGCAACTAGGAAAATCCTCAGTGGCCTTGAAGAGATACGAACTGGCAGCCTATGGGGGCTAGGAGGGGGACGGAGAGCTAGGTTGCCAAGTGGAGGCAAGCATTATAGGTCTCCCTTTCCAACCAAGCAACACATGCCCTTTCTGATCATTCCCCACTGTATATCCATCACAACCGCTCACACTCTTCATGGCGGTTGCTTGCCGCTCCTTCACTCCGGCCACCACCTGAAACCCTGCTCTCCCTAGCTGCCGCCGCCATTGATCAGCTCTCTCATGCCTCTCCACCCTCTCTGTTCCCTCATACGCCACTATGTTTCTTATCTCCTCCGCAAAGTGGTTCCTCTCGATCTTCAGTCTCTCGATGCTGTTTCTGCCCATGCTTGCCTCTAGTGAATCAAATATAGCCGAGTAGTAATGTAACGATTCAAGAAACCTCCCAAGAAAGAACGGCCCGTTATGGTTTGCATCTTGTTCCACCACCGTTAGCAGTGTGGGTCCCAACTTCTTGACTGCCTGGAGTATAGTTTTCAGGGACCCTCTGCTCTCCTTTACATACGTGTGCAAGTGGAGTATGCTGTTTACAAACAACGGTTCTCCTTCTTTCAACCTTAGGTTTTCTTTAGTTAACATGGCTGGCGTGGCTGGTCCAGAAATCAGCCGAAACTCTACTTCAATTCCAAGAGAATTTGCTTCAGCCACTATGGTCTCCTTCATACTCGATTCCAACTCCATCATTTCTCCTCGATCTCCTAAAATTCCAGTGATCCGGATGAGCTTTGGCGACACTCCTCCATCCGTGGTTGAACCTAGGGTTCTTATCAGTGAAGGCCACTGTAACGTGTGTTCCATTCCCAAATCAATAATGTGCAAACAATCCTTCCCTTTTGCTGCTTGAAATATGGCTTCATTTGCTGCAATAAATCCAAATTTTATATATGGTGTGGTTTGATGTAGCAAATGAAAAGCTTCAATCTTTTCTTCTCTTTGGATATCTGTGGGAAGTGTCGCCCTCCCCCAACCATTTGATATTGAGATGGTACCGTTTGCATTCACATTGGTCTGCAAAAGGGATAGTCTCGATTTCAGCCCCATAGCGAAAAAATATGATACTCTTTGTAAAGAATCGCCCAAAGGATTCGCTGAGTACCAAATCTTGGATAGGATTGAATCGGCGAGTTGGGTGTCCCTGCAACCCACTGCCTCTGCACATGCCAAGAGCAAGTGCACCAGTTGAAGCCCATCATCAACACCATTCACCCTCAGACGATCCTGATCTTGATCCTCTATTGTGGATGTTATGAAGGTGGTTGTGCTATTATCGTAGATGGGCTGAATGGAAATATCAGATAATGAAGATGACGACAGTGAAGAAACAAAAGCAGTATCTTCACACGAGCTGCTCATATCAATCAAGTCATACTCTTCTTGGATCAGCATAGGATCATTGGGCATCAAGAAAGAGTTAAGGTCAACATCATGCAAGAATGAGTCAAACAGCTGATCTAGGTGATTCTCCTCGGGTGAAGATGGCAATTCACCGTGGTGAATATGATCAATGTTAAAGAAACTGTCAACAAATTGGTACTCCTCCATGGAATCTACAGAAGTAGCCATACCAGAAGGATAAACCTGATCATCAAAGTGCTGCAACAGCTCCCATGATTCTTCTGCCAAGAGTTGGTGTTGTTCCTCAACACGGGCTGCTTGTGAAAACTGGCGAATTGGTAGTTTTTGATGGATATTGTTGAATGAAAACCCAAAATGGTTGATGGGTTCCATAAAAAGATTGTTTTTTTGGATTTAGGCTTATGTTTAGCAGGTATGCTTGTGAATTACTGAAACTTAAACCTTGAGTTCAAGATTTTTAAGGGTAGTTATCAAGACTTTAGTAAAGGATAGAAACAGGTAATTAGAGATTTGGAATCTAATGCAATGGAACCATATATATATATATATATATATATATATATAGAGGGAGATGGGTTTATAAGTTGATGAAATTCTGCAGGCAGGTAGGCAGGCAGGTATCTTCAAGATTGTCAACACCCACCCGAATACAAGGCAAGTTAGCTAAGTTTAAGGTTTTAGACTATTAAGATATTTCTGTAGCTTGAAATCGTCGAATCTATAATGTAATCATGCGCTAAAAGTTCGGTTATTATACAGGAAAAAAGATTACTTTAATGTTAAACTGTTATGTTGTCTTTGTCTGTTTGCTCAACTAGGCTTTCCCATGCCATATAACTTTCTTTTGGGTAACTGTGGATATTTGGGTCACCTTAGATGTACTGATTAATCCCCTGGGCGACCACGAATGACTTGGAATCATCATAGGTGGACCTCAATGGCCACAATGGGTTTGATAGAGACTGAATTCGAAATTAGAAACTCTCATGTACCTAGTCATTTTGGACCATTTGAGCTTTTCATTTTGTGGGTAATGATGGAAAATGGTTTAACCAAAATCCTATAAATTATTGATTGAAACGAGATGACAAAAAGGTGAGTAGTTACAACTTTTTACCTTTTGATACAGAGGAAAAATCTGTGTACATCTTATCATTTTCAGTTCCTAATTTTTTACAACTGGGTTGGTTTGAAATTTTGGTGTATGAAAGAGATGTGAAGTGTTTGAAATAAAATCTTGTGATAATGACATTGGGTGAGTCGGCCAACAAGCAATGAGACACTATTAGGTGGCCTATGCTTTATTTGAGCTGGTTTTTTTGGTTTTATCTTCCCTTTCTTGTTTGTTATTTCTATTTTAACATTGGTTTAGATTCCTAGTTTAGAAAGAAAAAAAGAATGGTTCTAGAATATTCTTTAATGTTGACAATACAGGTAATCAGATAGTTAAATCAAACAGATCTAGTAGTAAATCGTCTGTAAAAAGATAAGACGGATCTAGCTATTCATCTGTCTTTAGAATTACTACATAGGAGGAAGATTTTATGTATAAGAAATGTTATGATTCTATTCGACAAAAAAAAAATGAATTTGTTATTGATTGAAGGGTGGTATCCCCAATGGCAATAGCATTGTCCAATAGTCATAATATTTGTTTATATATATATATATATATATGTATGGTTGGATTTACGTGAGACCATATTTTTACACTTAAAACTTCACAACAAGATGATATGAAGATAAAATAATCTGAATCTTCACAGCAAAAATATTGTGAATGTTACCTTCATAGTGTTTTGTTGTGAAGTTTCAAGTGTAAAAAGATGATCTTACGGGTCTCATGAAAACAGATTGGTCTTACTTGAGCGTGATTTCAAGTCTCTCTCTCTATATGTGTATATTATGTTATGTAGTTTTCTTCATTAGTATATGCTAATTAAACAATAAAAAGAAAAGGGCATTGGGTAAATCGAAAATGCAACGATTTGTGCAAACCCTTCTTCAAAGAATGAGACAAAACACAACCATAAAGGAATATCGAAAATTTTGTATTAAGCATTGAACTAATTTGTTTCTTCATGGAATTTAAGCTTAGAATTACAATTTTGAATTATAAAATTGTGTTTTAGACTGTATTACACACACATATACACATATCTATATATGATAAGTCTGTGATAGACATTCAACCACCGAATCCCTAATCGATAATCATGCAATCATCAAATCCCTAATTGATTATAGACAACTACATAACCCTAATCAAAGCGTTATAATATGTGATTAAGTTGTGTTGTGATAATCACGTCCAAAACCTGTTACTTACTCAATTCCTTGTTTTCGGTTTACCTAATAGGCCTACTATCACTATATTGTTGTGATAACCACTCGTCGATGATGATAATCACTCCCCAGATGATCGGAATAATCGTCATCGTGTTATTTGAATTTTATTATACCAATTTCCAATTTTACACTTCCACGTCTTTTGTATTTTTTAATATTTATTTGAATATGAGAAATCCTTTAACTTATCTTAAAACGTGATTTATAACATAATGTTCAGCTTAGATATTGTTATCGCATGTATGTGTGTGTGTGTGTATATATATATATATATATATATATATATATGGCAAATCAAAAAAGAACCACAAAAATGTTACTCATGAAACCAATTTTAAAATATTTTTTTACATGATCTTTTTTCATTCATTGCTAAGATTTAAGATACTGCATCACATATACTTATTTCATAATGTGATACTTTTAGATATATTTGTTCCATCATGTGAATATTTTTTATGTTAAGTTTTTAGTTTCATCAAGTGAAACAAAAAAAAATCACATGTAATTTTTTTATAAGTTGAACACAAATATATATAAAACAATATCATAAATCACAGTTTTCGATTAAAAAAATCATATAATTTTTTTTGTCGGTTCTAACGAGTTTATAACATTTTCTATGGTTCTCCTTGACTATCAACCTATATATATGACGACATTTATCGTGAAAAAAAAAACATGTATAGTTGGTTCTCGTGTTCTTAAAATACGATCTCATTTGAGCATATCCCTTAAAAACGCAGAAGAGTATGTTATACATGTTAAAATTTTATACGATATAAACTACTAAACTTTCAATTACAACCATGACATGTATTTTGCAATTTGAAAACCATCTCTACAATTGAATCCAAGGGGCCGTTTACTAATGTCTACCAGGTAGTGCTTACCCGCCAGAGCGCCACCCTCACTTAACCGTATCTATAACATTATCAGCCATCAAAACGAACTGTCGGCAAGCAACTTTTAGCCGGTAAGCGTTTACCATGTACTTCTCCCTCACTTATCCTGTAAAACTCTTGACCCTTACTATGCCCTCTTATCGGATAAGATTCTAGGTTTTTGTCATGCTCACTCGGGAGGTAAGTACTTGCAACCAACTGGAATGTCTATAATGACTCAGTTTCAGAATGTGCATATCAGGTCAGAAATTGCATAATTTGGTACAGCATAAAAGCCTTAATTTGTTTCATAAAAAAATGGGCATATATCCACTAGACTACTAGTCTACCAAACCCAACCCAACCCAACCCACCTCACCTAGTGGTTGTAGCAACCATCCCACATGTTATATGAATACTACATCATTACATTCATATGTTTGGTACAACCAGAATTTGATTCACAGAATCTGAAAGAAAGAAAGAAATTCAGACTAGAATCATTGATCGATGTGTAAACGCAAACCGGAATAAACGGCGTTTCTGAATAGCGGATGAACACTTCCCGTTAGTACTTCCTCCTCTAACTTATCCATGTGTGGCCATATCTGTGAATCAACACATACCCCATTACTCCTAAATATACCTCAAATTTCCATTATAGAATGCTAGTGCTAAATGAGAACCATAAATATTTTGAACGTATTACCATCAGAATATGTATTCTGTCAATGTATATCTACTATGTATGCAAGTATATATGCATCACTCACTGAAATTTATATTTGTATTCTGTCAATGAAACTATAATAAGTATTCTGTCAATGAGTATATTCATGAAATTCATTCAGTTCAACACAAAATACACATACCGTGCATGAAAATAGGAAACATCTTCAATTACTTGTATGCATATGTGCATACCGTACAGATAAACGGTTATTAGGTTGTTCCTTAATTTTTCATTTTCTTGGGGGGTTTCCCCTAAACCTCGGTCCACACACCGTTACTCTAAAAAATAGCTTAAATTTCCATTATGGATGCATATAGAGAATACCGGTTATATGCATTGATGCATATGGGTTAATCTTATGAGAACCACAGAAAAAGTTACAGACCATGACAGTGCATCATGTGTTGCTTAGAATTATTTTTTTCAGACTACGGCTAGGATTTTAGGTATTGATAATTGATTTAACATATTTTTGTTTCGCAATGTAGAACTTTTTAAAGTGTTGTGAAACAAAAAATACACGTAAAAGAAGTTTCACATTGTGAAACAAATATATGTTAATCACTGCCTTGAATCCAAGCCTAAGATGAAATAAAATCATGTGAAACAATACCTCAAGGTAAAAGATCTCACGGTTCTCAACCTTTGTGGTTTATATTTTGATTATTCCCCTTGATGCATATACACTTTCAGAATATGTATTCTGCTAATGGAGTATATTCATCAATGCATATCTACTACATATGCACGTATATATGCATTTCATTGATGTATATACTCACTGGAATTCATATGCATCATCAATGCATGTAATGATTCTCACGATTCTCAAAATATTTATGGTTCTCATTTGATATTTTCCCTACATATAGAATACTGGTAGCTTTATGCAAATATACATATTTTTTATTACATTTAGAACAACTATAAGAAAGATAAAGAAGCATGGAACCAACCTCTGAAGCATATTGCCTTGAAAAAGCCTTCACGTAACCCAAAGTTGACAAACACCATTGTTCTTTCTCCTCTACGATATATTCGGTGCCACTACCGGCATTTCTACACAAATAAGAGAGTGCACTAAAATTACAGGTGGAAAACACACAAATTTTGACAGCCAGGAAAAAGTTAAAGCGGAAATGGTACCTCTTGGAGCTTCCATTTTCTTTATCCGTCTCCATTGCAGGTGTGTCTTCTTCATCGACGACCATTGCTTCTGAATCACCAGTAGGCTCCAAGGTTTTCTCTCCAAACGTTTCATGGAGGCGTTCCATTAAAACATTGGAGAAATTTTTGTATAAAGATAGAAACAAGGCCTGCACATGCAACGTATCAATTAACTTGTAATCTAAGATGGGTTTTTAACTCCATAGTTTCACACTTTTTCATGCAGAGTACAAGCCTTAATGATGTTCATTAGAAAATAGATGAACAATAAAAGCAAAGAGGTGGAAATAGTTCAGCCTGCAGAGCAGTCGGGTAGATCTAGTAAGTGGGACAAAATTTATAAATTACTAAACTACCACGTCAAACTAAAAGTTAAAACCCTAAAACCTTCCAGAATTCTTTCACCCCTGCCTCTCTCACGCCCGTCTAGTCATCTCCATGTATCAAACGCACCCTTATGCTGTGTTCTCGTGATCTTTTTTACGAAGGGAGAGAAAGTGGGAGGAAAGAAAAAATCTCGTATTCTCAAATTTTTAAGGAGGGAAAGGAAAGGACAAAGCAGAAAAATAATGCTGATTATCCTTTCAAAACTTTTCTCTCAGATGTGGGAGGAAAAAGAAGAAAAGAAATAATAACAATTAAAAAGATTTGTAAAGTTACATATCTACCCATCAATTACAAACCATTGTAAAATAAACAAGATAATATTTGTAAAAATAATATATTTCCTTTTCTTTCTTTCCCTTCCCTCTCAATAACAAAAACAAGAAAATTCATTACCCTCCAAGTGGATGATGGAACAATGTACTATATCCTAATAGCACTCATAGTCTCTTAATTGTATTAAATTACAATTATAACTCATAAATCACATAAAATAATCAATATCGGAAAGATAAAGCGTCAGTATATAGTCACGAATACCTCATTCTCTTCAAGGGCTCGTGCAAAAAGAGCCTCCTTTGACTCCAAAGATTCACGAGTAGACACCTCCTCCTCCTTTGTCTTTGCAGCATTTGATTTCAAACGTTTCATCCTAGCGGGATTTTCGCCAACAACAGGCTCGCCGTCCACAAGCATGAGCTTGGTCTCAGCAGCATCCAGCTCAGCTTTAGCCTTTGCTGCACTTTGCTCGGCTGTTATAACACTCTTTTTTAGATGAGAAATCTCTTTCCTTAGATCAGATATGCGATTGTATGTTTTATTAAGGGCATTTCTGAGAATCTGTTGAGACAGTGAACAAGTATGATGGTAAGCAACCAAAAGAGAGTCACCAAGACAACTGAAGAAAATAAAGCAAAACAATATATTATGCTAATCTTATCAAAAAGGTAAAAACAAATTTATTTCTGAAAGTCAAGAACAACCTAAACCCGACATGCACTTTTTGCCCCTTCCACAAAAAATATATTTGCAGCCCTTTTAGGTTCTTATCGTATAATTCTAATTTCTACAACCTTCCCAAAAAAGTTGTTATCTTTTCAGATTAGAACTTCTACGAATATGGAAAATGTGACCGGGGAGCTTTGCAATTAACCCAGATTAGTGCTCCTTTCCTCCCAAATTAAGTGCCACATTTCTATTTTAATTTGTCCCAAAATATGCGTCCACTTCAAAAACAAGTTTCAACTTTCCCAGTCTACCCTTAATTAAGATATGGAGAAAATATCTATGTTATTAAGGGTAAAAGTAGCATTCCATTATTTAAAAAGTGTAATGATTACACATTCCTACAACTATGTCATTTTCATTGTGGACATTTATTTTGGGACGGAGAGAGTAATAAGTTCCATCTCACAAGGATTAGCCACAAAAATTTCATCTAACAAGAATTATCAAAAATCTTCTTCACAAGAAAAAATAATGAAAAATTCAGAAGAAACTCATGGAAAAAGGTCAAGGTGTGTTACCTCCCATAAACGATCTGTGGTGTGAAATAGCTCGACATTTGATGATGAAAAGACCCATTTAACAATAGCCAAATTAGATATAAGCCGATAACCCATCATTCTGTCGATTGTTATGGCTGTTGACTGAGCACTATTCTTCCAAAATGAGCCAACTTCCGCTATTAATGTAATTTGAGTTTCTTCATCTGAACAAATTTTTGCAATAACCTGTCCATACCTCTCCAACACAGTAATCAAATGAGTAAAACTCTTTGATCCAATGTCCAGAAGGGTCTGAACAACTACTCTGAGGGCAATATCCAGCCCATTGACTGAGATTACACTTTCTTCAAGCCACGTGATAACATCACGTGCCGTTTTTCTTCCTTTCACCATACCATTAAGTTCTGTTGAAAGTGTATACTCAGTTTTATCATCATCTTCTGAACCATATCTGAAGTCAGGAACACCTTTTGGAGGAAGCAATTCCTCTAAAGCTGGGGTATTTTCAATGCTCTGCACGAAAAGACAAGTTTTAAGACATATTTTACCATTGGTTAAAAACAGTAGAAACCATGCCTCTAAAGATTCTTAGATGATCCAATAAATGAAAAAGGAACATGGGATAGAATCATAACTTTTAACCAAAAAAGGGTCAATATTTGTGACATAAAGCATCGACTTCTATACTTCCAATGTGAAGTCAAAAGGGTCTCATCTTTCCGACGACTGCTTTGACAGTTGTCCAAGGGTAAAAAAGTGGTTGAAGGCATGATCCACTTGTCAAAGAAATGGGTAAGGGTGTTGGACAGAGAAGGTAATAAATACCGACAGTAAAATTGCTCAAATGGGAAAGAGGAACTAAACAACAAACAATCAGACATAAATGTGTAGCTGCTTATACATATACCTGTTTCACTTTATCCCAATACGATAAACGGACTTCTCTATCCAAAACCTCCTGGACAAATACACGTTGTGGAGCCCATTTTGGAAGCTCTAAGACATAAGCCCATTCTTCCCAGGGCCAGATGAACTGAAAGTTTGATCTGCAATATTGGCATGCAAGTATAAGAAAATCTTAAGGGAAATAAGACCATTGAACTTTTACCAAACTTAGAATGGGCATAAGTGCACATGCTTTGGAAAACTATTCACGAAAGACAAGATAGATGATTGTGAAAAGGAGAGACACCGACAAAAAAATTCCCACCAATATCAAATAGTCCAGTGTCCCACACATAACAAGAAGATAAAAGTAGATAGAAAAAACTACCATATATATAATAAAGACCAGTTTTACATATCATAAATTAGAATTTACATATCATATAGAATTACAAGATTAACTTACAAATGGTGTGAAAACCAAAGAATGAGGCGTGTCCGACACTCCATATCTAATTCACTTATTCTATCAAAAAGGGCACGGACAGCCCCAGCTACAACTGCAGGGAAAGCACCTGGAAGAGACTACCAGAACAATGTGATTAGTTCCAAAATAACCCCAAAAAGGAAACGAAACAAGTAGAAAAATAGCTACCAACTTGGGATCTATTATACCTTACAAAGGTCTATAATGACAAGTGTGTAATATATGGGCTTGAATGGTGGCTGAGGCAATAAAAGAAGCTGACAAAAAAAATCCCATTGTTATTCAAGAACAAGAAAGACAAGGATGAATCAAAACAACATGGATGATAAATTTATACCTGAGAGAAAATTGTCTCGGCCATGAGATATTCATATCTGAAAGGAACTGGTAGGCCAACCATGCATGCGGCACATTCCTTTCGACTAGCTTTGCACAAACCAAGAAATATAAGAATAAGGATCATGTCCAAGAGAAGCAACTCGTTAAAAGGTAAGGTGATCACTTCCTCGGAAGCACACATTCTTGAATTGCAGAAGTCAAAGCAAAAAGACCTTATTAACAATAAAAAGTTAAAAGTTACAAACCATCCGTTCAAGAAAAAGAGCACATCCAATAAATACTCTTCCACAACAAAACGATCTATAGGCTGTAGATCCTGCCACCAAAAAGATCATATATAAATCAACATAAATCCCACATGAACAAGAATAGTAAGGCACATGCTAAATAACATCAATACAAACAAACATCAATTTAAATACCATAAGTCCGTAAAGATACAAATTATATTTTGAGAAGAAAATGTATGCAGGAGCCAGCCACTAAGAACATGCATAGGAAAAGTATACAAATCATGTAAGAATCTCAATTAGTTAATTACCTCAGTTTTGCTAGCAGAAAATATATTGAGCCTTCGTATCCTCTGAGGATATTTCAATTCTGCCTCGTGCTTTTGTCTACCAAAACTGACTCCAGAGAGTTCCCCAGGGGTATCTGGTTGCTCAGGACAACTGATGGGTCCAATATCATGAGACTTCCCAGCTACTAGCTGTGCTTCATATAAAAGATGTGGCCTTGGAACTGTGAGCATATAAAGAGCAAATGTTAACAAGAATCATAGGAAAATCAATGTCAAACTGTGAGCTTAATGCAACTGCCCCAGAAGCTGAAAAGAAAAGCAAAAAATGAACTTAACAAGTAAATAGAAGTACCACTCTCAAGTTTCCAGCTGTTCTTGGAGAGATCTTGGATTCGACTCCATAGGTCTTCCACAAAATCCTATAAAACATAATGAAAGCACCGGTAAAACACCAGTGTGCAAAGTTATTAAGGAACTATAAAACAAATGTCAAAACTATCTGTTGTCTAATGTTTATACCAAATTTGGATATAATCAACATGTTTTTCTTTTTCTTTTTTTACGTATTTGCTTATGAATATTAATTTTGAAGTATGAAAGGAATAATTATGATCACCAAATATGTATTTTGCCCAAAATTAGCGTTTATATGAAAGGAATAATTATGATCACAATGTTTGTGGCAGTACCCTCGGTTGACATACATACACAACTGCCAAATAACACTTTACTTGGTAATGAAGAAGGAAAAAAAAACGTTTGTTAAATATGTTCTGCCTTATTTCACACCCTTTTTCTCTAAATATTGTACCACAGAAGCACCTCAAGCTCCAAAGGTTTATTTTCTGAGAACATTTCTCTATTCATGAAATTAAAAATTGGGCAATTTTGAGCACAAGTGAAACTGAATGAACTTCATAATTAATAAAAAACAAAGTATTACCATCAACAGTAATACTAAAAACCTAATTTTTCTTTTGTGTTTACATAAACTTTTCCTTGTGTTCACACTTGTTTACCCTCTAATTTTTTACTACTGATTTTCTGTAGAAATAAACCGAGTTCTCTCTCTGCAAAACACATACAAGAAACATGAGTCGCAATGCATGCTATCATATCAATGCAAATATAATACGAGCTTCAATGCCACTTGGAGTTCTTTCAAGAAGAGAAACAGAGAAAAACTATGGAGGAACTTAACAAGTAAAAAGAACTGTATAAGATACCTGTTCAACATGAACTTTATCAATTTTGTTTATCTCCTCGAAGACAGATAGACCAACGTCAGAAACACGTCTTCTGATACTTAAATAGGCTTCTATCCCAACCATAACTCTTTCAATCTCTTCTGGAATTTGCTGCAAGGATTAAATGTCCGACCATCAAACAGAATGACCAAAAGAATTTGCTCTCATGATAATGAGGATGGTTATACCCAGAAGAGAAAAAGCCAGTAGCATAAAAAAACAGCTATGACTGAGTTCTTGATGTTTTAGATTATAAGAATCCAAAACTCAAGCATGCAAAAAACTAAACTTGACTGGTGAAAGAAAATGTCTTCTTGCAAAGATAAGTAGAATAACGAGTGAAGAAAAATCTTACATGTAAAATCCATCAAACCCAATCCAAATTCCTAGTTTTCACATTATTATCAATGTTCAGACTACTTAATACCATATCAGTGGCAACAGAAGTAAATTGAAAAGAGAAAAAACTGATAACAACTTTCTTTGCAATTAGTTTTACGCTTACTGTCCTTATCCAAAGTTAAGTAGAAGTGAAATTCAGTTAGCATGAGATTACCGCTTACCTCAGCAAGCTTTTCCCATGTATGGAACTTAACCAAGCATTTTAAGGAGCTTTTCTCCATAAGGAAACTTAACAAAGCATTTTAAGGAGGATGCATGTAAAGTAACCCCAGTGAAGATGTCAATGGAAAGTGCCTTGCTGGGTTTCATGACAAAGCATCCAATCAACCAGGTCCTGCCACTAATTCAGCCCCTCAGACAGTCTTGCCCGGTGCATATTTGCCAACAGAATATCAGAACCAAATACTATCAGTTGCTCACATCTATCCTCAGTCATCAGCATGAAAACATGCTAGAATCCCCAACCTCCCATAACATCAATGTTACAGGCAGAACCATAACCAAATCCACCTATGTACAATACTTCTAACTCACAAAGACCATGGTTCCCAGTTGTTTTTCTGCTCAACTTTCTGAATATAAATGCAGGCTAGCTCAATCATTAAGTAAGATGTACAAATGAAGTTATGAACAAACCTGCAACAAAATCAATTTATTCCAAATATTCAGGGAAGGCTACAAATAAAAACCTAGAATTCATAATGATGAGGCCTCATAGGGATCAGAACTTTGTCTGTCGCAAAAACCTCTTAGCACAAGCATCCTCTTTAAACTTATGAATCCAAGGATCTATATTTAAGATGACCAAACTGTAGGTGTAGCCTTTATGATACTAAGAAGACCATTCAACTCACTGTCATACACTTCATACACATTACTATGCCATTATAAATATCTTTGAGACTTTGATCACATCTGCACACATTGTGGGCGGATTCTTCTCATCTATCCTTCGACCCTAAGATGTCTTCTCTGCATCGATAAACACTATAAGAATAGCCTGTTTGTGCCTCATGCACATAGCCTCCACTATTGATGTCACTGGCAAAAACCTAACCGGAAATTCACTCCACAAAGGTCCTTCCCCCGACCCACCATACACACACAAGAAAAAACCTAAACCACATTACTTTACAGTGATATCTGGCAGAAAAAATTTGAATGGAGCTAATGGTAAAATATAGAGCATCCAACAAGGTAACTGCAAAAACTCGAGGAATAAATCCACTCAACCCGTAAAAAAATCAAAAACTTCCTCCTTGTGACTTGATGAAAGAAACTATGGATTCACTCGCCAATAAAGATAAATAGTAACTTGTTTTCCTTTATCCCAAAATCGTCAAATATATTATTTTCCCGCATGTTGTATCTAAAACCAACTTCCTCCAAGACAGGCATTAGAGTAGTGCTCTGTAGAAAGAATCTAGCCTTCTAAAACAGGCACCAATTACAGTCTACAAAACACGCTTATGTGAAGTTAAAGATATATGATTGAATGCTTCCTTGGAATAAACATGATCTGCAAATCATATTAACATGAATTGGAAAAATAAGACTTCCATTGCCATCTAGCAGAGACATACTTGCTTCTTATTCTTTGACTTGTTCCAGATCAAGTTAATTTCTTGCACTTAATCGCCTACACAGGGATTAAGCAAGCGAGTGGTTCATTATATGTGTAAAATATAGTCACACATAATTGTATACACACGAAAATCAAAATATTGACGGTACATTGTTTGGTAGAAATGTAGAATTACCTTTCTAAACGACTACTTGAAATGTACCATCAACAATTAATGAGAACAAGCAGATAAAGTCGATTAATCCCCAATAATTAGCTGGGAAGCCCTATCGTGTAGGTGGCTGCTTAAGTAACTCTAGTTGATCAAACCAGTGGGAGGGGAAGCTTAAACGCCTAAGTGGTCCTATGCGGAGATTTCCACAACAACAACTCTTTCCTACTGATTATGTGGTTTGGAAAACCCTAAGGTAGGTAGCAACAACTTTTATCTTCCACTGTGGCATACAACATCCTAGGCTTTTAGGTTCTATATTTTAATGGGCTAGTTTAACAATATTTCAGTGTCGATGAAGGTATCTTTTCCTATTAAACATGTGATTCATTTTCTTGCTCACATAGTCGCATCACCTTGACCTATGAGAATTTGGTTTTAGAACTCTTGCAAGAACTTGTGCACCAAAACTGATTTTTACATTTATACAAGATAGCACAAAGAAAACCATAACAAAGAACTAGCAAAAATTCTTCCTACAGTTGAGTGCAAACACCAAGAGGATAAAACAGGAATGATTAGAGTGGTTTGGCAAGAAAAGCAACAAATTGTCATGTCCGGGTAGTTTCTTCTCACCATCTATACAAGCATGTATCATATGTCGGTTGTATGAACCAAAATGAGCGAGAAATTAAATTTGAGAACCTACCTCGCCAAGTTCAGACCCACCCCAAGGAAGGCAGGAAAGAATGCAAGTTATGTAGAAATCAGCACGGGCTTGCCATGAAGGGTTCCCTTTCTCATCATCCACTATAGTTGCAGCAGAAGATAATAACGTTTCAAAAACCACCACTAGTGAACTTGGTTGGACGACTTTGCTACACATCTACGAGATATAAGTGCAAGATACAACTCAAAACACATTTCGGCAAATGAAAGAAACAATACTATGGTAAAATTGTAAGTAGCATCACTAATGTAGAGAGAGAAAAAAAAATGCACAGAAATCAGAGGAGCAAAAGCAAATGCACATGTGTGATTAAGCCAAAATTGTATTTCAATTGTTCTATAAAACATTGGAATTTGGATATGGCTAGTAAACCCCATTCAGAAACCACAATAAGGACACATCTATTCAGTCCATATTGTTTTCATTTGCATCTTATCCTGGTTAAAACAACATAAAGTATAGAAACATACCAAAACAGTTAGAAACCGCATTAATACACGGATCTTATTACAATCTCCAGTGTCAAGTGCATCCTGCAAATAAACAAGAAGACCCGTCACAGAAGGTTGGAAAAAATCAACACAAAACCTACAACAAGAGATACCAAATGACAAGCTAATAGCTACTGCTYAAGAACTTGTAYGTCCATATTTTAATYGATAGAAAAATCAATGTTGTATTTCTTTCCATCAAATAACATATAGTAAACATGGTGAAAAGACTCGAACAAAAACGCCTAAGGAACCGTGAATTGTACCAATTATCTTCATTTTAATATGAGTGTGCATTCAGGAAGAAAGCAAACATCTTGATCAAGAACCACTGCTTACTCACCTGCAAACTCTTTTGAGTACTCTCCAATATTTTCTTGACGAGCTCTTCATTTTCCAAGTTCAATAACCCAATCTACAAAAGAAAAAAACAAGAGAAGACAAGAAATACATCAAGAATCAGTGTTTAAAAGGTAGAGTATAAAAAAAGAAACTGAACCTACCACCGTCCCATATAGAGGAATCTTGTGAGGCAATTGCTCTGAACATTGGAGAAGAAACTGTCAAAAATTTGAAGTGACTAAATTAGCTTCAATGCAATTCTAAAATTAAGAATTAAGAATTAAGGAATAGTAAATCACAGTTAAGATTTCGTCTTCAGAATGCTCTAGTTCCCGCCGAACCACACCAAAGCAAGCATCCTGCAAAAAAGGAGAAATTAGGGTTAACAACATTAGGGTTTACCGAAAATTAAAAAAAAAAATAGGGTTGTATTGAAGAGAAAGTAAATAGAAACTAACAATGTGGTCTTTGTAATCGATTATACCGCCATATTCAGAGGACTTCTCTCCGATTCGCAAAATCAAACTCCTCCAGCTACTCATATCTTCTTGTCTATTGAAACACCGACGAAAATCCGAAGATTAGATTCACAGGAACCAATACCAAGAGCGCAAGAACACTTCTCTAGGTGGAGGGTGTAGATATATATACGTCTATATGTATAGTTCGAACGGGAGAGTGCCGGTGTCAGCCAAGTCCCCAAGGGTTTTTGGGTTCGCAAATCGATTTTACTGCATGCCCTAACTTTGAGCTGTACACTGAACCGGGTTTGTTGATTAAACCGGAGGGGTGGTTCGCATCTGTCCGGACAAAGTTTAAATAATATAAAATTTAATAATAAAGTTTAAAAAATAAAATATACAGGGAAAGTGAATTTGATGTTCTAGGTGATAATTTATATCTATATTATCTTATAAATCAGATTTATTAAAAATCTTTAAAATGTTTTTTAATGTACAAGGTATTATGTTTATGTACAAAGTCTTAAAAATAATTCATAATGCATTAACTACTACTACTTTATGCATTTAGTCTTGAAATCTTTTAAATCTATAATTAAAATAACATATAATACAAATTACCAATGTATATTGTTATATTTTTCTTTTCATGTTCCCAATATACTTTTGACACTTTTTACTCATGTTTTCACCCTATCATACCTCTATGTCTTCTACTCATCCCCCAATGTGATATTCAAACTAATATTCACCATGAATTATTAAAAGTTTTCTCCTTCAATTACTCTAGAACTCTCGGTCTCGCTCTCGATTCTTGATTCTTTGCTCTTGGTGTAAATCGAATACATTTGTGAAGTCGTTTAAATATGTTCAATTTTAAATATATTGGATTTTAAACTGTCATACAATTTTTTTCATGGATAGACAGTAATTGGAATCATAACTCTTATTTATTCAAATTGTATTTATATGTAAAGACCAAGTGTAACTTATATTTTCGTTAAATCTTTTCTAATAAAAGCAGTGAAACTTCAAAATCGTTAAAATTCACGGTTCTTGTTGTATTGCGCAGGTACACAACTAGTTATGTTCTAATTTGAAATATATTGGTAAAATATAAGTTTGTTCCACCTTGTTTCATTGGGTGGGGTGGAACACCGAATACGTCTGTTCCACTTTGTTTCAGATTGTTCCTCATAAAAATTCTATCAGATGTGAAATAATGATTTTTGTTCTGTTTTGTCTTGTCCAGAGCACCAAACACACCTATAACACTAAGGAGGTGTTCGGTTAGGACAGTTGAAGAAAAATGAAACTGAGAATGAAAATTGGAATTAATTTTCGTTCCCGTAGTTTTTACCTGGAATAGAAATTTGGGCTAATGGGAAATTGACTCATTATATTATATAAAACCAAACAGTTTCTTTTATTTTTGTTTGCATTTTTATTAATTAATGTTTAATACATCTAACCAAACACCCATATAATACATACAAGTTATACAACACTATAACTAGAATTGACAATAAGGGTGCGTTTGGTGCGCAGACAGGACTGGACAGGACAGAACGGGACAGGATGGGACAGGACAGGACAGGACAGGACAGGACAGCTGTTCAGCGTTTGGTAAGACAGGACAGGACAAGACAGAACTGGTTAAAATGACCAATTTACCCCGTGAGCTGTTTAGTGTTTTTTCACTACGAAATCAAGTAAACTCTCATAATCAATTCAACAATTATAATCAATGTAAACCAATTCATCAACAACAACATTCAGCAATCATAATCAATTCAGCAATTATAATCAATGTAAACCAATTCATCAACAACAACATTCAGCAATCATAATCAATGTAAACCCTAAATCGATTGCTGTAATCCTCTTAGCATAAACAAGCTGGTAAAAATGTAGTTGATGTAATCCTCTTAGCATAAACAAGCTGGTAAAAATGTAGTTGCTGTAATCCTCTTAGCATAAACCCTAAATCGATTCAAACCTAGCAAACCCTAAATCGATTCAAACATAGCGATGGAGAAGGAGAAGGTTARGGCAATCATGTACCTGATGAAGGAGAAGGTAATGTGATGGAGGCGGACTGTGTGTATGGACTAGAACTCCCGTCGCCGTCGAGATGGAGGGTGTCGTCGCCGTCGAGATGGAGGGTGTGCGATGGAGGGTGTCGTCGCCGTCGAGATGGAGGGTGTACGATGGAGGGTCGCCGATTGAGGGTGTGCGATGGAGGGTCGCCGATTGAGGGTGTGCGATGGAGGGTCGCCGATTGAGGGTGTGCGATGGAGGGTCGCCGATTGAGACGCTGTGAAGGGGATGAAGAAGACGGTGGAAGGGATTGAGGGTAAAGGGGTAAAAAATTCCTTGTTCTAGTTAGTTCCAGGGGTAAAGGGTGGACTCCCGTGTCCCACCCTTGTTCTAGTTAGTCCCACATAAAGCCATAACAAACATRGKACAAGTGTGTTCTGTTCTGTCCTGTCCCACCCTGTTCTGCCTACCAAACGCACCCTAAGTGACCCAACCCGCCAACCCAACCCAAAGTTAGCAGGTTGGTTGAGATTTTCAACCCATTTAAGTAAATAGGTCAACCCAATTATAATATATATTTTCAACCTGTATCTTCCTCTCGTTTGTGAAAGTGAAACCCAAATAATTAGTCTACCGTGTGCGCCTTCAACACAATACTCCAACTCTCCAAGCCTCTGTCAGTCTCCTCGTCTTTTCTCTTAGTCCCCGCCTCTCTGGTGAAGATCGGTGGTATCTATCCGGTCTCAATCGCAAATAGTAAGTTCATTCCATTTTAAGTTCCTTATGTGTCACTGTGACTATGTTTCTTCTTTAAAGTTCATATATTTTAAGTTCCTGTTGTATTTGACTTTTTGTTCAAAAGTTCACATTTTTTAAGTTATTGCTGTAATTTTTTTTGTTTTCCATTTCATTTCAGTGATTAATACGGTTGAAATTTCGAAATAATATGATCTACAACCTCCTCCATCACCATCAGAGCACAAGGAGAAAAAATTTGATTAACCAATTAAAGTCCAAACCAGTCTAGTGTGAATTTCAATCGTCACAAAAAAACTTACATTTGAGGTATAGAATAGCTTTGATTTTATGGACCCTGATGAAATCAAACTCTTGCTCAGATGGCTGGGGTAGCTAACCCAACCTCGAGAGTGGCATGTGAATCTACTTTTAGCATTGGTGGTAGAGTCATTTGATTCTTACAAAAGTTAATTGAAGTATTCTACAGTTGAGATTATTATCTGCCTAAGAGATAGGGTAAACAGTTCAACCGACTACCAGCTTATTTAGGTAACAAGTTGGGTTGGGTTGAAAAATCTGAACCTATTTGACAAAGACTAGCATTTATACTTTAAAGCACCATTTGATTTGATTATTCTCTCAGGTATCAATTAGTGACCATATGAAAGTGTTTCTAAAATCAAAAAGACTAAAATACCCTAAGAAACATGTGATGATAGTTGGTTTTTAAATAGTGAGCAAATTACAGTTTTGCCCCTCGTGATATGTTCCTATTACAACTTTCATCCTTAAACTTCAGTTATTATACCGGTGAACAGTGATAGATGTAATTGTAATTTCTTTCGACTCTGGTCTCCAAATGACAACAGTTAATCTTGTACCCATGTTTCTAATTTTCCATTATAAAGCTAAAATTTTATACATTACACTGTTATATGGAGATTTTTCTACTTATCTCTCACTATTATTTTCTATATTTTAGCATATATATTGGAGATGCTCTAACATTTTTTCTTCTTTGAGACACTCGGTGTTGCAAGTCATGAAATAGAAAACCATTTATAGCCAAGCCATTGCCTCCTACTATCATTTACATCCGACCACCAATATGTATCTATTTCTCCCTTCTGCGTCACGTGCTACCACCATCACACATCCACCATCTCAAGTCTTTTGAGAAAGAGAAAAACGCAATATGACCAACATTGATATATATATATATATATATATATGAGAGAGAGAGAGAGAGAGAGGGGGGGGGGAGAGTTTATACGAGAATGATACATATTTAAGAAAATAAAAAAAATGACCAAATTACGTACAAAATCACATGTGATGACTAGAAAAGTGTGTGGGCAACCCTATGGCCTCGTGACAAGGTCACGTAAATCACATATGACTTTGTACGTGATGTTAGTACAAAATCACATGTGATTCAACAATTTTCTTAAATACGTACTATTCTTGTATAAACTCGACTCTCTCTCTCTCTCTCTATATATATATATATACACATGTGTGTGTGTGTATATATATATATATATATATATATCACACGTACGCCACAAATCGACGACTCCATCTTCTTAATACACCGAAGCTTTGACCTACAACTCTATTTTCTCAAGACATATCAAAGCTCCCCTAGATCAATGTCTCCAACATGCAACTCCATCTCTGACAATGCTCTCATTCCTTCACGTGGATCGTACCATTTCATCGCTACAACTTCTGTCATCGACTATCTGTTTTGGTTTTTGATGCAGGGTATTGTTTTTAGGATATGAACTAGGGTGGGTTGGTGAAGGGGGAGTCGAACGAGGAGGTTAGGTCAAAATGAATATTGAATCTTAATTAATAAAAGAAAGGGGAATCACGACAGTGATGAAAAGTAAGGTCAATTCAACATTGGCATGCAACCACACCTTACGAGGTGATTAAAACGATTTAAAAAATATAAAGACCAAAATATCCTCAAGTAAAATAACCCTTACTTTCGGTCATCATCCAGAGGGACCGAATTCAAAATGAAATTCAAACCACAACGAATATCACTGGTCCACCAGTGTAATAAACAAAGTTGAGGGACCAAAGCTGATACTGAGAAAATACCACATGGACCAAAACTGTAATTTTTTCATTTATATTTGAATCTTTCAAACCGAACAATACACTTTATTTTTGGGAAAAAAAACAGCATTAAAAGCACCAATTCGTTTGATTCTCTTTTCTCTGGTCTCAAACCTCTGATATCACCGTAGGTTTGATCGATTAATTCATCAATACATTAATGCTATATATCACGAGAATTGATTGAATGATTTGAATCGTTTTTGTTTCTGATTGTGAAACGTGTTTTTGATTTGTTTTTTTTTGGGTTGTTTTGACAGGGAAGAAACTGAAATCGAATAATCCTTTTTTGTTTGTGAGAAATGGCGACGAAGAAGAGTGTAAGTAGTTTGAAGGAAGGAGATCTGAAGGGGAAGAGGGTGTTTATTAGGGTTGATCTCAATGTACCGTTGGATGACAGCTTCAAGATCACCGATGACACCCGTATCCGCGCTGCTGTCCCTACGATCAAATACTTGATGTCTAATGGCGCTAGAGTCGTCCTTTCTTCTCATCTGGTATATGTTTTGTGTTCTATTTTGTTCTTCACTCGATTTGGATCATATATACGTGTGTTGCCATCCATCTTCAACTGATCAATCACATGTCATAAGTAATAAGTTATAAGTAACATGCTGTGTTTGATGTATTTGTATCGTTTTCGCATATTCATTCATAGAACTTGAATATGTGATGTTTGATTACGTGATTATGATGTGGATTTTGAAACCGTATTGTTCATAATTTTATCTCAACAAGGATGGTAATCAATTGATCCCAATATATGTTAATATGTGGAAAATGCTCCTTGAAGGAGCTTCGGGGGCACAATATATAGAACCCATTAGCTTAATGCCTTTGGAGAGTGCGCCAGGGTTCCAACATATACCGACGGGAGCTAGTACAAGTCTAGCCGACGTTGGAATACAACGCCCCCTCCAATGGAGGCTGGACAACACAGATTGTCCCAAAGTGTGTTGACTCTAATGTGAAAGTATATATGAAACCCATTAGATTATTCTTTAAAAGATCCCTTGTGGAGATAACGGAGGTCCCACTGTATATTGAGGATAAATGGTTCAAGTAGTCTAGCTGATTTGGAACTCTAACGTGATCCAACGGATATCTAAGAAGGCAGATTCAGAATTGGGACTACATTCCAAAGGGGATAATAAGACATGTTTACTCCTAAAATAGGAATTACTAAGGGAAACGATATATATCACTTTCGTTTATAATGACATCTTTTTGTTGGGAATCAAATTACTGAATTTTGAAGTAATCTGTTTCAGTTACGTTGATAGACGATTATGACTCATAGTTAAATTTTCTACTGAAAATGCGGAGAAGTTTACTAGTAGTATAAGGTTTTTATATTCTCGTGTTTGTTGTGTATGTATTTACAGGGACGGCCAAAGGGTGTAACCCCAAAATACAGTCTGAAGCCGCTTGTGCCTAGACTCTCTGAGCTTCTTGGAGTTGAGGTTTATTTCTATCTTCATTTTCATCTGCATAACTACCCTCATCAGTTATTGTAACCGTTGGTTTGAAGTGTCCTCTTTGCACCTTAACATGTAACAGGTCAAGATGGCAGGTGATTGCATCGGTCCAGAAGTTGAGAAACTGGTGGCCGAGATCCCTAATGGGGGCGTTTTACTTCTTGAAAACGTCAGGTTTTATCCAGAGGAAGAGAAGAATGATCCTGAATTCGCAAAGAAGCTTGCATCTCTAGGTGACCTGTATGTCAATGATGCATTTGGCACTGCACATAGGGCACATGCATCTACCGAGGGTGTTGCAAAGCACTTGAAGCCTTCGGTTGCTGGGTTCCTCATGCAAAAGGTTTGTCCTAGCCTTCATCTCTTTTTGTTGATTGTCGTAAATGGTGAGCAAGGAGACATTGAATATTTGGTGGCAATGTAGGTCAAAGCTATAAATCAAGCGGTGTTTCTTTCTGTCCTTTGGGCCTGTTGTGTCGTTGGTGAAATGGACTAATGCTAACGATTAGAGCAACATATTTAGTAGTCAAGATACAACAACTTTTATATTAGTCGGTGTTCACAAAAGCGTCATGGTGTAAGACACGTACCCGCCGTGTTGTGTAAGGCGTGGGTCACACCATGCGCCTTGAGGTGCGCATGCATTTTTTACAAGACATGATTTTTTTTAAATTCTTTTAAATATAAAGTTTTTTCTAATTTTTGTGTTTTTACACTTTCAACATTATATTTTATTATTTTTACAAACTTAGTTAATCACATCACTCTCAGTTTCTTGGATTCACACATGTCACGGATTCACGGTTAAAACGAAGTTGTAGAATTTTTCCACTTCTATTTTGAATACCTGATCACAAACTTTTTATATAAAACTAGCTAATTTATATGAATGAATTTTTTTAATATCATTATATATATGACATACAAATTTGTCGCTTTATGTTACGCCTCAACAAATGCGACAGGCTTGAGGTCGTTGCATCCCATTTTGAACCTCGATATTAGTTAAACCACACCAATCTAACCTAGAATATTCTATTCGGAGCTTAGGTCTCATGGTGTGATGTATGCATACATGACTCCTACTCCAAAGAGTAGAACAGTTGTTTCTGCTATGTGAGAAAAAAGTTTGACCTACGATTTTCAGAAAGATTGTTGCAAAGTTTGAAGAAAAAGAAGGAAAAAATTCAAAAGAGAGGATCTTCGAAAAAGAAGGAAGGCCAGGCTAAAAGATATGAAGCAACAATATAAAACAAAAAAATTAATTGAAGATATTAAATCTTAATCATAATGAAGAAGTTCATCTTCATTAAGCACACTTCAGCTTTGGAATCTCTCGTTATTTCTTGACACTTCGATACAAAACTGCCTAAATTTGACTTCAAATGGAGTCAATTTTTAGTTTTTTTATCATTGTTCTGGTTAGCCATGAGGAAGTTACTAGACTGTAATGAACTATATTTGGTAATTTTTATCCATATGTTCTCTTTTCAGGAACTTGACTACCTTGTTGGAGCTGTATCTAATCCCAAGAAGCCATTTGCTGCAATTGTTGGTGGTTCAAAAGTTTCAAGTAAAATTGGTGTTATTGAGTCATTATTAGAGAAGGTTAACATCCTTGTGCTTGGTGGAGGAATGATATTCACTTTCTATAAAGCCCAAGGGCACAAAGTTGGGTCTTCCCTTGTGGAAGAAGATAAACTTTCCCTTGCAACATCACTTCTTGAAAAGGCCAAGTCTAAAGGGGTTTCTTTGCTGCTTCCTACTGATGTTGTAGTTGCTGACAAGTTTGCTGCAGATGCCAACAGCAAGGTTTTTTTTATTTTTTATTTTTTTTTCCTCCCATTTGCTCACCCGTGTTTATTCATGCTTTGTTTTAGTAGCTTTTGACACTCGGTATCCATGCTAAATGCACTTGAATGGCGTGGAATGGAAGAGTTCCACATTGAGTTTCTTAGACTGCATTTGGTACACAAGACTTTACACAACATGACAAAAACTCATTGTTTCTCATGTGACATGACATGGGATTGGGATTGAGTGGGACAAAAATGATTTTTTTGTTCCACCGAAATACTAAAAATTTACTACTCTACCCTTATTTGATATATAGCCATAGCATGGTATTTCATTTAATATGGTCACCACCACCCACCAAAACTGCCACAATCACCACCGCCCACCTCTCCTATTCAACCACCATCTCCACCTCTACCATCACCGGCTACCACCTGCCAGCCAGCATCACCCTTACCCCCACCTCCACCAAGACCACCACTTCTACCATCGTCGACTACCACCTGCCACCCACCAAAGCTTGATTTGTGTCATTTATAATTATTACACGATATATAAAATCTCTAAATAGGATGTTTAATTTTAACAGTTTTGTCCTATATCTTACCAAACATTATACAGACAACTTGTTCAGTCTTTTCCTAGTCGCACGAAACATTATACATACAACTTGTCCAGTTCCGTCCCATCTGCATACCAAATGCTACCTTTACTGAATAGGATCCTACCTGTATATTTGCTTTTATTTCATGTTGGTTGGCAGTTTGCCAACACATCATTGTATGCATACTTTAGTTGAAGTGTAGATTACATGCTAAATGGTCTGGTTATTGTTCGATTTTAGGTTGTTCCAGCAAATAGTATTCCTGATGGCTGGATGGGACTGGACATTGGACCAGATTCCATCAAGTCATTCAGTGAAACTTTGGATACTACCAAAACCGTCATATGGAACGGACCTATGGGTGTGTTTGAGTTCGAGAAGTTTGCTGCAGGAACAGAGGTACACATTCTGGTCTCTTAAGTTATTTGATCTTTAGGTTTTCATGCATAGAGGAAAGTTCAAACGAGAACCATAAATATTTTAAAAACCTGAAAACCAACTATTCATGCGATATTCATGATAATGATGCACTAGATGATGAATACTCAAAATGAGAACACATGATATTCGTTGTAAAAATACATTCATCTTCATGATGAAAATGCATAATATTCATGATTATTCATACAATGCAGGTTCACATGAGAACCAATTATTCATGTTATATTCATGATAAGGGTAGACCACGTTTTTCATCCCTGTGGTTTGTTAAAAATTATGATTTTCGTTCCAGTGGTTAGAAATTGCGGTATTCATCCCTATTTGTTTCGGCCCTTGTTTACAATTCTTTAATTTTGGTTCCTTGTACTCAAAGGTGGGAATTAGTCCAGGGACGAAAATAGCAATTGCAAACCATAGGGACGACTATCACAATTTCTAAACTACAGGGGTGAAAATTGAAATTATTAACAAACCACATGGACGAAGATTGTAATTTACTCTCATGATAATGATGCGATTCACGATGAAAATCACTCATGATGAAAATACATGATGTTCATTGTAAAATACGTTTATATTCATGACAAACATACCCGATATTCATCATTATTCATGAGGAATTAATATATTCAAAATATTTATGGTTCTCATTTGAACTTTTCCAATATGTAACATTTGTAACGGAAGTGACAACCATCATCGGAGACTGATGTCTAAAGGTCGTGTTAACAGGCTATCGCGAAGAAATTGGCCGATCTTAGTGGGAAGGGAGTGACAACCATCATTGGAGGTGGCGATTCAGTTGCAGCTGTGGAAAAGGTTGGGCTTGCCGACAAGATGAGCCACATCTCAACAGGTGGTGGTGCTAGTTTGGAGCTTTTGGAGGGTAAATCACTTCCTGGTGTGCTTGCTTTGAATGACGCTTGAGCCGAGCCGAGCCGACCCTCTTGTTGATCTTGTTTTTGCCATTGTTTTGCTTCAAACGGAGAGTGAGAAATGTGGACGATAATGAAACCCGACTTGCGGTTAAGGGTATTAGTTTAGAGTAGAAGTTAATAAAAAGGTCCAGTGAATCTGTGACCATGGCTGGTTCTTGAATTGGTATCAACAGTCCTTGTATAAATGATCTTCATTTTGTAGCTTCATGGTGACATTTGTTCTACTGCTTTTGTTTTGGTATGAATGAATATAAATGAAAGATTGAGATTGGATTGGACAGAACTAGATGGACAAGAATTAAGTAGGTGGATGAAAGAATTAAGACAAGTTTTGGAGGTTTTAATTTAATATAGATAGTTTAGTAATTTACCATGCTTTGCCAACTGAACCCCTTAGGATTTTTGGTTCAAACCAGTTATGCAATTAAGAATTGGTTCAACTAAGGACCTGTTCGTCAGAAATTAACGTTTTTAAGTTGCTACTCACAAGCTATAATTAATTTCATCTACTCTGATTAATATTTACAATTTATATGGATTTTAAAAAATTATGATTTCGTTTATAATCAAATAAATAAATAAAAAGTTGTATATTTGAAAAACCTTGATAAATTACACTCGGCTTGGCCAGATCAAAACCGGTAAAACCGGTTCAAGCTTGTGGAGGTTGGCACCGGTGATTAATCGGCTTGGCCACCTATACCTATCAAAACTCAAAGTCTATTCCCATTTATTGCATATCGAAGTTGAATTTTGAGCAAAAGGTTGATTACCGACAATCCTAACTATCCCCACATGAAACATGTTAGGAGGCATTTCATCAGAGCAGACACAAAAACTGAGGCAAGCAGAGGGGTTTAAGCACTTCTCCTGCAGGATCCGAACATGAACCTGTTGTGTATTTGAGCAAGGTTGCTCCACCCCGTTTACCAATTGAGCTACACAACCCGAGGGCCATATTGAAGTTGAATTGCATCATCACACAAAAAGATATGATATTGTGATCCATGAAAATGTTAAAGTCGTCCAATGCAATTCAAACCTTAATATGGTCCCATCCCACCAACATCCACAAATTGGAGCAAAGGGTCATTTGCCCAATGATACATACCTATAGAACCCGGTCTTCACTAGGTCAAGTGTCCATACGTCACCAAATATGAGGAGTGTCTATATTTACCGTATATAAATATTATATACTTAAAAAGACATCCACAAATTGGACAAGTTTAACCTTCAAAAGGTAATTGAAACCTGACTCGGTTCAAGAGGTCAATAAGGTTCATGTTTAACCAAAAAAAGAAGAAATCTTTGTAGTTGAATAAATCTGGAAAGAACCCACCAAGATTAAACACTAGAACGAGGAAATATCCATGTTTATGATGCACAATTTCCGCTACCGATAACGAAAAGGGCCAGAACGAGGTTTCTCAGGGTACCCGTTAATGTCAAGAAGTTGAGGTTGAAGTTGAGACAGGAGTATCCTCTTGTGCTCCCCATTCGGTCCATGATCCATCATAAACTGGAACATTGGTCTTCCCGAGTCGATGGAGTCCCTACAAAAAATAAGACATTTTACTTCAAAATCCGACAAACAAATGATTTTCATAGAAATATCAAACGCCAATGTTGTTTCAGTCGAAAGGAAAAGAGAATTTCACCAATGCAAGAATGCATGCGGTAACTCCGGTGCCACATGACGTAATAACAGGGTTGTCCAATGAGATTCCTATAGAATATCAATAATCATAAAACCACACTCAGTATATGACACATAATATATATATATATATATATATATATATATATAGGTATAGATATAGGGAGGTTCAGGGGAAAACACTCAAGAAAATGAAAAATTGAGGAATGCCTGGTAACCATCATCTGTACGATATGCACATATGCATACAAGTAATTGAAGTTGTCTCTTGGTCTCTATACACGTGTGCATGTTATGCACATGTATATACTTTACAGATGAATGGTTACCAGGGTGTTCCTCAGTTTTTCATTTTTTTATAGTTTTCCATGACCCTATATATAGGGTCTGTGGGGGTAGGATGTAAGTAGACGTTGCCTCTGCCTCTACCCTGAAGGGTAGAGAGACTTTGTATTAATTAGAACATAATGCGTATAAAATGTAGTAATCATGTCTATGCTTGAACCATAAGGTGGCGTTTGGTTTGCAAAATGTTTTCTAAAAGAATGTAATCTGTCAAAGAAATTGGAATTTGAAGGAATTGGAATGGAATTTAATCAGATTCGACCACACGTTTGGTTGGCAAGAACTAGAATGGAATACGTCAAGGAAATTAGAATCTGTTTGTTTGATTTGAAGAACGTAGCTTCAGAATAGAAATGAAATAATGTTAAATGACCAAAATACCCTTTTTAGTGAAATAATTTTTGGTATGATCTAAACCAAAACCTAAACCTGCATTAATGGCTTAGGTTTTATATCTTCCTTCTCATTCTATTTGAAGAAAATAATCTCTCTTTCCCCCTAACAGTCTCAAGTAAAAAAAAAAGAAAAAAACTGGCAAGTTCTTGACATTATCATTCATTTCATGTGGAATACAAACGTAAAAGGGGTAAAGTAGTCTGTTCATAATGCAAACCGTTGCAAGATTTAATGATCCGGAGTAAAATTCGGGAACAAAACAAAAAATGAAGAGTTTACCCTCTTGTTCGAACTTTTTCGTAAGCTGGTCTGCTGATAGTAGTGTCTGTGAGGCATCTAACATCTGTAAGAACCAAGAAGAACATCATCATCATGCACGAAAAGAACATGTTTTTAGACTACTTGATTTATCATTTTGACCAAAAAGTGAGACTTCAGGTATAACTAGGGGTGAACACGGGTTGGGTTGATCAAGTTGAAGGCATTTGAACAACACAACACAATGTTTGTGGTTTGAAAAATCTCAACCCAAACTCAAACCGTTCGGGTTGGGTTAGGTGGGTTGGTCGGGTTGAAACTCTCATACATCAAAATATACCCGTATGTTTGTTACCTTGAATATAATGTTTTCTCTACTCATAATTCCTTCATTCATCATCAATTAATTGGTACAGCTTATCCATACTCCTCTTTAATTAGATCACATTTCAACTAATTTTCTTAATTTGCACACACACACACACACACACACACATATAGACGAAGCATCGTGTGGGAATAGGAGTTAAATTGAGAAGTGTAAGGGATTTTGGACCCTTGATCACTTTTAATTAGTGTTGATCTAATGGTTCAAATTAAGTCCCAAAATAATCCATGAATTAGCTTAGACATGTATTTTTAATTGGTCATCAATTAGGATTGATTCAAGGGTGGAGATCCCTTCTTACCCTTCTCAAGATAACTACTATTCTTACCCGAAACCCTCTCTCTCTCTCTCTCTCTTTCAATTTATTGGGTTGTATTGGTTGTACAAATGCGATAGGTTGTATTTGAAATAAACCCTATATATATATATATATATATATGGAGAGGATCAAACGAGAATGCTAACTATTTAAGAGAATACGAAAACGGCCAAATCACATGTGAGTTTACATTAAAGGTCAAAAAAAGGTGTGCAGGCGACTTTGGCCGCATCTTCAGGTCACGGCGCAAAGTCGTATGAATCACATATGATTTTGTACATGATGTAAGTGTAAAATCACATGCGATTTGACCGTTTCTTATTCTCTTGAATAGATACCGTTCTCATTTGAACCCGACTCTCTCTCTCTCTCTCTCTATATATATATATATGTATATATATATATATATGAACATATATACGAAAACAAATGCAAGAGTTATATAGAGACGGATAAGAGATTTAAAGTATATGTATATGAAGAGGGTGATGGTCTAACAGTCTAATATACACATTAACAAGGGACCTAGCAATCATATAAAATCCAAGGAAAAGTGGGGTATCGAGTTCATCGGGTCGGGTTGGGTTGGGTTGGGTTGGGTTGGGTTGGGTTCAAATAAATCGTAACGCAATTCCAACCCTGTACCTACAGTTTGAAGATTATACAACTCGATTAGGCATCGAGTAGCTTCGGGTTGGCTTGGATTAGATTGGCCAGGTTGGTCGGGTTTTTGCGCACCCCTAGGTATAACTGAATAAACATAAAAGAACACAAGCATAAGAATCAACACCTTAAGGAACATTTTTCTTTATTTTTAGCGATCAAAACCATAATAACGAGGAGAAAAAAGATCTTGATGCTAAAGGAGATATCGGTGTTGCAATTTGTTGGTTTTGTTTACAAGTTAACAGATAAAGAAAGACCATTGGAAATCATGGTTCTTGTGTAATACTACATGGATCATATATAATTGATGAGGATAGACTTGATTACCTGCGGAAAAGGAACACATTTACTCCCGGGCACATGGCCACTCCTTATTCCTTTTCGAGGCTCGGCTGCAACACCATCAAACCTGAAAACGAATCAAAACCACCATAAAAAAATAATTCCACTAACAATTACTCTCTCCGTTCCAAAATAAATGTACCCAATGAAAAAAGCCACACGGTTCTAGAAATGTGTAATCAATACACTTTTAATGAATTAAATGGCAATTTTACCGCTAATAATAGGGAGTAATAAATTTCCCCATCTCAGAATTAAGGGTAGAATAGGAAGGTAGACACTTTGATTGTATTCTTCAAGGAAAAAGGGTTGTGGCAGTGCAACCAGTAATCTTTACGCACATATGATTGTAACAAAATTCATTAAATTTGATTTCTTGTACCTGGCCTTTGACCGGGCATCTATATGTTGATGTGTTTGTTCCTCTGTATTCTTTTTAACCTGTAACAAACACAGCAGACACCACATAAAATGTGCACAATAGTGCACAATACACACATATCAATATATATATATATATATATATATATTATATATATGAAGTTCCGTTAGAAACCCAAAACAGATTAGGAACCCGAGAACCACCCACAACATGCCACGTGTCCCTCTTCAGGATAAATACTCATCATGAATCACACATTCATGATGAATAATACGTCCACATTTATGATGAATATGCCACGTGTCGCTCTATGGATGATTCCTGGGTTCCTAACCAAACTTGCCACCATATATATATATAAATATATATATATATATAGAGAGAGAGAGAGAGAGAGAGTCAAAATAGTAACCTAATAAGAGAATAAGAAAACAGTCGAATCATATGTGAATTTACACTAAAATCACGTGTAAAATCACATGTGATTCTCGCAACTTTGACCTTGATCTGAGGTCACAGGCCACATCGTCTGCACACCCTTGCATTGACCGTTAGTGTAAAATCACATGTGATTTTGCACGTGATCTGGCCGTTTTCGTGTTCTCTTGTTTGGTTATTGTTCTTGTTTGAACCTCCCCCTCTATATATATAGGTGGAGGTTCAAACGAGAACACATTTATTTTACGGAAACGCGATAACACCCTTATCACATGTGATAATACACGTGAGGGGATTTGGTGAGTCCTGTGACCTACGCAATGCCAAATGTCGCCCGCGTCTCTGATTTATCATTACATGTGATTGACTATAGTAAAAGGGTGTTCTCATGTTCTCGTAAAATGTTCTCATTTGAACCCTTCTCTCTCTCTCTCTCTCTCTCTATATATATATATATATAGTGTGTATATATATATATATATATATATCTTTGTGTCAATGGTGGGCAGTCGAATATCAAATACCATTTCAATTTCGAATTTATTTGCTAAATAGTCATTGTCCAGGCTTAAATACCATAAAGAGCATAAACGATCTTACACCCACATATATATGCATAGACTTATTTATTTTCTCCCTTTTGGTGACATATCTCATCATACTAACCATGCTTGACGACTTTTACGAATTGAGAAAAGCACATAAACATAATTCAACAAACCTGTTCAAGTGTCCATACAAGATGTGGCTGATATTTTGTTAGAAATGTAACTGGACCAACCTGCCAAAGAACAAGATTCACCCAATTCCCACAACTTTTATTCAGAAATAATATCAAAAAATTGAAGAAATCAAGTGAAATAAATACTTTTATTCACTTGTATTAGAATATGTTAAAGGAATAGTTATGGACTTACAGCCTGCCCATGGTATACTTTTTCTATTGCCTCACTTGCAGCACTAGCCTTCAATATTGCATCACTAGAAGCACTGGATTCAACATCAAATCCCGAGGCACGCCATCTGGGGAGGCCTCCATCTAATACCCATACTCTATCATGTCCAAAAACTCGGAACATCCTACAAGAATTTCCCAATAAAACCAATCACTTTCTTCAGGGTTACATCAGCAAAGAGGCGGACCCAGATGTTTTTTTAAGTGGTTGCACAATTTGACTATAAAAATAAATATATAATTTTTTTACAATATTGGCATAGATCGGTCGGTTGGTTCTTTGTCCCTGCAAAGAAGGAACCTATGTTCGAGTCCTGGTTATAATTTTTTTTAAAACACAAAAGGTTATATAAAAAACACCAGAAGGTAAGCTGAAAACTAAGAAATTTGACAAAAATGGGACTCAAAGAGGGCCTTTTGTACAAAGTCAGCAACATTTACCAACTCCGTCATTAGAGAGTTGTGCCCAGATTTCAGTTCCAAATACTACATGGGCACCTAACAAAACAATACAGTGGCACCCTTCAGAAATATAATTTTTTCCCTTGCGACGGAACAATGAAGTTGTGACCCATGCCACCGTATGCTCCTATGTAGGTCCGGCTGTCCACCCCTGCATCAACATGGTATAAACCATAGCAGTTAAGTACTTGTAACTCACCACCAGACACGAGCGGCACTGAAGATCCCTTTACCATCATAAACAACAACTCCATCTTTGTTTTCAATACCAAGAGCAGAAACAGCAGCAGCAAATGCTTCATCGGATGGCAACATGTGTGGCAGCTGAATCATTCGAGAGACACATAGAGAACATTAATTGATTTCCTTTTTTCAGGTCCCAAACTAAGTTTTATTTCAAAATAGTACATAAAAAGAAATAGAAGAGAGCATCTCACATTAGTGGTTCGGTCTGATATCCCATCTACATCAAAGAAAAGAGCACCAGGAATGTGGGCAACCTGTTGAAATCCCCTCCAAAATGAAATAGGAAGAGAGAATACAGAACATAAAATAGTGGAAACAGAATTTGTCAAATAGGCTACTCAAGAAAGGAATGTACCCTTTTGAAACTTAGGGGCTGTTTGGTTGGTTTCCATTAAGTACTGTATGGATAAAGTTGTTTGTGTGGATTAATCTGTTTGTTTAGATTGGGAAGGCTTTTTTTTTTTGGGGGGGGGGGGGGTTCTCAACTTCTCATGGATGGAGTGAGCAAGGAAGGGCAGATTTAGAAAAACTTGGCTTTCTGCATAAAGCTCCCCCCTAGAAGCTTACTAAATAAGACACTTTCTATATCACTAAGCCACTATCAAACAGTCATGTATAGCTGATCGAATAAGCTATGAGTCCCATTAAGCTCATTAAGCTGCTAACAAACAGGCCCTTAAGTTCCTTGCAACATTCATAACCAAGTAATTGTCACATAGATGAGTTAACAAATTATAACATGCACCTGATACTCTTGAAGTGGATTTCTCTGTTCATCAGGCATGTACCAGGATGCATCCAACACCTGCAAGTATATCCATAAAACTAACATGAGAACAATCATCGTAGAATACTGCCCACACATATGCCAAGTATATCCATATTGTTGGTGATTTTAGTGTCATCAAACATGTTGGTGTAATTAGGATCGACTAGGTGATTGGGCAGACATAATGTGAGTTAGGAGGTGTGGAGCCCAAACTTGCAAATGTCATCCCTATCACCTTAGATCGCCATAAGGTGGGGGTGCCTCTAGTGGGATTATTTAGGAATTATAAGTTTCTGGACCTGCTGAATGAAATTTAGAAGGTTAGAAACTTAGTGTTTTGGAAACTAAGGGGCCGTTTACCAGACTCTTACCCCCGGGTAAGTGTTTACCGGTAAAATTCAACACTATCACTTACTTACCGGGTAAGATTTTAGTCCACCAAAACGGTATAATGCAACAATTTACCCGGTAAGCGCTAACCATGGTAAGAGTCGTCACCCTCACTTACCGGATAAGACTCTCGTCCTTGCCTTTGCTCTTATCGGGTAAGATTGTTGGTCCTTATCATATTCATCCGGTAAGGTAATGTGACTTGATACGCACTTACCTGGGTAAGCGTTTGGTAAACGGCCCCTAAGTATAGATTCAGAAGCCTCTGAGTTTGCATCAAAAGCTTCTGATTGAGAAGGGTTCCTAATCAGAAGCTTCTGAGTCAGTTTCTGATCTATTTTTCAATCCTATCCACAAGCCCCTATAACTGTTTATCTATTAAATGCCTAACTACCCCGTAACTGTCGATCTCTCTTATAAATGTATAAAGCGGTCAATCTAGTGTATATATACTCAAGTTTTCTGCTTTAAGACCAGTGTGACTTCTTGGACTATTCCAGTACTGATTATGTGAAACCTAAGGCATAGCCGCATAAAGAGTCGAAATATAGTAATTTGAAAAGTACTCTTAATACACAATCCAAAGAATTATCCAAATGATTGCAACCATGAAACCCATATTCTCAACACATACAACTCATATGGGAACAATTATAAATATTACAAATTAGAGGTTTTGACTTTCATAGAAATATTCCTAGTTGAAAAGTATCCAGCCTTTTCAGGAAAATATATTTTCTATTCATGCGATATCGACTATCGCATCACTCCACCACTTCACTCATTTGAGTACATTAAACTGACCTATCAACTCCAAACCTCTGCAATTGGCTAGAATAATAATAACTCAGAGAGAACTTGTAGCAGACAGTTTGCATAATTATTCTTCTAAATGGAGTAAATTGCTTAAGAAAGTGGTCGGACTTTGTCGACTGTAACACGAGCATAACCATACACATGCTTTCATAAAACCCCAAAGCTGAAGTTCACATAATGTCAAATTTCGCCCTATTAGAACATGCATAGTGTTTTCTCAGAAATGAATAGAATAGAATGAAAACGTAAAGGCCTCTATGCTCTTAACATATGCCAATTGAGCACCTAATGTCCTGTGTTTAAGAACATAGATCAGCCCAACACCAAAAGGGGAACAACATTAGTGAGTCAAGCCAGTACCTTGATATCAGGTTCACGCAGATTGGCATGGAGCCAGTCAACTGAAACAACAGGCTCGGTAGTCGACATGGACTGTGTTAAAAAAGTAGCTGTAGATCCAACCGCGGTTGAAGCCATGTCACTACGAATTGAGGAAGTACTCATATACGCCATACGAGATGAGGAAGCCCACAAATGAAGGGGTTTCTTCTGAAAAATGATAAAAGAATATAGATATATGAGGTACTGGAAGTATATCAGAACTCTAACAAAGAATAGTTTCATGTGGTTAAAATTGCAAAAAACTTTATTAACCTCAAGAAAATAAATGACACTTCAAATACCAATCTTTTTCTTTTACTTTCCCCCCTTTTGCATAGTTCTATTCTTCTAACCAATTTAGTACCATTTCTTTTGAAGTTTATGGGACTTATAAAGGAGATATCTTCCACTTTTGCCATTGGATGTTAAGCAGTATGCTCAATATTTTGCTTAAATAAAATAACAATGAACTGAAGCTTGCATAAAACATAATTTTTTTGCATTCAACAAGTGTTTGGTTTGAATTCCAGAATCAAACACATGGTGGGCATCTGATTTTTACCAAGCAAAATAGCATCAATCCAACCTAAGAGAGAAAGATTTGATTATGTTTATGAGACAATCAACAAGCTTCAACGATTCAATTCGGCACCTAAGTTGATCATGTCAGAATACAAGAATCAAATCAACTACTGCTATCTAACGATTACGAACCTACCAATGATAAAACTACGTATTGATATGATCAAAATCAACATGATAAAATTGGTAAAAATCAGAATACTTACAAAGAGAAGGGACGCCAATTTTTGGGGCTTTTGATTGAGGGCGAAAGACGAAACAACACGATTTGCAAAGAAAGTTCTTGAAAGAAAGGCGGATGCCATTTGATCAGAAACCCTGAAAAGATACTACAAACACCATATATATAAACAAGCGGAATGGCGAAATTAAGCAACCGTTTTATAAGCAATTGATGAAATTGTTGTTGATCATCTCAACAACACAACACAGCAGCAGTCGTTCACTCTTTATTCTGTCTACTCCAATCCAGGTAGTTTGTCTTTAGCATGATACCGACGAAGAAAAGGGTTTGTATTCTTAAAAGTAATCATCAGCCCTTGGAATTTCAAAAAAGTGCAAAATGACCCCTATGTTTTGAAATCTTTTTCTATCCATATTCTTACTTTTTAGTGCCCGTTTGGCAGGAAGAATTTGGATTTCGTGGAATGATTTGGAATCGGACTTTGAATTTTTGGTGTATTTGGGTTATTGGATTCGAAATGAGACTGGATTTCATTCTTTATGAAATAAAGAGTAAGATACTGTTTACCAAACACTTATCGGCAATTAGTTGCTACTTTCATGTAACTTATTGGGTCACATTCTCGGCCATCAAAATGAATTGTTGGTAAACATCTTTTACTTGGTAAGCATTTACTGGTTAAGGGTCTTTTCTCTCACTTACCGGCTAAGATTGTCAATCCTTGCTATTCCTCTTACCGGATAAGATTTTCAGTTTTTTTCATGTTCACTCAGTAAGGTAAGCGTTTACCCTGTAAGCGTTAAATAAACAGCCCCTAAGTTACATTTTTATGTGGTTTTGGTTTCTATGGTCTGTAATTCATTTGCTATTTTCGTTCTTATAATTTACTGTTTATTGTTGTTTTCAGTTTTTATGGTTTATAATTCTTTTTTTTTTTTTGGTTCCTTTTACTTGAAGGTGGAAATTAATCCAGGAATTAAAATAGTAATTGCAATTTCTAAACCAAAGAGATAAAAATTAACGGACCATGGGGACGAAAGTTGTAATTTACTTAAAAGTAAATTGTAAAAATAATTAATTTACCTTTTTATTAATTGATTTATAATAAAACAAATGTTTTTTAACATATTTTAAAACATTATTACAAAAAAATCTTATGAAAAACTGCAAGATACCAATTACTTCATGGGGTTTGTAAATGTCATGTTTGTAGAATTTCAATTCATGACTTTAAACCAAATGCAGGATTGAAATGGAATTCAATTCCAAATCCCGGAAAAATCCTACCAAATTACGGACTTTCCTTTTTATGATATTTTCTAACTAATTATTTGAACAGTTGATCGTGGATGCTTTAACGCATCCATTGCACTTTATGCCTCGTGCTTATTCCTACAATTTGAATCAATTCCCCACACGGAAATGCTTCACATAATTGTATCAGGTCCCTTATACTTCTTTAATAACGGCGGTCTGCATTATCCAACCTTGATTGATTAAGTCTACAAGATTTGACTTAAATACCAGATATAATTAAATCAGATAAAATTATTATGAATGAGAATTTGATATAACCCACATAAGGATTGATAACACCATCCAATACGATACAAACATTAAGGAGATAATTTTGTTTACCGAATTCCATTTTTGTGTTTGGTTCACATTCATAAGCCTCCCCCGCCACCATCATCGCAAATTTTATTAATTTTATTGTTGTCATTTATAACTCAAGCCAAAAAAAGTACCAAAAATGATATAAATAAATATTTTATTCATTTATAATTATTTCATTACAATTTTGAAGTTATATCCTGCGAACCATACAGACATATTCCAATTACTTTGACATATTCTGTTCCATTTCTTGCCAACCAAACATCTGTGTCATACATTATTATAATCAATTTTATTCTAATTCCTTCAAATTCCAATTCTTTTTTACACATTCCATTCCCTACAAAAATATTCTATCAACCAAATGGCCCCTAAACCTCTTGTCACGTTAGCGGCACCAAAGATCCTGTTACCATCATCAACACCAGTCGCATTTTTTACAAGTATTATCTTACAATGAGATAAAAGGAGTTCCACATATCATAACATGCTTGTGATATTGTTGGAGTGGATTTCAGTTCGTCAAGCGTATACCAAGATACCTACAAGCATACTCGTACAACTAAAATGGGATCAATCACCATAATAGAAATGTTCTAATTGGAGGCAACTTCAATTTCATGAAAACTAAATGTGTAACAGTATATCTATACTACATATATAGGCATTTAAGACAAAGTCTTAATTACAATTCTTGAAGCTTAAAGTACTATCATTTTATGCAACAATTTCAAAAATCTCTTAATTACAAATTCTTATGCATAATGTACAAGCTTTTTATGCAAGGATTTCCACAACATCAAATTTTAATTGGGTCAAACTTACCTTTTCTTATCAGACTTATAAAATTACCCATTTGGGCCGTTTCTTCTCTTCTGTATCTATGTCTGCGACTGAGACCAAAACACCAAAACCAAAATCTTCCTTCTTCTTCTTCTGTAATTTTTCTCAGATGCGGCCAAAACATTTTGGGTTAGATAGCAGGTAACTTTTTCTTCACAGACATMGTTTGACACAACAATGGTGGTTTTGATGTATCACCTCGATTAGATGTCCGATTTCATGTATCAAAGGATTTGATGTATCACAACCTCATTGATACATATAACTCCCTCTTCCCTGTTTTTAATCTCACATTTCTTCAAAACCCTAGAATTTTCATTTCAAGGTTCTGTCACCAAGGGAGAGAGGTGAGAAAATGGTCGTTCCAAAAGATGTGCGCCAAAATACGCCCGTCAAAATTGGGGTTAGTGATTTGTATGACTAATAACTTCTGTATTTTGTTAGATTTGTATGCGTATATCCTGAATCATACATCTATATGCAGGCAACTGCAGGCCTGAGACAGTTGGGAGTTGATGCATCTGAAAGAATTATGCAAGCTGTAAATATTACTCTTCCGCAAACTTCTTTTCTTACCTTCACGCTTTCCTCCTGTTTGAAGATTTCCATTTTTTATTAGTTGTTATTAGGGTCTTGTTTTTGAGCTCTTATGTGTCTCCGGGCTTAACCTGAAACTCCTTTTGATATTGGTTTGAAACACACCACATTCCTTGTCATATCGTATTCTTGCTTTGCATAATAAAACCTTTATCATACCTACAGGTGACCATAAATTATTTGTTAAAAGATTTGATAAGAAATATTCAGACACTGTTGGGGTAGTTGATATGGGTGGTGGATCATTACAAATGTTCATATCTTTCCTGAATAAAGAACTTACACAATAACATCACATTATAAAGACAATAATAACCTACAAATATGTGATATGATAAAATACATTGTTGTGCATCAACTTTGCATCACATCACATGCTTTTGCATTAGAAGGCAAATGGTATTTTTATCTRGATTAACCTTCCAAATTATGCGTTGTGGCATTTATTATGGAGAGACCTAATGATCATTGCTGAATTTATTTAGGATTGAGATATATTTTGCTACCTTTTGATCTGATCATATCAWTGTATTTAGGAGTCACTACCTATGGAGATGTTTTGTTGTTTATGGTACTTTTTGCTGTCATACTCACTGTCTCATTCAAGTAAGTAAATCTCTTCAGTTCATCAAAGAATTTTCACTATTTTCTTTACCTTATTGCATATTTATAATGTTTTTGGATCTATAAAGCCATCATAAAGTAACCAATGTCTATATCTAACACTGAAATGCTTAGCGGAAATGGAAAAATTAAGAACCTGAAGTTTCATGGCAGATTTTTAGCTGCTAAATAGAGTTTTGTATTATAACTTATAAGTTCAAGTGTCACCATGATTTTGCTTTGATAAGAGTTAAATTGCACTTTGTATCTTGTCCGCTGATATATCCATTTCTATCCAAACTTAAGAAGACTTCTTATCCATTCAAATATTGCAGTTAAAAGTTGATATATCACTTTCATTTAACTTGCTCTGTATCTTCCTTGCTTTGTAAGGTCATGAACCTTAGATAGAAACATGAAAGATGCAAGTCCCTGCTTACATTCTAAAGTTTTCTTTTTCTTAACAACCAAAGTCCAAACCATATGATTCTTGGGGTTTACATCATTGTTTCCCTTTGTTCTCATTTGTGATGGTGTCTTCACTGGTTTATGCTTTGGCATACATGTCACATGTCACAGTTGTGGATACCTGCCTAGATGAGCTTGAAATGTGTTCATRAACATAAGAAACACATGGCTATTGGGAAAAGTTGAATGTAAAGCATTCTCAGCTACTGCTATTAAGTTGTTTTACTTATTAATGCTGAAGCTTTTATGTTGAACTCAGATGAGAGAGCCCATTCATAGAAAGAAATTCGAGTTTKCACACTACTGGAACAAATCAGTGGATCAGATTTTTGGACCAGCTATCGAGGCTGTTAGCTCGTGGCGGTGAGTGCCCTTGATTTTCGACAAAAAAACAACAGCCCTTGAAATTATAGAAAAAGAAATCTATATACACAGATGCTATTGTTACTGTTTCCGTGCGTGTATGTGTGTTTATTTATGGATTATTATGAAAGAAAATAGTATTCATCATGAATGGAAGCAACAAGCAATATTCAAGATTTCTAGCGAACAAGGTGTGTTAAACCTGTAAGAAGGGATCATTCTTATATCTCTTATATATGTTATGTTTAGTCTATGTATAACACAGTTGAAAGTATGGGATTGAAGAGTTTGAACCACAACATCTTGAGCTATATCTGTAGTGGTAAAGCAAGAAAATGCAGTTTGGTCACCCATGCCTAATGATATTAACCTTTTCTTCTTATCCTCATCAATAATTGCCATTAAAATACCAAGAATACCCTTTATGGTCACATTTGTTGGTGTCTCCATCTTCAACTTCTCCATTTTTACACAGATAGTAGCTCTGCAACAACTCTGTGTGTGCATTAGAGGTGCTCAAATTACCAGCCAACCCAACCCGAATTCCCAAAAAAAACTCAATCTGAGATAACCCAACATATAGTTGATACAAAATTAGACCAAACCATATTTGTTGGGTTGGAATTGGGTTAGGGTTATTTGAACCCAACCCGATGCCTTTTTATACATTATGGATTTAATATGATTCTTAAGTCTTGATTACAACATATGTGCATTAGATACTAAACCAACCGTAATTAGCTATATTAAAAGTAATATTACAATTTCAACCTTGGTTTACAGACTGTGTAGGCTCAAAATTGGTAGCTAAAGGACTGTTTTATGTGAAAATCAGAAGCTAAAGGGGATGTTTTCTGGCTAAATTTCAGCAGCTACAGGGGTGTTCTGTGGCAAAAAATCGGCACCTAAAGAAGTTGTTCCATGGATAAAAAAACAGCAGCTAAAGGGGATGTTTTCTGGCTAAATTTCTGCAGCTACAGGGCTGTTTTGTGGCAAAAAGTCAGCACCTAAAGAAGTTGTTTCGTGGATAAAAAAACAGCAGCTAAAAGGGATGTTTTCTGGTTAAATTTCTGCAGCTACAGGGCTGTTTTGTGGCAAAAAATTGGCACCTAAAGAAGTTGTTCTGTGGATAAAAAACAGCAGCTAAAGGGCTGTTTTGTTGCTAAAAAAATCACAGGATTACATGCGAATTCTCCCGCAAGATCTGACAGCATGTTTTATCTAAGGTAATAATCTTGCTCTTTTACCTGTTTCTTCAACTTCTATAAACTTGAAAGTGGTTATCTTCATCTGAACCTTATTACATAATGCTAATGTCGTCTTTGGACTTCAAATTCTTTGATTAATGCTACTTTTGGTGATGGGTTGTTCTTACTTAGTCGTGAAAACCGTGATTCCTTTGTGATCATCATGCATTKTTTATGGCTTGAAGTTGAAATTTCTGTTGAAATACGGAATCAAGTAGAGAAAGAGAGCACGACGACATCGACAGAAGCTATGAAGCGGGAAGTAACAGATTTGGTTTTGCCATTGAAAGACTTGGAGAAGAGTGACGATRAAGATGACAACCACAACGACATCGTTTMCTTAATAATACTCTTCTAAATCTCTGTTTGTTTTCTATGAAGATCATCTTGAATGGCCGTTGTTTGGTTTTCAAAAAGCCCAAATCGCGACCTTCAAGAAATTGGGAACCATTATTATTACTTGGTCTCACAAAAACCGGCGATTATTATCCAAATCACCTCTCCCGTGAAGACCTTGTCGAGTTTGTTTCTTGTTTTATGGGTGTTCTTGTATAATCTTTATGAACGATATTAAGTAAAAATCTTATCTTTCTGTCTCCYCGCTTTGGGTTAAGATCTTTCCATCGGTTTAATCTAGACAAGAAAGTGCGATTTATGGGAAGTTTATATGTTCATTAGATCTCTACTTATGTTTCTTTCTTGTTTTATGAGCTAAAAAGACTTGAACTTGAATTATGAGGCATAATGATTCTGAATTATGAGGCATAATGATTCTGGTATGGTAATAAGAACCAAAAGAGGAGTTCAATAATTGAAAAGGTTGGRAATGAGATGACCCATTTAAAGYAGACAAAGGAATGAGAAGTGAAAGGCTTCTTTCTCTCTGATTCAAAAGGTTGGTGAAAATGAAAGAATTTGGAGGGTAAAACTTTGTTATTAATAAATGATCTTGATTTTATCTTGAATTGTTGTTTTATGGTAGCAAACAAGGGTTATCATCTCGAATGACCACCTAATAAAYCGCAAGTTGTGGTATCGTAGTCTCTTGTGTCTATTTACAAAATGCAAAAGCCAAAGTTGTAGGCTGCAAACAGCAAGGAAAAGTGTCTCTTTTGATGTTGTTTGTATTTGTAAGAAAATTTAACCCAATAAGAAAATTCAACTAAATTTAAATTCAAATTTTTGTAATGACTTCTGAGCATATGGGTTTAGAAACCCAATACGTGTGCAATTATTTTTCATTCGATCTTGTTTATACATCATATTAACCTTCAAGTTTATATATTAGTTGACTTGCAAAATAATCATATAAACTTATAATTCAAGGATAAACTAATGTTTTAAAATTGTAATTCACCCGCGCTGCATCGCGCGGGTATACCACTAGTCATCTTTAGATGGATATACAGAAACTCTAGAGTGTTTGAAACATAAACGTTATAGAAGAGAACCTAAATTACATTATTAGATACATTTTTAATAATTTAATTATCTAACAAATTTGTTTCTTTGGTGAATTATAAAACATAGCTAGGTTGAACATAAAAACAAGCCTGGGTAACAGCTTAGAGCCTATTTGTTAGCAGCTTAATAAGTTTAATGTGACTCATAGCTTATTCAGTCAATTATACATGACTATTTAATAGTGGTTTAATAATATAGAAAGTGGCTTATTCAGTAAGCATCTAGGGGAGCTTTATGCAAAAACCAAGTTTTTTCCAAATCTGTCTCTCTCAATTAAAAAATACGTTTCTCCCATCTATGAAAAACCCTCCCAAACAATAACCTTCACAATCTACACAGACATATTAATTCATGGAAACAACTTTATCCAAATGACTTGATAAAATACCAACCAAAACATCCCCTCAGATTCACATAGATGCATTCTCAAAATCTATAGATATATATAAAACAAAAATTCAAAAAAATAAACAAGAGCAACTAATCAAATTACCCATATCAGTTGTTGCTTTAAAGATCCAAAAAAACATCTACTTTGTTCTGAAATTGAAGTGGATTCTCAAACAGTTGCTGTAAACTGAGAAAATAAATTTTGAGGGAAAGAAAATAGAAATGAACACATATATAGTATATGAATCGATACCTTTGGATTGTGTTCTTCCAGAGGCCGATTCTTGTATAGATCCAATCATCGAAATGATGGGCGAACAGGTTTCATCAATTTCCTCAAAAACTATATTTCTGTAAGACATGACGGTAGCATTGTTCATTATAAAATCAAAATTAGCATGTGGGTTCCAAAGCCAACTGTCTTACAAAATCAAGAGATAACCTGGGCTGGAAACAGTTAACAAATTTGAAGAGGAAAAGTAGCCTATTTGATCTAATCATCAAACTGCATGTTTCCAGGAAAGATTTAATGTCTAAGAGCCTGTCTGTTAGCAACTTAATGAGACTCACAACTTATTCAGGCAGTTATACATGATTTTTTGGTAGTGGCTTAATTGTATCAAAAGTTGCTTATTCAGTAAGCTTCTAGGGGGGCATGCAGAAAGTCCAAAAAAATAAAACCTGCCCAACCCAATTAGAAAACACGCTCATTCCATCTATTAAAAATCCTCACAAACAAAAGCCTTCCCAATATAAACAAACAAATTAACCCACGCAAACAACTTTATTCATACAGGACTTAATGGAAAACCAACCAAACAAACTGTGTGGATTAATCTTTTTGTATAAATCGGGAAGGTCTTTGTATGTGAACGTTTTCTAATAGATGGAATGAACATAGTTTTTAATTTAGGAGCATGTTCGGAAAAAACTTGGCTTTGTACACAAAGCTCCCCGTAGAAGTTTTCAAAATAAGCCACTGTCTATATCATTAAGCCACTACCAAATAGTCATATATAGCTTACTGAATAAGTTGTAAGTCCTATTAAGCTCATTAAGTTATTAACAAACAGACCCTAAAATTCCAATGATTAAGAGGAGGGTACAACAAGATTCCCGTAGTAAGAGATGCCTATGAAAATAAAAAATAACACAATTGCAAACAAGTCATAAGAGCGTAGCAACAGGATTATTTGTACCAGGTTGTAGAGACATCACTGAAAAACTCACCAAATGTGCCAACACCGCCATGCTCTCTTAACGTTTGCATGACTGTTAACACCAAATTAGTGGTTGTAATAATGTTACACAACCTCCCAGACAACGAAAATCCAACAACACCAGGCAAAACCATGCTCATGGCCTGTCAATATCTGAAAGAAATTAACCAAGATAAAGACATCTAAAGGTCCACATCTTCCAGCCAATCTTAATGGTGCAAAGGCTGTTCACAAGACTCAACCTCAATGGAATATTCACTAACCACAAAGGTGGTACCTTATTGGTTTGGGTTTGGGCTCCAAAGGTCAAAAGTCCTGGAGGTCTCAGGTTCAAATCCAAGGAGGAATAAAAATCCCCCTGTGGCCAAGGAGGTTCAAATGCGGTGACTCCGGGCTACCCGCAAAGCAGGTGGTCGCCCTGGGATTAGTCGGCTCGCATAGCGAGTTGGATATCCAAGTTAATAAAAAAATGGAATATTCACTAAAACTTTGCACTAAGCCAAGGAACAATTATGTATGATATTGATCAAGTATCAAAAAGTATGAATGAATGACTCAAGACAACAAATGTATGCCAGGACAATATTTAAGGAAAGAAAATGAAGAACAATTGCACCAATTTCAATTGTATCGGCTCTAGCAGCACATCTTTCACAGAGCATTTAGATTTTAGACATTGAAAATCTGTGTCAAGAACTCTACAACTGACACCATATAATGGAGACATTACCATCATTCACGATCAAGATGCATCACAATCCACAACTCCCCCAATGCTACCTATCGAAGTCTCATACTCAGTTTGACTTAGCTTCACCAATGAACCCCTCACACATTGACTTCCTGGCATATATACACACATGCAGTTAATTATGGCCTTACTGATAAGCCACATTATCATTAAGCCACCACCAAACAGTCATGTACAGCTGACCAAATAAGCTTTGAGTCCCATTAAGCTCATTAAGTTGTTAACAAATAGGCCCTTAGTCTGGTTGTGGAAGTGAGAGCCTCTTGCTTGTTGATTGAGAAAAGAAACTGTATCCCGAATGCTTCTGTAACTTCTTAACTTTCATCAACTTCCGTGTGTCCGAAGCGGAATCCCATAAGCCAGCTGCTGCATAAATACTAGCCAAAACAACGTAATTGACCGAGTTTCCAGGGTCCATATCGAAGAGATGTCGGGCTGCTACTTTTCCTACTGCAACATTACCATATACGCTACATGCCCCAAGAATCGCACCCCAAACTGAGGCATTCGGCTTCATATGCATGTCGTGTATCAAATGATAGGCCTCTTCTATCTCACCTCCACGTGCTAATAGATCAACCATACACGAATAATGCTTGGATTTCGGCAATATATTATATTTGCTAACCATATTATAAAATAAGTCCCGTCCTTCTGCCGTCAAACCACAGTGGCTACACGAAAATAAGAGCGATAAGAAAGTTATACCATTTGGTTCCAACCCTTCATCCAACATATCTTTATATAGTGAAATTGCATTATGCCCATAACCATGTTTCCCATATCCAGCAATTAATGAAGTCCACGAGATAACATTTTTCTCCTTCATTTCATCAAACACCTGGCGTGCATTAACGATTTCACCAGATTTTGAGTACATGTCAATGAGAGCATTGCTCATGGGTACATCATGGCAGGCCAAACATTTTAAAGAAAGAGCATGAATTTGTCTTCCGAATCCAAGTAATGTTGTGTTGGCACAAATGTTGATCATTGAGCATAATATTACACTGTCGATATGCATGACTTCTTGTTGTAATTCAATGAAAAGATTCACGGCATTTGTGCTATTACTACCTTCATGGGCGTATCCCATGATCAATGCAGTGCAACATATTGTATCTTTTACCATCATGTTCTTGTTTATTTTATCGGCACTTATTATGCTTCCGCTCTTTGTATATGCATTAATCAGTGAACCATTTAAACTATAATATGATTCAAAACCCAATTTCAACACAAATCCATGTAATTGTCTGACGTTTGAGAGATCTTTACCGCAAGAACAAGCCATCAGAACAGAAGCCAAGGTGAAGTTATCAGGAGTCATACCTATGAGAAAGTGACTAAAAATTACAAAAAAGTTGAGAGATAGGTTTAATAGATGTATATTAAAGAAACACAGGCTATTCTTGGCAAACTATATTAGCTGATAAGTTGGTTGTTAGCTGAAAAAAAGCTAGTTGTTAGCTAATAAGCTAGCTTTTAGTTGATAAACTATATATGTTTGATAATAATAATAATAATAATAATAATAATAATAAAAACTAGCTCATAACATAGATGATAATGTAAAATGGTGTAAAAGAAAATGTTGAAAAATTATTTGGAAATATATAAGAGGCAGAATTGGAAAATGGTGGAAAACCCCACGAGCTTATTGAAACGCTACAGAAAGCTAGCCCAACGGGTCAATAAGCTAAAAAATAAGGGGTTTTCTCCAAACTAGCCATTTATGACAAGAAAATGAGAAAATAGCCACCTTTTTAAGGGTTTTATAGAGATAGCCATGAACTCTGCCAGAGTGAATCCACCAATTGGCGTAATTCATTTTTTTAACCAATTGGCGTAATTCATTTTTTTAAGTTGGTGAATCAATTCAGCAGAAAAATCAAAGAGTTGACGTACCTAAAAATTCAAATTTTCACCAATTTTGGGAATTTGGAGGAGACATTTGGCAAATCCACGTGTCAACACAAGGTTGGTTGGAGAGTTCAGAGATGGCCTCCTCATGTTAGGTTGGTAGGATTCGCCAATTGGCGAAATTCATGGCTATTTCTTTAAAACCCTTAATAAAGTTAGCTATTTTCTAAAATTTCTTGCCATAAACAGCTAGTTTGGTTAAAACCCAAAAAATAAGCTAGCATACGGTTACCAAACATGGCCACAATGTGTGAACCTGGCATCTAGTGTTTGGTTCATAATCTACCTTCACGAAGCATCAGCCGAAACATTAGGATGCCATCATTGCTAAACCCCCGAACAGCGAATCCACCAATCATTGAATTCCAAGAAACCCGATCTTTACCGGACATCAAATTAAAGATGCAATAGGCATCCTCCATCTTGCCACATTTGGAATGCAATTCAACCAAGGCACATTGCACAAACAAATCATCAAGAAATCTACCCTTGTGAACACACCCTTGGATTTGCACCCCATAACCAAGAGACATCAAGCTCTTACATGCACTCAAAGCGCTCGCATAGGTGAACTGATTAGCCTTGACACCAGCTTGGCGCATGCCACGGAACACCATCAGAGCTTCCTTACCAGAACCATTCTGAGCATACCCAGATAACAATGCAGTCCAAGAAACCACACTCCTCTCACGCATTTCATCAAACACGTCACGGGCACTTTTCATGTCACCAGCTTTAGAGTAAAGTATTACCAACTTGGTATTTATATGCAAATTCGAATGAAACCCATTAGCATAAAGATGTTCATGCACTAAATGGCCTTGATTATAGGCCTTTTTATCAATACAAAGTTGTAAAAGTTTTACATAAGGAGGATGATGGAACTGAACTGGGTGAGAAAGGGTGAGATTGACAGCATCGTGCAACCTTCCCAAGTCAAAATAAGACTGAATCTTGGATGTGAAGGTTGTTGGCCTGAGTATTTCATTGATATGGCTAACTGATTTATGGCAACTCTTCCTCATGGAGCCATTGTTGTGTTATCAAGGGGAGAAAACTTTAAACTTTGTGAGGAAGAATCGCATACCTAATCGCCAGGGAAGTCAGAAGAGACGTGATAACAGTATCAGGTATGGCTTTTTTCTTTCGTTCATTTCTCCGGTGTTCATCGGAATCATCTTCCGACGACCACCAAGGTAGTAATAGTCAATTCCGTTGACCAATATGCGTCGGAAAAGAAATCCAATTTCAAACCAAACGAGACCTGAAAACAAATCCACGCCATTATTTTCTTAAAAAAATAAATTTTGTAATACTTTTTAAAGTAAAATACAAATTTAGTCCCTGTGGTTTGTAAAACAACATTTTTCGTCCCTACAGTTTCAAAATTATAAATGACAATCATGATTAGTAAAATTATCCGGATTTTGTCCCTCCCTAAAAATGGACAATTAAAAAATTCCGTTAAATAAGTGGCATTTTTGTCATTTTATTGATTTTATTATCTTTTACCCAATAAAAAGTATACTAATGCAAGAAATAAGCTAGAAACCACAAAAACAGTTAATTTAAAAAAACGCTATAAATCACATAAGCCACACTAAGGGGCTGTTTGGTTGGTTTTCTATTAAGTTTTGTATGAGTAAAACTATTTGTATGGATTACTCTGTCGGTATAAATTGGAAAGTGTTTTATTTGGGAGAGTTTTTCATTGATGAAATGAGCGTGTTTTTTTATTTGAAGGGGCATATATGATTAAAATTTTGGTTTTCTGTATAAAGTTCCTCCTAGAAGCTTACCAAATAAGCCCCTTTCTATATTCTTAAACCAGTATCAAACAGTCATGTATACCGAATAAGTCATGTTCGTTGAGCTTCTAACAAACATACCATAATCTGATATTCTTTTGCAATCCAATACAGCAGCACAACCTTCAAGAGGACAGGTGAAGTAGGCAGTAAAGATGCGACGATCGATTGAAGGTAATTGAGGGGTTGGATGTTTTGCAGGAGACACAGGTGAAAAGATAAATGTTTTGTTTTCCATGTTACTTTTAATAAATTATAATCATATTATTAATTGTTTACCTGATGTGTAGGAAAATCAGGTACCTAAATATATCACATCCAAGTACTAAATGAGGTTTTAAAATTATATTACCTAAAATAAGAAAGCGGAACAAATTGCATCACTGTACAAAATGGGTGATCATTGGTCCGATGCTTCGGGCGAAACCTACTCCCTGTTTCTAGTTAGATTTTTGTTTTTGAGAGTTTTTTCATAAATGGAATAATTGTGCTTTTTTTAATTGAAAGCTCAGTGAATAAGTCACTTTTCTATATCATTAAGTCGCTATCAAACAGTCAAGTATAGCTGATAGAATAAGTTGATATAGCTTCTAACAAGTATACCCTTACTACCAATAGTCACCACAAGAGCACTTGCCATCACTAAAATGGTGAAACCTGAAAGGATCCCTGAGTATTATCTTTCTCCTTGCAATGCTGCTTATGAACTTGAAAACCGAATGACAATCACCGCAAACCCGAAGATTCTTGAATATCTGCAAAATCGAACCTTCGGGGGAATTGATCAATCCATATGCAAGTGCCAGCCTCTCACTGTGCTTCCATAGATGATCTTCCTTCTGTTCTTCATCAATATCTTGCAATGCAAAACTTGTATCAGGAACATAACCTGCTTCTTTGATCATTTTCTTGATCTCATCGAGTTTGGTGTAGATTTTACCGTTCTGCGGGTGGGATTTATCCCCTATCGCGAAAGAACTCACCTTTCTCTTCATCTTGATCCAACTGCACGCGGGCTTCTTCTTAACGTTAGTAAATTGCATTTCTTCCCTAAGATTACGAACCGCCTCCCATTTCCCACTACTTGCACAAACATTCGAGTATAGAACATAAGCGGAGTCATCTGAAGGGTTTGATTCTAGAAGATGTTCTGCAGCTTGTTTTCCTAGTTGTGAGTTTCCATGAATCCGACACGCTGCCAACAAGCTTCGCCAGACAAAGTCGTTTGGTGGAATCGGCATTTTCTTGATGAAAGATTCAGCCTCCGAAAGCCTCCCGGATCGCCCAAGAAGATCGATTATGCAAACACAGTGCTCAATACCAACCGGGACTCCGAATTTGGTGGTCATTGAAGAATAGTAAGCAAGACCCTCGTCTACTAACCCTCCATGACTGCATGCCGATAAAAGAGAAACAAAGGTCACGTGGTCGGGTTTTGATCCCATCTTCACCATTTCGTGAAAAGATTCCTTTGCTTCCTGAAAAGATCCCTGTCTAGCTAAAGCTGATATCAGAATGTTCCACAACACACGTGGTCGTGTTTTTGGTTCCGGAAGCATTTTCACCATATCATTTATCTCGCCACATTTTCCATACATATCCAACATAGCTGTCATAACATATTGATTCGAGTCAAACCCAAATTTAACGGTCAACCCATGAAGTTGTTGACCTTCTTCTAGACTAGACAAGTAAGCAGCAGCAGAAAGAGCTGCAGAGAAACTAAAATGATCCAAATGATTTCCAGTTTTATTCATCTCTGAGAATCTTTTCAAAGCCTCTTCTCCATGGCCATGGTGAGCATATGCAGCAATCATGGCATTCCATGATACATAAGCCTTGTTAACAAATCCATCAAAGATTTGCATGCTTGATTCAAGATCATTACATTTCCCATACATTGTAATAAGGGAATTCTTCACATAATCCTCTGAATCAAAACCAGTAATAATCACATGTGAATGTAACCCCATCCCATGGCTGAGCAGGTAATTTGGAGCAACACAAGAACTAAGCATATGAACCAAGGTTATATAGTTTCTTGGTTCATCTCGTTTCCTCATAAAGTTGAAAGCTTTGATTGCCAAGTTTGGTTCTTCACAACCGGCATATCCTCCAATGAGAGTGTTCCACGTCACCAAATCCTTCTGGGACATCCTTTTAAAGATTTCTTCAGCTTTCCGCATCATTTTGTGCTTTCCATACATCGTGACTAAAGCATTTCCAACGATCAAGTTGTCGTGGAGCCCAGATGTAAATACAAGTGCATGAAGAGTTTCGGCTTTTCCCAAAAGTTCAGGGTCTGAACAAGCAGTTAATGCACTAGCAAAAGTCACGTGATTTACACTTTTTTGTCTCTGAAGCATTCTAACAAACACCATCAAAGCATTCAGGTAGTCCCCTTCTTGAACATGCCCAGCTATTAGTGAATTCCATGAGATTAAGTCTTTATTTGGCATCTCTTCAAACAACTGTACCATCTCCTTGGATCTTCCGGCTTCTGAATACATCCCCAAAAGGGTATTGCATAGACATAAGTTCGAATCCAACCCTAGCTTGTGAACCAAACCATGGACGGCAGCACCCCAGAAGAGATTGTCCATGGAACCACATGCTGATAAAAGTGCAGAAAGTGTAATTGCATCAAGGTCCTCACGGGCATGACGCATTAAGTTAAAACAACGAAACGAGTACTCGTATGAATGATTATGTGCATATGCAGAAATCATGGCATTCCATGAAATGGTGTCACGCACACTCATTTGATTGAAAATATAGCAGGCTTCTTGCACTCTACCCGAATTACCAAACATAGATATTAGAGAATTGGCCACTGAAAGATTGTATTCAAATCCACATTTTATGACATGTCCAAGAACTTGAAGACCCAACAATTCATCTTCTAGTGACCCAGAAGAAGTAATCACAGTGGTGAACGTGTTCTCATTACAATCAACATCTTCGCACCTCATTTGCTGATATAACTTTATAACCTCCATGGGAGATCCATTGTTAGAGTAGCCAACCATCAATGAAGTCCAGGATACTACATTCTTTTCTGGCATTTTCTCGAAGAGCCTATGAGCACTAGAATGAAATCCATATCCAGAATAAAAATTTAAAAGGGTGGTTCCAGCATACACATTATACAATAAACCATTTTTCAAGATTAACCCATGAACTTGAAATCCTTGATGTACCATAACCCCCGACCCAATGCAACCGGTTAATAAACTAGCGATAACAAAGCCACTTGTTTCAAATCCTTGAGCACGCATTTGGGCAAATAACAGAAAAGCATCTGGGTACAAAGAGAATCGAACAAAAGCTGAGATCATTGTATTCCATGTAGCTTCGTTTCTCTGAGGCATTTCATCAAACACGTACCAAGCAGCTTCCAATTTGCCATATTTTGAGTACATATTTATCAAGGTGTTAGTATGGAACATGCTTAGACGACAGAAATTTTTTATACAAAAAGCATGTAATGATTTTCCAACAGTTTCATTGGTGATCTCCGAGAAACCCTTCTGTAAAAAACTTGATACAACCGGATTGATGTTTCCTCCCCATTCAAATAGGTTAGATTGTGATCTACACCCTTGTGTTTGAATCCCACGACCTAGAGACTTCAAGCTAGTACACACCCTTAAAGAGCTTCCATAAATAAACTGACTAGTCTTGACACCAACTCGGTGCATACCAACGAACAGCATTAGAGCTCACTGAGCAGAACCATCCTAAGCATACCCTGTTAGAAAACAGGGTGAAAGAAGAAGAAATAGTTGCAGCAAATCAATGATTAAAACATGAAATTCACTGTAGTTAGAATATTATTAGCGCCCACTATCATGGTCAGAAAATTTCCTGGTGAGTTAACTCGCCCAAAAATTCACGGTAGTCGCTATCCCGTCTTATCTTTTGCCTGTTTAATATATGTGTAAAATTCACACAAGGCCAAATCCTCCATAGCTTGCTTGATCTCTTTGACAATCTTACAATTTGTTTAGAGATTATAAATTATCGTTCTTTCAATGTTTATGTCTAAAGTTCATTTATTTAGCTCTCTAATTCAAGTAAGATTCCACTGTTTTTTTTATCCGGGACAAATCTCACCATGAAGGCTATATATAACATACCCGGATAACAATGCAGTCCAAACTCCAAAAAACCACGTTTCTCTTGCGCATTTCATCGAACACGTTATGGGGGCTTTACATGCCACCAATTTACGAGCAGGATATTACCAGCTTGGTGTTTATATATTAATTTGAATCAAACCCGTTTGTGTAAGGATGTTCTTGTTAGGATTCAAACGGCAGAGAATAGAGAATAGTTCTGAAACTGACTGCATTGAATGAAATAGGCTTACAACCCTAAAAGAAGAGATCAAACTAGCCAATAAAGAATTTCAGATATTGGAAATGATGGAACTCATCTGGCAGCACCTTGAAGCCTTCCTGTGTTGAGAAATGACTGATAAAAGGATGTAAATCGGTGTATTTCATTGATGTGGCCAACTGCTTTCCTGCAACTCTTGCTCATGTAGTCGTGGCTCTGTTTTCAAGGAGATGGAACTTTGTACGGAAGAATTCTGGTTATGGAAGAATCGGACGCCTGGTCCCGGTGTCTACCGCTACCCGCTTCCGACGACCACCGTCCTGATTAATGGCTGAATCATTTTAGCAACCCGATAATTTCATCAACTTACACTATTGGTCCCTATGCTTTAAACTCGAGCAACTCAATCCCTTGATTTTGGCTGTTTGGTTTTGAGAGAGTGAAAGTCTTTTGTTCGTCATCCAATACATGGAGTATTTTGTTACATGACAAATTGCATGAAAAAATATCGTACTTTAACTTTATTATTATTTTGATAACGTATTTTTAAAACTTTCATTTTGATACTTATGATGTAAAGTTTTAAACATTTAAGTACTCGGGTAACCGGTTGAATACTAATTTTAAATTAAAAATAAGACTAATTTTATATGTCACTAACCACGTCAGCAAATAATACTGAGATGGAAACCATAACACTCGTCACATCATCATGATAACCGGTTAATGCTTCAACCGGTTATTCAGGTACTTAAATGTTTAAAATTTTACATCTTATGTGCCAAAATGAAAGTTTGGAAAGTACGTTAATCAAAATATGAATCAAGTTAAAGTACGTTACTTTTTCATGCAATTTACCCTTTGTTATATTAGTATAACTAAAACTTTATTTTGTTTTTTGAACATGTTTATCAATTGGTTATGAACCAGTTTAAAGTTCAAGCGTATTAATAAATTGTATTTTGTGTAACAATGTGTTGTATAATCTAATAAAAGTATGTATGAATATACTTCTGATATAGATTATGAAGTCGGATTAAAAAAATTGGGAATAAAATGTATTTCAATATATATATATATATATATATATATATATATATATCATATAGGAGAATGTGTGTACGTTTAATATAGTTATGCCATAAGTCAATCGATCCAGTTAGAACGGACTGACAATAATCGGATATCCAATTATAATTGGATCAGATCGGAATGAATTTTCAACGTGCAAAGCAGGTGGTCACGGAGGTTCAAATGCGGTGACCTCGGGCTACGTGCAAAGCAGGTGGTCGCTCTGGGATTGGTCGGCTCGCATAGCGGGTTGAATATTCAGGTTAATAAAAAAAAACCAATGGGTGGGTCGAACCAATCACCTTTCCTTGCAAAATGTAACCAATCAACCGAACAATGAACTAATCCTTGCAAATATCTCAAAGACATTCCGTCAAACCCAATTCATGAACTAATATAGAAGTTTCAGGATTTTCGGCTTGACATTTGTGAACGACGTCTTAAATATATTGAATAGTCACAATTCCACATTTGTTATAGGGTTGGGTCTATGTGATTTTCTTTTTGTGAAAACAACGAGAACAAGAACTTCCATTCATATACATTACTTTTAACTATCCGCATTTCAGAAACATTCATCTACCTCCATTTACTGTTTTTATTATTATGACTGGAATTTTAACAAATAATTACATGTGATATTTTGTTTTGCAGTTGCTGAATGGTTTGGTACAGAATGATTAAGTGACTCTAATGATATAATGCAAAATAAAATATAATTGTTTACAATGAAATTAGGATGCTGAATGATTAAGTAAAACCCATGATACAAAATCATTTAGAGAGTTTTAGAATAATTAAAATACATTTTTTTGTCAAACAAAATCCAAGTCTTAACGATTTAGAGACCGTTCCGTAATGAAACTATCAAGAGGTAATCAAACGAAAATTATTTCTTTTAGAAAATAACGATTTACAAAAATATTTTGAAAGTTTTTGTAGCGAAAAAGTATTTTGGCCTTTTGCCTTTGTTAATTTACATCTTTCTTTCCCTCCAAGCCAACAAGCCCTCCTCCCTCTTCATAATCTATACCAGTCCAAGAAATCGTCATTCAGTATCACCCATTGAACGTCGATAGCCATTTTCTTCACATCTCGCCTCTTAATTTCCTCCAGGTGTGTAATGTTTGTATGTATATTGATTGATCTATGTACCCGCACGATTAAGCATCTTTCAATAATTTCAGATCCAAAGTTATATGCTACACTTGCCAGCCATCGTAACATCGTTTACCGTTTGCTTATACCAACCAAAAAACCCTAACGTTTCTCATCATTCATCATTGTTCTATTAATTTCATAGCTATCCTTTGCTAGACGAATGATTTTGAATTTAGGGTTTATCATCGATCAATAGTTTCAGGAAACTAAGGATAAATTATTTAGTTTTTTATAACCGATATTCATCATGATTTCCTCACTACAGGTTATTTCACTGATACTGTATACGATATGGGTGACAGTCAGTACTCGTTCTCTCTTACCACTTTCAGGTATGCCGAATTTATCATTGGAGTGGTTTAAATGCACCACTGTCTATGAATTTCCTCCTCTCACATATCAACATTGAAACTTAATTTTTACATTTCGATATATGATTTGACCTGATTATGTAAAGGGTTCATATTGCATCATCCTTTATCATCCTAATCCACTCCTTTCAGTTATGTACTATCTACTAAAGGATCAGTGCAGTTAGAATTAATTGTTAGGGTATGGGAGCATTAACTTCGAGATTTGTGAATGGATTAGGAGCTCATTCGGTTCATTGTTCAAATATTGAACTGATTTTCCTTGTAGTCCAATTCCAAACCATGGAATCGGAGTTCAGAAACCTGTTCTTTTGGGAAATTATGTGACATTACATGTTATTTGCAGTCCTTCTGGAAAGCTTGTTCAGATTGAACATGCCCTCACAGCTGTTGGTTCTGGTCAAACTTCATTGGGGATAAAAGGTAACTCCAATTTCTAGATGTTTATCTCTAATGAATGCCTTAAAAATGTTTTTTCTATTCAAGGAGCAAGTTATAGAACATCATGGATTGCATTGCTACTGGGATAGTTGTTAGTGTAGTCTATTTTGATTTGGTAGTCTATTCTTATATTTATGAATGTTTATCGCAGCTTCTAATGGTGTTGTAATTGCAACGGAAAAGAAACTCCCATCCATTTTAGTTGACGAGACATCAGTAAGTACAAATACTATGCTTAAAGCTTTAGGTGTTGGTTTTGTCAGTATGATGTGAAGTAAAATATAAATTTTACCACTGTTTTCACTTTTACAGTTTACTTTGTATAATAACTATACACTAGCTTCTTTTTTGTGGGCATACCGATTTTAGAGTTTCATCTTTGGTGCTCTTTGCATTGTCTCATTCTGAATATGATGTTGACTGCATTCTAGTTGATATGAAGAAAACTCATGTGGACGTGAGAACAGACATTATACTGAAGTAGCTATTAGTGTCTGTTTATTTGAGATAGAAAAATTCATGAACTTTCTAGGGATCAAACACCATGGCGAGGCTGAAAAATGCCTCATCTTCTCCAGAAAAGCTAAGTAGCTCATTGCAATCCTCTGTATCAACCCTAGCAAAGACAAGATCACCACCTGAATCAAGTGCATTTTCTCTGCAACCTTGTGTTTCAGTTGCAATTGACAAGCATTGATAAATAAGTACCCACCTTTTAATTTTTTTTCTTCCATAAAAGTTCTATCAGGTATATATACGTGTGACCAGTTGGCAGTCGCCAAGTAGGCAACTAGCTAGATAGCTAGCTAGGAAGACTAACTATCTCTCACATAGGTTCAAACATATATTAAAAGAAAATGAATTTTGAAAATGTCTCATCTTTAACTGGTTAGTTGAGATGGATTGGATTTTCAAAATTCGTTTTCTTTTAGTATATGTTTGAACCTATTGGAGAGTTAGTCTTCTTTCCTAGCTAGCTAGCTACCCCCTTGATGAGGGGACTGGTTGCACGTACATATGCCTGATAGAACTCTTTGGAAATTAAATTTATAAAAAAATGGGTACATATTGATCAATGCTTGTCACTTGCAAGTGAAGCACATGGTTGCAAAGGAAATGCACTTGATTCGGGTAGTAGTCTTGGTTCTGATTGGGTCTCAATAAACAGAGAGCTGTTCTATGATGTTTGCAATGAGCTACTTAGCTTCTCTGGATATATGTTTCAACTCTTAACTCTTTTGGATTGAAATGTATAAATTGATGGAGCCTAAGAATATATGGCGAGTGTTGAGGGCTAACAACATTCCACTTTCGATATCTTTTGTGCCAAAAAGCCAAGTAGGAGAAAGGAGAATCAATCTCAGAAACTCGCAGCATATAGTGTGTTTCCTTGTATAATTACATGATTAAGAAGGCATCTTAATCCATTCGTATGGGTTCCACATACCAGCCTGTGTATGCTAGCTAATGTAAACAGAGCTGCTTTGATCACATCCTGCAAAATGGACCAATCTGTATATATGTGGTTCAAGATCTAGACGAATATTGACATTTCGTTTGCTTATTGTGTGGCATTCTCTTGGATGAGAACTGTATGCCACTTCTGTTTTTATGCAGCTTGCTGGTGTTCTCTCTGTGGTGTCTTTTTCTTTTTTCACTTCTGGTCTTCTTTCTTGTTTTTAAAGTGGCTTGATTCTGAAGTTTGGTTTTCCTAATCTCAGGTGCAAAAGATTCAAATTCTGACTCCTAACATTGGAGTTGTATATAGGTATGATTTTCAAAATTCAAACCTCACATTTTCAATTGCATAGAAGTTCCCAGGTATTGGGCTGGTTTGATTTTGTTTCGTTTATTTGATGTTCAGTGTCCCTAGTAACTTATTACTGTTTCATTGTGTACTTCTACTCACTGCATGAAAATCCGTGAAGTTTGAGTGTACTCTATAATTCACTTGACTGTGTCTACAAGCTCTCATGGTAATAAAGTTCTGACGTGAGTTTGGTGGGTGTCTGCATGAACAAGTATACAAGATCCGCATGCAAATATTTATGAGAATTGGCATCCCTGATTGCTCAAAGTTTAATATGAGGGTGAATTGCTGCTTTGTTTGTGTAGTCATGGATGTATAGTTATTCTATCAGGGTTGGGTTCCGGTGAGAATGAAAGTTATGGTGAGAAGGTAAGCAGGGATCTCCACCCTTGGATCAATCCTAATTGAAGAGAACCACTAGATCAACACTAATGAGATACACTAGATCAATTCCCTTCTAAAGCCCAATTCATGGGTTGTTTTGGGATTAAAAGTGATCAAGGGTCCAAATCCCTTCTTACACTTCTCACCTTAACTCCTATTCTCACATTATCCTTCGCCTATTCTACTAATTCAAGATTAGTTTTCTTGTACATTTTTTGTTTTTGGAGTCCCTATCCTCATTCCAACTCTCTTCATTTCCACACACATGTACAGCAGATGTAGATACATGCAAATTCATTTATTTTTTTATCCCCTGGTTATGCTCAAAGAAATTCATATTTCTTCTCTTCTGCAGTGGCATGGGGCCCGATTCTCGAGTTTTGGTCCGAAAGAGTAGGAAGCAAGCAGAGCAGTACAATCGGCTATACAAAGTACGTAATACCCTTCTTGTTCTGTTGGCGTTTCGTACTTTTTTCTACAAGTCTGTTCAGTATTTTACATTTGAACCTGACAGTTGATTTTATTAGAATTCTGCATGCTAGTTAAGAGATTTAAGAACATAATTATCTCACAAGGAAGTAAGATGAATGTTAGGGTTGCATGGGTGCGTTTGGTACACTGGATAGGGCATAACATAATAGGGATCATTGTTCCACGTTTGGCAGGACTTTTATGTGGAACATATAGGAACAACGTGGAACAGGCGTGTTTCATCCCCACCCCATGGAACATGCTGGAATAGACTTATGTTTTACCAATATAATCTCAAAATAAAACCTAATTCTCTTCTAAAACAACAAATACGTCTAACTTTTTACATTTTATTCATTCTTTAAATTTTATTTATTGTTTTTTATGCTCTTTAAACCTCCACTTATTGTCCTCAAAATATTATTTTTATACGGTTTCTATATTTTGATTAATTTATGTAATTTATTAAAATATTAATAATAAAAAATAATATAGAGAAGATATAAAATAAAAATTGGAAAGTACATAATTTTTTATTCTGGTGCCATTCTAATTGTCCTGAGAACTTTCTGATGATATATTTGGTTATAATAAATATTTATTTTATTACAGTTTAATAAATTAATTAACAACTCATTTACGGTAAGTTGATCATTTTATCTGTTGTCTTACCGCTGAGCTTCTGTTCTATCCTGTTTGAATACCAAACGCACCCGTGTTGATGTTTTTCTGTCCAGTCAAATGATATTTGCTGCCTCATAGGTAAGCAAAAATCCTTGGAGCAACTGATTTTTACATACTGCTAATATTAGTTGATATTGAGATTGAGAATGAATATATCCTTGTAATAACAACGGTCTTGGGGGATTAGTCTCCATCTCATTTGAGGTTTATCAAACTAAGCTCACTTACAATTTAGGGTGAGCACGCCCAATCTTCATGTCAACCAATTATCCACCCTTTATTATGATCGGGCTCATAAGATTTGACTTTCTGGGAGCTTATGCTTCAACATTTGTTAATACTTTTTTTTAGATAACCTTCAGCAGCTTCCAAGCCTTTTAACTAGCTTAAGATTTGTTGATATTGTAACTGCAGGAACCGATCCCTGTTACACAACTTGTAAGGGAAACCGCCGCTGTTATGCAAGAATTTACTCAGTCAGGGTAAGTTGGTTTTGCTTACCCCTTTTTTATGGCAGAATCAGAAATCAAGAAGAGTGTTATATGTCTATGCTTTCTACTCCGAGTTGCTGTGACATTTTCTTTTGGATTAATTTTTTTTCTATTTGCTTTTATGCTGTGTTCTTTAATATGGAGAGGAAAGAAAAGAAATGGATGGAAAAGAAAGGGAGGGATTTTTTTTTTCATTTGTGTTCCAAGAAATGTCAGTTGAAAAGATGATACCTTTTGATAATAACTTACTGAAATATTCATTAGAATGTTCAATATCTTAAGTGGAACTCTTACAAATAGGCCATATATAGCTTTTAACTTATGTTTCTTCTTGTAGTGGTGTAAGGCCTTTTGGTGTCTCACTTCTTGTTGCCGGTTATGATGACAAAGGTCCCCAGCTATATCAGGTATGTACTTTGGACTTGATGCTTACACAATCTCTTTAATCCTGCATCTTCCTTACTAGAAGCTTATACTTGCATTCTTGATCGACTTAAATTGTGTTATACACCGGGTTTACAGTCAATAAGTCAATCGTAGTAGGTTGTGGTACAAGTGTCTACTGTTGGGTACAAGTAGGTGAAGCAGGGTAGTGGGTTGGTTATTTAGTATAAATAAGAGGGTTTTGGAGGGGAGGAGGGTATCAATTATTCTGTTGAGTTTGAGATTGGCGAAAGCCTTTGGGAGACCTTTTTTCAATCCTTTGATTTCAGTTCTAATTCCATATTGAAGTCATCCTTGTGTACCAATTTCATTGTTAATTGCTCGGTTTGTATTAAATTGTTTGGACAAATTTTATCTTCCATGTTTTCTTGAAGATCAACCAAACGAATAAAGTGATTGTTAACCTACACGATGCCTATATTAGCGTGCTTCAATATTTTGTTAACTTGGATTTTTGAAGTTGGTTATTGCATTCTTTTCTATAGAAAACTATGGTTTCTTTTGATGTTGTACTTTGTTTTCCGGGCAACTTAAAGTCTTTTTATGGGTTGTATCTCATTGGAAGCTTACATGCATTTTTGTGCAGGTGGATCCTTCCGGATCATATTTCTCCTGGAAAGCTTCGGCCATGGGAAAGAATGTGTCTAATGCAAAGACATTTCTTGAAAAGAGGTATGCCTTTATTATCTTTTCAAATGTATGCAACTTTGGAACGTTGATTTTCTGTTCTTACAATTGTGAATTTTAATTTGTAATAGCATTTGTTTTGTTATAAACACCATATTTCTTCAACAGGTATAACTAAACCAAACTATTATTATCAATGATAAAAAGATTTGTGAACTTTCATGTCCATCGTTTTGCAATATTTCTTCAGCATACTTTTGTGAGAAGTTGATGGTTTGAGTGGTTAAGCCTCTGTTTTTGTTGCATGTGGTTAAACCTCAAAACTTACCAATGAACCTTTTATATGATTTAAAAAGCGTAAGGGTCCGTTTGGTTGGTTTTGCATCAAGTCCTATATGGATAAAGATGTATGTGAAGATTAATTTGTCTGTGTAGATTGGGAAAGTTTTTGTTTGAGAGGGTTTTTTCATTGATGAAAGAGCATGTTTTTAACTGGGAGGGGGGCGGGGTTGGAAAAAAACTTTTGGCTTTCTACATAAAGCTCCCCTTAGAAGCTTACTGAATAAGTCACTACCAAACGTTTTCATGTATAGCTGACCGAATAAGCTGCAAGTCCTATTAAGCTGCTAACATACAAGCCCTATCTTTTTGATTCACATTTCCTTCTACCTGCTTGCTCACACTCTTGCACAATCCAGGGGGTTGTATTTCTCACCCTCCAGACCACATCCTACTTTCAAGTTGGATTTATTGGATCAGTTTGGTTTGGTTTTAACTCTTTGATCCACATTCGAGCCCCAATATATTTTCTTTGGGAACTATCGTGTTCTTATGCTAAGTTTAGATGGATTCTATGTAAAGAAAACAATGTGTGATGTCAAACTATATCATTATACTGACACTTTGCAATGAATTGCTCTAATGTCTCTAATTAGAACATCCATATGCAAATGTTCTGCATTGTTTACTATATTGCTCTTCATGTTGTTCTATTGTTTACCCATTTTATGTTACACATACTTTTTGTAAGTTGTGACAACTCGTCCCACATGGTTAGAAAATGGGTTTGTGAGCTTCTTATAAACCTCAAGTTGTAGACTACCAATAACTTCCACCATGATTTTAAGTTGGATTCGAAGTTATTGGGCCAGCCTGTTGCTTTGGGTTTGGGGTGTTACACTTCTAACGAGGTATGGGTGTTTTCACGGAAACAATTGCTCTACTTTTTGGGGGCAGAAATTAGGTTTGCGTAAGCCCCCGCCCCCGTGTGGGATATACTGACTGGGATAGTTTAGTTTGGTTTGGTTTGGTCATGTTGTGTGAAGTTAATTGTTTTATGCTACCATCTCTTCCGCATGCTATGGCTTTCTATCAGTTTGTTATAAAGAATGACGTTGCTTGTAGGTACACCGATGATATGGAGCTTGAGGATGCGATACACACAGCTATTTTAACATTGAAGGAGGGGTAAGTATCTTGATTTTAAGGTCATCGATAGTCACTTCTGATGTTTATTTATGTACTACATATAACATGTAACCTTATCTCCGAATTTGATTGATGTGGGTGGGTTAATGGTTTTAAAAAGAGTTCGAGGCGTACACGCCTCGAGGCAAGGCGCTAGAAAATCGAGTCTGAGGCGGCATTTCTCATGGGTTAGTTGAGCTGAGGCGCCTAAGGTGGTGAGGCGAGGGTTAGAAATTAGGGTTTAGAAAATTGACTCTGATTTAACTTTTTATAAAATAAACCCATTTCTTGCTCATCTTCTTCTAGTTTTCATAAGTCGTCTCCAACGTCTTCTGTAGTCTCCCAATTTGGAGAGCATCGCACACGCACACGTATATATTTATTTTATATCCCACTTCAGTTATCCATTTTGAAGAGTATATGCTAGATATATGTTTAGTGTGTGTGTGTATATATACCCTCCTTGGGGTTACACCTCGCCTCATTGAGGGAAAACGCCTCAAGGCCCGATTCTGCTTTTTAAAACCTTGGGTGGGACAATTTGTCATCGACATCTAGGTGCGGATTTAGTATTAGCCTAGGGCGTATTGTCTATGAATTTTTTAGGGGTCTTAAAGGCGCACTTGCTTTAATTTGATGCGTGCTCCTCTTGGTTAACAAAAAGTGGTTGGAACCTACTGGTAGTGTCACTGCATGTGGCATTACATGTTGCAAGTTCGAACCCCTTTGGCCTTTTTTTAAGTTTTTGGTAACAACAGCAGAAAAGAACAGAAAAGATCACTTGAGATTGTTGAGTAGAGAGATGATTTTTTAATATTCTCACCAATAAGAAACCTTAAAAATAAAATGTTACAAGAGAGAGAGAAATGATATTTTATTAAATGTATTTAATATTTTAATAAATACAATTAATGGTGTAATCTTCAAAATGGAGAACATGTTGGAGTTAAAATGTAATTTTTTATTTTTGGAGAATTTAAGTTTTGTTGATCAATTTTAAAGAAAATTTGAATAATCTTGTTCCTGAGTAATCTGACTGATGGTTTTATGCTGGTAATTGTCACAACTTGAGATAATCTTTATAATCCTTTATCATGTTCATCCCAGATTTGAAGGACAAATATCTGGCAAAAACATTGAGATTGGTGTTATCGAGGCCGACAAAACATTCAGGCAAGTTTATTTCTACTACATAACTGATAACTGCTGCATCTGCTGTTTACTGTACTTGTTCAAAAGCTCGAAGCCTGGCCCTAGCAAGCCTGAAGCCCAGGCTAGGCCAGGCTTAAAAGCCCGATTGGGCAATGTTTATTAAAAAGCCTGAACAAGCCAGACCAGGCCTGAAAGATCCTAGGCTCTTTTTTGTTTAATGAAAACGGGCTTGGAAGACCTAGACCTAAGCCTTGTGCATCTCTCTCGGAGCATGGGCGGACCTACTAAGAGAGTAGGGGGTGCACGGATTTCCGCTCAATCGTTCCGTCGGAATGGAAATTTGTCCACTAACTATGCACCCGCTTAATTTTGAAGGGTGATCTAATATGTTTTAAAACCACACCTAAAACAAAAACCTGATGTAGTAGGAATGGTTGGGGGTGCTACCTTGCATCCTTGAGGTCATCAGTATTATTCTTGTTGAAAGCAAAATTTTAGATTTTACCAATCAGCTACTACTACTTTTAATTTACTGTCCCATTAGTCATAAAATTGTTTGTCTTGTTTTAACGACAACACATGTTTATCTGGAATAAATTGAAAAAGATATAAAATTAATCACATTTAACAATTAATGCTTCGTATAAGTTTTAATTCTTAACAATAAGTTATTATTCTTCTGTATATGATGTCTCCTTACATGTTCATATAAAAATTTGATAAAATTATATTTTGTTGTGGAGTTCCTTGTAAAGGTGGAATTTGGCAAAGAAAAGAAGAAAAAAACACGTTGGGCATAAGACGTAGTCTTCTTATTATGTTCTTGTCTTAAAAATTTGATAGAATTATATTTTGTTGTTGAATTTCCCATTACGAACTCAACCAAAAAAACAAAAAAAGTTACCTGTAAAGATGAAATTTGGCAAAAAAGAAGACATCGGGAGTAAGATGTCGTCAGTCTTGCTCAAAAAGTCAAGGTGGATTCCATTTGTAAAAATGTATTGTATCAAATTGACACAATTGAGTTTTCCCCTAGTCAAAACGTGTCGACTTTTTCTTGGTCTTAAAGGTGCACTTGGGCACCCGCTTGGCCACCATCTCGGAGTCTCACCTGTAGTGCATTTTCTGTTTGCTGTACTTGTTGCCTTGTATGCATACACTCTCACCTGTAGCTTTCTCGTTTCTTTCTTATAATTATTGTTTTGCAAGTGAGGGTTTTTCATGTGATTTACTAGGGGACTATTTGGTTGGTTTTTTAATAAAGTTCTATATAGGTAAAACTATTTGTGGGGATAAATCTGTCTGTATAGGTTGAAAAGGTTTTTGTTTGAGAATTGAGAGGACTTTTTCATAGATGGAAGGTGTATGTTTTCCAGTTGGGGGGGCACAGTTTTGGAATTCTTTTGGCTTCCTGCATAAAGTTCTCCCTAGAAGATTACTAAATAAAACGCTTTCTATATCGTTAAGTTACTACCAAATAGTTATGTATAACTGACCTAGTAAGCCGTGATTTCCATTAAGCTCGTTAAGTTGCTAACAAATATGCTCCAAGTTCGTTTGATTTGGTTTTTAACCGAATATTGTTTCTTTATTGTTGCAGAGTCCTAACTGCAGCTCAAATTGAAGACTATCTTCAGGAGGTGGAATAAATGTTTGTTGTCTTGTGGGAGTTTTAAATTTCCTTAAAAAGGTTTCTGGGTGTTCAGAAATCTAATGAATTAAGTTGCCTTGTTCACAATCTTGCAAGAATCTATGTGTTGTCGAAATGTTTTTTTCTAGAATTTATTCGGTTTTATGATTAATTACTTAAACTAAGTTTTATACGTTTGGTAATATGAAAAAATCTAAATTATTGCTATGGTTTAGAAATTGCTATGGTTTAAAAATCTAAATTATTGCTATGGTTTAGAAATTAAGATTTTTGTTCCTATGGTTTAGAAATTGCGATTTTTATCCTTATGACTCACAACTTATTGCTATTTTTGTCCTTCTTATATATAATTTATCGTTGTTTCAGTTCCTATCATGTACAATTTTCCACCATTTTGGTCCTTTGTACTTTATGGATAGAAACTAAGCCATAACGAAAACAACAATGAATTACAAATCATATGAAGATTGCAAATTTTAAACTATAGGGACTAAAATTGTAACTTTAACAAACATAAGAACAAGGTGGACAAGCTTATATGAGACCTTGTGGTGGTTGCTTTTGTTCTGGATTGATTTATTTCCATATTAGGGTTTTCTTGGCATTCTTTCTCCCTCTTACTTATTGCATTATTATAAACAAAATAAAATTAAAGAAAATGGGGATTTTGGATAGTTTTATTACTTCAACAGATTCTTCGAAATGCATGAAGCAAATGTAGCAAGTATTAGAGAAAGTGTAAATGTTATTAAAATTGGACAACTCCCAAAAAATACCAAGAGTACGTGTACCAAACGTTTACTCGGGTAAATACTTACTAAGTCACGTTACCTTACCACATGAGTTTGACAAAGACAAAGAATTTTATCTGGTAAGAGCAAAACAATGATCGAGAGTCTTATCCGGTAAATGAGGTCGACGATTCTTACCATGGTTATCGCTTACTGGGTAAATTGTTGCATAAGAATATAAGATGTAATTTTTGTTGATTAAAATCTTAGCCGGTAAATAATGATAGTGCTAAATTTTACAGGTAAACGTTTACCGGGTAAGTGTTTAGTAAACGGCTCATAAAAGTATTTTTTATTATATTTTAGGAAAGAAAAATAATATTTTATCAAATATATGAAATATTCTAATAATATAATTGATGTCATAATCTTCAAAACAGAGAAGCAGTTAGAATTATATGTAACTTTCTGAAGATTTTTATGACTGTTTTTCAGGGCCTTTGAAGTCAGCTCGGACACCCATAGACCACAGTTATTAGAAAAAGCTTTATGAAGTTACTGAATTTTGATTATTTGTTTTGGATATGTCATGTTTTTAAATTAAGTGGGGTGAAATAGACAAGTTTTAAGAGATGAGGGGTCGTATTGGTCAACTTCATAAACAGTGTTTATATCGATACCCTTTTAGGCTTTTACACAGATTTGGACGGTGAGATCGAATGGGCGGTGATCGGAAGTCGAAGAAGAAGAGATCTCCGACGTCATACTCATCGGAAGGTTCTTGCTCTTTCCATCGATTACAAGTTTTTCATATATGTGTATATATATATATATATATCTGTATGTGTGTGTGATTTTCTATACAAGTGATGCGAATACTCATGTTTTGTAGATGAAGGGAAGAAGAAAAGGCATAGAAGTTCAGAAACAAAGAGTGATAAGAAAGAGAAAGACTCTCAGAGGAAGCACAAATCGCGTAAATCTTCTAGTATTAAAGGTACTCTTCATTACATCATGATTTCTAAATCCAATCGTAGTTCGATTATTTTCTGTACATGAGCAAAACTCGCTTTAGCTGTTCGTAAATCTGACTAGGGTTTGGTTTGCTATCAAGTATTGTTTTTCGTATAAACGCTCGCTGTGATTAGTTAAAGAAGCAAGCTACATGATGATTTTAGAGTTGTAACGTGGAAGTCTAACACCACTCTGTAAAAAGAAGAAGGATATTATCATCAATAGTCATCAACTACATATTCTAAAGGGTTAAATGCATAGAATAGCAACCTAATTTCATGAATGTCATCCCATTATTTTTTTGCTACAATTACTTTGAAAATACAGTGCCCTAATACAAAATAATTTGAAAGCACATCTCTGTGTCTGTAACAAGGAAAAAATGAATGTACAATGCTATAATAAGAATATTTAGAATATTTGGTGATGACAATTGATGATAATTTCCTTTTCTTTTTTATAGAAATGGTCTTAGATTTGTATATAACTTATGGTCTTATGCTGTACCCTAGAGATGATGGATGGATTGTAAGAAGCACTGAAAGCAAAATCTTCCAACTTTTCTTGTGTCGAAGGCCAAGGTGGTTTAGAGTTCATAATCCACAAGCATGTATGTAGAATACAATCACGAATGCCGCAAATTGATATATATTTAGGTTTGGGTATGTCTTTATGTCCATTGTGCCAGCTCTTCAGTCTTCGACGATGTAGATAAACTCTTTCCAGTGGAATAAGGTATATAAAAGGACTCGAGTTTCTTGGTTGAGCTTTGGTTGGTTGTACAAAATGGTCTTCTGTGATTTAGGGGAATATATGTTGTTTCTAGCTCATGATTATATATGTGTGCCTATAGAAATCTTAGGCAAATTAAACATTATTCTTGGTTTATGTGTCACTCTATGGAAGTGTTGGTGACCACTGTAAATGAACAGAAGAGCCCTGTGCTATTGTTATCAAGGGACTATTTGCAATCATTCTTGGAAAGTGTCAACTTGCTAGCACATGTTTATAGTTCTGTATTTATCATCTGAAACTTCTAGTTCTCACTTATGGGGTTAAGGTAGACCAAGAACCAAATGTTGGACACTAGTTTATTAACCTCAAAGTTATCTCCTGTAGTTTACCAAACGCTTACTGTGTAAGCGCTTAACGGGTGTCACTTACCTTACCGGGTCCCATGTCGATGACCGAGAATCTTACTTTGTACCCGGTAAGAGGCTTAGGAAGGACCAAAAATCTTACCCGATAAGTGAGGGAGAAGACACTTATCCGGTAAGCGCTTACCAATAATCCAATTTTATGCCCGAAAATATTACCTGACAAGGTAAGTGAGAGGGGTGACTCTTTCTGGTAAATGCTTACCTGGTGAACATTTGCTGAACGGCCCCCTTAGTGTCTTTTGCTCTTGCATTTTCTTAAACTCTAACCAATAGTGGTTAATGTTTTTTAATTATGCTAACCAAATTATATTAATCCAGAAAAGAAGCCGGAGGAGAAGCACAAACACAAACATAAACACCACAAGCATGACCGCCGTGTGGTAAGTCCTGTTCTGTGCTTGTCTTGACTTTAAAAGTCCGTCTGTTTCTGAGTCAATTTAGAGTTAAAGAACCCATGTGATAATACATCTACAAAGTACTCCCTCCATTCTAAAATAAATGTCCACAATTAAAAATGCACACTGTTTTAGAGATATATAATTATTACACTTTTTAATCAACTAAATGTATATTTTACCGTTACTAATAGAGGGAGTAATGAAGTGCTTTATCTCGTAACTAAGTGCATAATTGGAAAAGATGCACCAACTTTTGAAAGTGGACACTTATGTTGGGATAAACCGAAATGGAAATGTGGGACCTTATTTTGGGACGGAGGGAGTAACAGGTTTTACAACACAGAATGCATAATAAGATTTAGAAGTAGATTTTATATTCACGATCCATATTTTCAGATATCTAATTTCAAGGAGCTGTCGGATGCTGATTATTTCTTAAAGAACAACGAGTTTTCCACTTGGCTTAAAGACGAGAGAGACACATTCTTCTCGGATCTTTCTTCAGAGTCTGCACGGAAACTATTTGCAGAATTTGTCAACGATTGGAATAACAAAAAGCTTGATTCAAAATTCTACGATGGCATTGTGACAGCGCCACGATCATCCCATAATTGGAAAATCAAAGTCGACACAAAAGGAGATCCTCAAAGAGACCTTTTTTAATCAAAGAGCGATATGTAACCAGGTACAGTTTATCTGAAGCTACTTCTGTATTAAAGTTCGTATTGGTAGGTTCTGGTTGTGAATTCTGGGTTTAGATTCAGAAAATCTAAGTTTGTATTTATGGGATCAATTTGGTTTTGATAATATTGGGTGATGAAGGAAGAAGGTAGAAAACCCATTTTTGGTGAATTTTTTTTTTTTTTCTGTGGATGATCAATTTTGCTTTTCTGGTGGGTATAAATATAATCAGAAGACTTAAAAAGATCCATGTAGCAATTTTTTTTGATTAACCTGGATATCCAACCCGCTAAACGAGCCGACTAATACGACCACCTGCTTTGAACTTTCGTGGCCACATTGAGATTTTTATTTTTTTTGGATTTGAATCTGGGGCCCTCAGGCACTTTTGACCTTTGGAGTCCAAGCTTAAACCAATCGGGCACCACCCTTGGGGTTTGTATGTGTAGCATTGTGTTTAGGGTTTGAGGTTTTTAGAGGGTTTATGTTTTGTGATCTTGAGAAAGGAGGGTGTTGTTTGGTTTTTCAAGGGAATTTGAATGATTAATTCTTTGGATCAAGTTCAAACTTCTTGGTTTGATTTAGTTCTTGAAATTGATGGAATTCTTTAAATTCCTATCAATTCGTTAATTCTTTTGACCAAATCATTCCTTTATATATATATATAGAGAGAGAGAGTTTGTTTCAAATTCACCCCATTGCATTTGTACAACCAATGCAACCCAATATATTGAGATATTTATGGAAATAATGAGAGTTCATTTATTATGATTTGAATATTTATGGAAGATGAATATCGTTCATTAATTATGATCGATATTTTATATTAGGAAACAATAAAAACTTCTATGAAATCACATATTAATCAAATGAAATGGACGGTTGAGATTGTGTTGTATTGGTTGCACAAATGTCAAGGGTTGTATAATAATCAACCTCTCTATATATATAGGTGGGTTATGATACAACTCTTTACATTTGTACAACCAATACAACATAATCTCAACCATCCATTTAATTTGACGAATATGTATTTTATATAATTTCATAAAAGTTCTGATTGTTTCCTAATATAAATTATTGATCATAATTAAATGAACCTTATTTATCTTGCATAAATATTTAAATCATAATAAATGAACTCTAATCATTTCCATAAATATTTCAATTTATTGAGTTGCATTGGTTGTACAAATGTGATAGGTTGCACTTGAAACAAACTTTCTCTCTCTCTCTCTCTCTCTCTCTATATATATATATATATATATATATATATATATGGGGGGGTTTTACGTGAGACCTGTCGGTTTTCATGAGACCTGTGAGATCACTTTGTTACACTTAAAACTTCACAGCAAAATGTTGTGAACGTAAAAAAAAAAGTCGAATATTCACAGCAAAAACACTGTAAAAGTTACCTTTACAACAGTTTCAAGTGTAAAAAAGTGATCTCACGAGTCTTATGAAAACATATTGGTGTCACGTGATCTCAAGTCTTTCTATATATATGGTTTATAAAATATTGAATATTAAAATTTTGAAGCTTTCAATAAACCTACAGAAATCAAGCACGTAAATCAAGTAATCAACGGCATGCAATTCTTAAATTATTTTATTTTTTAAAGGATGGAATTTGAAAATGTTTATTTTCTTAAAATTAATTTAAACTTCTGTTATTAATATTTAATCAAAAAGTTGATTATCAGTAACTTTAATCAACTTCATATGGAGCCCGTCTTTCCAAGGTGGCATTTTTCAGTCCACTCGAAGGCTGAGGTTAACAGGAGGATTATGATCGAACCCAGGACATGTCGTGTATTCGGACAAAATCGCACATACTATTTGCCTGAGTTACACGTCAAATACGTATATTATTAAAATTGTTTATCAAATTAATATAATTTAAAATAATATTCTTAAAATAAATATTTATATATATTTTTCAGCTAAAAATGGAGTTTTTTTTTTCTCATTCAGAGTTTGATTTGATTCTTTTTAATTATTTTTAGAGTAAATAACGTTTTACATTCCTATGATTTATTAAAAATTGTTACTTTTGTCTTTGTGGTTTAGAGATTATGATTTTTGTTTCTATAATTTGTAATTCATTGCTTATTTCGGATTTCTGATTTACGATCTATGCGAAAGATCGTGTTAGAAGGGAAGTTATGGTGAGAAGCGTAAGAAGAGATCTGAACCCTTTTATCACTTGTAGTCTCATACCCACCCATGAATTGCGTATTGGAAGTGAATTGATCTGGTGCACCACATTAGTCTTGACATTCAATTAGGATTGATCCAATGAAGAATTCTCTTCTTACGCTTCTCATTATAACTTCCCTTCTAATCGAAACCTAACTCTTACAATATATCATCGTTTCAGTCTCTATGGTTTACAATTCTTGACTATTTCGGTTCCTTGTACATAAAGGTAGGAATTAGGCGACGTTTGAGATTTGTTTATTTAAAACAACTTGTGTTTTTTTGTAAAAATGTTTATCAACTTATGTGGCATCAAAACAGAATTTTATATAGTGTTTGGATCGACTTATGGCAGTACCAAAATATAATAAGATGATAATCAAATTTTTTTTTTCCATCCAAACACTAAAAACTTCTTATTACTGGTATCACATCAGAATAAGTTAATAAGTAAGAAGTGAGTAACTTATCAAAAACTTCTTATAATCGGTGTCAAACCAGTATAAGTATTTTTTTTAATACAAACATTAAAAACTTATTATTACCAGTATCATACCAGAATAAGTTAATAAACACTTTAAATAATCAATTTCAAACACCTCCTTAATCTAGGACTAAAATTGCAATAAACTATAAATTGTAGGGATGAAAATCATAATTTTTAAACTATAAAGACGAAAATTGAAATTATTAACAAACCACAGGGACTAAAAACATAATTTACTTTTTTTTCGTACTTATTAAAATATAATAATTTAGATATATGTGGAAAAATAGGCATGACGTGTGCGGATCATCATGCTTAAGAAGGAAGTTTACAACATTAAATGTTTGCATTCAAGTTGTTGTGGACAACCTTTTCATTTATGAACACAAATTATTACCTTTTAATTTTTTAATCAGTACATTATGCATAAAAAAAAAATGTATATATCATCTTAAACAATATTAGCATCCGTTTCTTTAAATTTCAACAAACATGTAAATATTTTAATTTTAATCAGATAAAGACGTTACATTGGTATTGGTACTGAATTGAATTACTGATAGTATTTAATATATATACATAGGGTTGGGTTTACGTGAGACAAGACAAGATTGTTTCCGTGACACGTGATTTTTACACTTGAAATTAGGTGAATCTTCATTGCAAAAACACCGTGAAGGTTACCTTTACAGTGCTTTATTGTGAAATTTCAATTGTAAAAATCGTGTCTCACAAAAGCAACTTTGTCTCACATGATCTCAAGTCTATAGGGGGAGGAGGGGGGATAGTGATAAAGTTCACAATGTTTCACGAATATCACAATGTATTTTCTTTATATTATGAAATGTATCATAGTGTGCATTTTCGTTATTTTCATTGCTTTACAAAGGATATCACATCTTGAATCGTGTATGTATATCTAGGTATCATAGTATATATATTGTGTTCATATAAGTTTCATTGGAATAAGGTTCACCGAATAAGATTCGCTAGAAAGAGAAAAGAGGAGAGATGAAAAAGAATATTTATAAAATCCCTTAATTAATATTTTAAGTTAAAATTACCGAAATTATTAATTTCCTAATTTAACATTTAATTTATGATTGAAATTGAATCTCATAGTTACTACAAACTAACTAGTTCTCCTTTAAATAATGATACTATATATAAAAATAATGACTCGTGTACAATTGTAATTGATGGTAATGAAAGGTGTTGTATGTTGATAATAAATGCAAAATAATAAATCATACGCATTGGGTGTTGTACATCTTTTATTGCCATTTAATTTGAAATATATTAAATTAGTTGTGGTATTAAATGCCAAATTAAAAGTCATTAAATGATATCAATGAATTTATATTTCATACGCATTCGCTCTTCTCCCATTTATTTCTTTTCTCCATTCTAATCTAACCTTCTCTTTATTTCGTGAAAATTGTGCTTTTAATTTCATGTTTACCCATGAATTATGTTTTAGAAGGGAATTGATTCGATGTACCTCATCAGTGCTGACATTCAATTAGGATTTATGCAACGATGAAAATCTATTTTTACATTTCTCATCATAATTTCTTTTTTCACTAGAACCCAACTCATATATATACACACACACATACAAACACAAACACACACACACACACACACACACACACACACATATATATATATATATATACATGTGTGTATGTATATATATATAAGAGAGAGAGGATGGGGAGGTTTAAAATATGAACCATGTAATTCTAACAAACCATACAAACGAATCTTAATCGTACATCTAGTCTAATAAATATTTGACTTTATAAATATTTTGATTGTTTCTTAATCTAAAGTCATAATTATAATGAATGAGTTGGGTCAAATTCCAAAAATATCTTGATCATACTGAACTAATAATTATTATTGTTCATAAATATATATATATATATATATATATATATATAGGGTATATTTCTTTTACAACCTTGTGTATCTGTACAATCCTTGCAACCCAATTAATTGAGATATTTATAGAAATGATAGAAGTTCATTTATTATGATTTGATTATTTATGGAATATGAATAGAGTTCATTAATTATGATTAATACTTTATATTAGGAAACAATCAAAACTTCTATGAAATCACATATTCATCAAATGAAATGGACGGTTGAGATTGGATTGTATTGGTTGCACAAATGTCAAATGTTGTATAATAACCAACCTCTCTCTCTCTCTCTCTATATATATATATATATATATATATATTAACCTGGATATCTAGCCCGCTATGCGAGCCGACTAATCACAAGGCAACCACCTGCTTTGCAGATAGCCTGTAGTCAACGCATTTGAACCTCTGTGGCCATAAAATGATTTTTATTCCTCATTGTATTTGAACCTGTGACCTCCAGGTACTTTTGATATTTGAAGCAAAGCTCAAACCAATCAGGCACCACCCTATGGTTAAATATCTGTATTATTTCTAATATAAACATTGGTTATGGCTTAAATGGTTTGTATATTTCTCTCTTCTCTATCTCTCCGTCTCTGTCTTTATATACATATATAGACGTGGATCACGTGAGACTAGCATGTTTTTGTGAGACCCGTAAGACCATTTTTTTATACTTGAAACTTCACAGCAAAATACTGTGAAGGTAAAAAATATCCACTTTGTATTACTTTGACTTAACATATTATTTATTAATAACTATATATTCTTTACTCACATTGCGTCCTTGATGACATGTTCCGTTTGATACCAGTTAAAATTATAGGTAATGAACTTTAAGTCCAAACATTTTTTTAAACATTTATATTACAATTAATTTCATTAATATTTTTGTGATAATAAATAAATTTTGAAAAATAAGATATTGTATTTTTTTTAAAGACGGAATGGAGCAATAAATATCATTAAATTCTTGGTCATGTCTCAATTTATTAAACTTAATATTTTTAAGATTTGGAGACATTAAGTTGATTATTTATTTCACTTTATATTAATGACATTAAAGTAGGGATAGAGATTAATTTACTTTAATGAAATATTTATGATAGAATATTTATATTTTAAATATGATTAAATAATTACATTTAAATATATTTATTAAAATTGTTTTTTAAAATAATAATAATTAATTTGAAAATATAAAGATATTTATATTAAATTAATATTTAATAAAAAAATATGACAAATTGTATGAAAAAGTAACGTACCTTAACTTGATTCATATTTTTTCATAACGTCTTTCAAAACTTTCATTTTGGTATTTAAGATGTGAAATTTTAAATATTTAAGTTCTCGGGTAACCGGTTGATGTCGCGAGTAATATGGTATCCAACTCAATGTTATTTGTTATTCAACCCAATTTCATCTCATCACTCACCACATCAGCATGGTAACCGGTTAATGCTTCAACTTGTTACCTGGGTACTTAAATGTTTAAAACTTTACATTTTAGGTATCAAAATGGAAATTTTGAAAGACGTCACCTAAAATAGGAATCAAAGTTAAAGTACTTTACTTTTCATGCAAATTTGCCATAAAAAATATAAACAACTTTCGACTAGATTGCTTCATTCGACTTCTCGTTTTCCTTTCCATCAACGATCGTTCATTTAAGGAATTTTATTGATACTGAAAGTTGAATAAAAAATGGTTATAGCTTGTATTTGGAAATTTTAACCTGTTTACTTTCGGTTTTTTGTTATTTTGATTAAGTGAGCGGTTTTTAAATGTATTTCTCATGTTAACATACGATAAAGTTGTAACGATGGGTTTCAAGCCATTTGTATATAAATGGCGTTAAATGCTTATTTCACGATTGAAACATGTTACGTAACCACTATCTAACAACATAAATACACCCACAATTTGTTGGATGGCTATCGTAAACAATTACGACAGCTACGAAAACAACTGAAAACCGATCTTCTAATGATAATCTTGATGTTGGAATAGTATATATAGGCTAATGAACAGTATATCCATGTGTTATACGCCGATAAAATTGACGAGTTGTTTGGTTCAGACTGAGAAATGAAAATGAAAATAAAAATTACAGTTAATGAAAATAAGAAAGAATTTTCATTCCCCCCATTCAACTCAGAGTGAATTTTTTTGACTTATGTGATAATTGATTCCATTATATTATATAAAACCAAACAATTTCTTTAATTGATTACTGTTTAATACCTCTAACCAAAAAACCCTTGAGTATAATCGTATGTGTTAAAGGTAGTTTACAGTGCTTTTATTAAGCACTGTATATATTAAGCTAAATTGTTGTTTGTTTGTTGTGGTGAATAAGTTATCTGAATGACTTAAAAGACCATGTTACTCTTATTGTAACATCCAATTAAACCTTCAACGGTATCCAAAATCATCCATTAAACCCTGAACCTAAAACCCTTTAACAGGACCGTTATCCAACAAATAAAGGTACTTAAGAGTTCATAAATAACCCAATATAGAACACTTAACTGAACCACAACCCACAAAAATTGAAATATAGTAGAAGAGAATAATCAACATCAAAAAAACGATCCCCTTCAAACGACTGTGCACCAGACCCATCCATTGAATTATTATGTCTAAGGCGAAACCCGCCACCACCAAACTTCTTCGGCTTACCAACAAAGCTCAACCCTAACCTATCGAAGAAATAAACCCCCACATACAGACTTTTGATATCCTTGGTGGGCCAAGCGGGCTAGTTCCCATTAATTTAACCACCATCAAATCTCACTGACAGTAGCAAAAAAAACGAAACCCTAGAAGCAGTTAACCTTGATCTCTCAACTTTTAACAAAATGTGTTTGTCTTTTTAGTGAAATGAAGAGGGATGAGATGGAGCAACGAGGGAGATAGAAGAATGATAAACCGTGAATTGATATTTTCCTTAAACCCACAGTTACACCTACGTGAGGGGGGATGACTGATGAGATGAAAAGCATCAAAGAAGAATGAGAGAAAGGAGTAGGATTTGGAAAAGTGTTGGCTTAATAGATTAAGCTCACCTCATGAGCTGATCGAATAAGCCACCAGTTTAACAATAATAGCAATTAAGCCATACACAAACATTCATGACTCATGTACGACTTACCAAATAAGCCATACATATCACACAACCCATTATATCATTACCAAACAACATCTTACTCTTGTCAAATCATTTTCAGTTATAAGAAATTCAGTTAGCTCATATCGTCTTAGTATGTTACAGTCTTTTAGTACATGTTATATAACATAATACAGTCTTTTAGCTTGAATGCAACTTCACAAACCTTTAACTGACCTTGACAACACACTTAAACCTATAACATTTCAGGATCACATCCAATGTTTTAACAAATTGAGTTACCCCTTAGAAGTAGCACAACATATCTTTAGAAATAATCCGTTTCAAGTTTATCTAATTTTCATTTTAATGTTATTTTAGACATTTATTTATACATACATACATACATATATATGTGGTTGGTTCATGTGAGACCGGTCTATTTCGTGAGACCATTTTTTTACACTTGAAATTTCACAGCAAAATGTTGTGAAGGTAAAAAAAAGCTCAACCTTCACAATAAAAACACTGTGAAGGTTACTTTAACACCGTTTTGCTGTGAAATTTCGAATGCAAAAAAAGGTGTCTCACGAGTCTCATGTTGGTCTTACGTGATCCCAAGTATGTATATATATGAACGATCAAATGCAAATCACCCATATTTGTATAAACTGTGCAAAACATCCACATACGTAGATTTCATTGTTTAATCTTATGAAATTATTCATGAAATCGTTTCATATAATATATATTTTTTTTTGATGAAGTTGTTTCATATATGATTATGAAATTGTTTCATATAATACTTATGAAAATTTAATGAAACTGTTTCATGTATTTTTCTAAAATTAATATAATGAAAATGATGATATTCATGATTAACACTCTTCACAATAAAAAAAAGATTAATCAATCTTTCATAATTACAAAAAAAAACGAACAAAATAAAAAATTATGATTAATTAAATGAAGGTTGTACGATTTATACAAATAATATGGTTTGTTTTTATATAAATAATAATAAAATAATGGATGTAATTAAATGGTGAATAAAAAACATAAATTAGATATTGAATGGATGGAGAGTAGATAAAATATTTGATTAATATTGATTATTAATACGAGGGAGAAGGTATTCATTAATTGCAAATTTACTCTCGCAATTATTATGGTCTTCTCTTCTCCACCCTCCTCCCCACTCCCCCTATTCCTATTCCTATTCCTATATACACACATGTAACGGACTCCATTATTCATTCCCCAATTTTCACACACTCCTCTCTCTCTCTCTCTCTCTTTGCTTACGAACAATCCTGGAAATACCATGGTCACCGACGTAACTTATCTCTGTTCCGTAATGAACCAACAGCAAGGGATGATGACTGATTCTAAATCAACGGCTCTTATTACTCGTGACTTGCTCGGAGGAGGAGGAGGCCGTGGTGGTGGTGGTGGTGGTTGTGACCTCGATTCCTCCAAAGAATTGGACCTCGATTTACATGTTCCTTCCGGCTATGAAAAGCGTCTCGACTTGAAGGTATATCTAATTTCCTGATTTCACATCTGTTTTTGCTTAATTTGCTTCAATTTTAAGTTATGATTCTTTTTAGTTTGATTGATCGTCGATGAATTATCCTTCGATTCATCTGTTGATTGTACGAGTTCTATGATAATTTCGTTGATTTGAATTCAGATCGGGTTTAATTCACTTACGGATGACCTAATTTTAGTAGACTTCGATTAGGTTTAGATATCTGTATTTGTGTCGTTTGAACGACGATGATCGTTTCGTTGATTTTCGAGTTTTTTTTTGTAGTAATTCAATTCTAGGTGCATGTATCAACGAATTCCGATGAGCAATTAATGATACAGTCTCAAATTTATTATCATAAAAGCGTTTGCAAAGTGTAGTTCGTAATTTATGGGGGCAGATTGTTAGGAAGGCAACATTAATGGCGGCCATTGATGCGTACTTGTTTCTGATGCAGTTATAACTTCGTAATTATCCATTAATGTCAAATATATTTTCATTTTTGTAATTGTATGTTCTCTGTTCTGATTGAACTGAATTGAATCAAAAGCCCTAATTGGAATTAATCTCTGTTATGAATTCAGTCTGGGAAGGTTTACCTCCAGAGATGCAAATCACCAAACACATCGTCTTCATCATCCGATCAGAAACAGGAGAGCAACGATCAAACGGTTTCCAAGCTTCAAGACCTCAACTTCCCACCATCATCAAAGAAGCAATTAAACCTCTTTGATGACAGCAGTTTAGATCTCAACCTTGTCAATTTATCATCTTCTCCACCAGCTTACAGAAGTGTTTGCACTTTGGACAAAGTTAAATTCGCACTCGAACGAGCTGAACGAGAAACGGTCAAGAAACGATCAATTTCAATGTCGAAATCATGCTCATCTCCGACCTCGAATTCATCATCTTCCATTAAAGAAACGATAGTCAACGATGATGATGATCACGATGAACGATCTTCTCAAGCTTACGCCGCTGGTTGTCCTAGTTGCTTGTTGTACGTTCTTATATCTCGAAGCAACCCTCGATGTCCTCGTTGCAACATGACGGTTCCATCCCCGACCGCAATGAAGAAACCCCGAATCGATCTTAACATCTCAATATGAATTAGTAATTTGGGGTTTCGTTAATTTTACTGAAAAATTCATAAAATTCTTGTAAATGATAATAGCTAAAAAACAGGGGAAAATAGTTTTGATTTAGTGAAAGAAAATCCTCTATGTACACATTATGAAGGATTTCTTTTTATTTCTATATGTTTTTTAGATTAAAATCCTCATCTTAAAATTATCATCGTCACTTAGGGTGTGTTTGGTGTCTAGACAGGACATGACAATATAAAACAATTGTTCAATGTTTGGTATGATAAAATTAGACATAACAAAACAAGTAAAATGATCAATTTAAGCTGTTTATTTTAATTAATATATATAATTTATTAAATTATAATAGAATAATTATTTTTTATAATAAAATATATCATTAAAAAATTTCATCAAAGCAATTAAAATGACATTAAATAAAAAATTTATGTAATGTCTTATATGTTCAGTATACCAAAGACACCCTAACTTTGAGTTATGAGTTACGAACATTTGAAAAAAAAGCGATATGTCAACCACCCTTATATTTAACTCTTTGGTTTTCACACCTGAAGAGTAATGAAAACATGGGAAGGATTCACAACCCATCCATACTTTTCTTTAAAACAATTGAATGCTTTGCATTTGATTTTGTGGGACAATGTTGAAATTTCGTATCTTTATCTTGTTATCTATTGTTTATGTCATTATACTCTTTTGAAATTAAGGTCCCGTGTATTAAATATTAATGTTAGTAAGCGTTTATCGGTTCATTTACTTTACTGGATGAATATAATAAGAATCGATAATTATATCGGGTAAGAAGGAAGACAGAGATCGATATCCTTATTTGATAAGTGAGAGTGATGACTATTATCCAGGTTATAAACGCTTATCATCAATTTATTCTAATGGTTGGTAATGTTATCACATAAGGTAAGTGAAAGTGGTGGTACTTGCCGGTAAGTGTTTACCTGATAAGTGTTTTGTTAAACAGTTTCTATCAAATGAACTTAGTATATTTCACTCGAAAGTAGAAGGTGGGAAAGATAGGATGTAAGCAGGTATTACATTATTTCTTAGGATTGAAAGGTGGTTTTGGTGAAGACTCTTGGCTTTTTTTTTCCTTGATGGAAGGTGTATGCAAGTAGAAAATAAGGTAGATGATATAGTATTTAGGAGCAACGGGGCCGGACTATTAAGCCTCGAGCAAAGTCCTGTACACCCGATCAACCTATTATCAAAAGCATATTTTGGAGTATGAAAGGTGGAATGTTAAATTTTGAATGGTGCTTCCGGAATATTAGAAAATACAAAAAAAAAATCAATTAAAAAGTTTATTGAAATCAACCCAGAAACTTAAAAAGTCCCTTGAAACGGTGGAGTTCAACAAAAACACAACAGGCGGCTTTACAGGGCGTTGATTCACCTTAAAGGTGCACCCGCTATGAGTAAAAATCTTGAGTCCGCCACTAAGGGAAAGTTCATTTAGGAACTTCAAATATTTTGAGAATTCAAGAACCACCTATTTTGCATACTATTCACGATGAATGTCAAATATTCATTATGAATAATCTTCATTATTAATGAAGATAATTCATCAGGAATACTATATAAAACAAGTGATTACTGATATATTACAACCGTTTAGAATTTTTTTTAATAATAAATAGATAGAAAAACTCTTTTTTTATAGGAGATGAATAGTAAATGTGAGTTTTATTATGTATAAAATATTAGATGCATTGTATGTATAGAATGCATTGCATAAAAATGTCAAAGTAGAGATGGAATGGAAGCTTAAGAAATGGTCAAACGGTGACGTTGGAGCTGGAAATTGTGTAACTGAATTTATTCCACTTTTTGCACTTCATCATTCCAGATATCATCTTCTCTTTTTCAAGTCAAATTTTACATTTTCTCGCTAAAATACGTTTTCCCTTTAAATACAATATATATATATATATATATATATATATATAAAGAGTGTGGTTGGTTATTATATAACCCTTGACATTTGTGCAACCAATACAATTCAATCTCAACCGTCCATTTCATTTGATTAATATATGATTTCATAGAAGTTTTGATTGTTTTCTAATATAAAATATTGATCATAATTAATGAACCATATTCATCTTCCATAAATATTCAAATCATAATAAATAAACTCTCATCATTTTCATAAATATCTCAATTTATTGTGTTGCATTAGTTGTACAAATGCGACGAGTTGTATTTAAAACAAACTCTCTCTCTCTCTCTCTCTATATATATATATATAGAGAGAGAGAGAGAGACGAAGTTTCAAATGCAACCCATCACATTTGTACAGCCAATGCAACCCAATTAATTGAGATATTTATGAAAATGATGAAAATTTATTTATTATAATTTGAACATATATGAAATATAACTAGGGTTCATTAGTTATGATCAATACTTTATATTAAAAAACAATCTGAACTTTAATGAAATCACATATTAATCAAATTAAATGGACGGTTGATATTGAGTTGTATTGGTTGTACAAATGTAAATGATTGCATAATAAGTATATCTCTTTATGATAATCTTCCATAAATACCCAAATCATAATAAATAAACTTTTAGTATTTATATAAATACTTCAATTAATTAATAATAATTGAGTTGGTAAAAGATCTCACTTATATATACATACTCTTTCTAGATTAGACTAAACAAAACGATATTTGATTGCAATTGGTAAGCTTAGCTTTATTCTATTTATGATTTAATTGCATATTTCAGACCGTTTATCAAACACTTACCTTGTAAGTACTTATCGGTAAAATTTAACACTATTATTTACTTACCGGGTAAGATTTTAGTCCACTAAAACAACATCGTATGCAACAATTTACCTGGTAAGTGCTTACAGTGGTAAGAGTCGTCGACTTCACTTACCGGGTAAGATTCATGGTCCTTGTCTCGCTCTTATCGGATAAGATTTTTGTTCCTTACCATATTCATCCGGTGAGGTAACATGACCTAGTAAGCACTTACCCAAGTAAGTGTTTGGTAAACGACCCCTAGTTAACAAAAAAAGATACATAAAGAGAGCCAATTACCCATATCATCTCCATTTAAAATCAAACTATTGGATCATTGACGACATCTTTCTAAATCGAAACGTGACATTGAATGCTATGCAATAAGAAAATAAGTTGCACATTCTCCACTAGCAATTGATTTTGGCGTAGTGACAAGCGCTTGGATCTTAACATGTGGTATCTGAGCATCACATGTTCGAATCCTATGAGATGCATAATAATACCAAAGACATGTTGTGCAACCATTGCCTTATAGCGAATATCTTGTTAGTTCTGGCAGATGTTGGAGGGGGGGGATTGTTGGGTCAATGACCAACATCTTTCTAAATCGAAACGTGGCACTAATTGCTATGATATAAGAAAATAAGTTATGCTTTCTCCATAAGTAATTGCTTTTGGCGTAATGGTAAGCGCTTGGATCACAACACAAACCAAATAAATTCAATATACTTCATCTGGGAAGGAGGCTTCACAAAACCATATTATATCAGCTATTTCTTTCTAAACAAAACAAGTATCAGAGTTTCACAACATACTTAGTAATCGTCTTGAAAGTTTCACATATACCATTTTCATTGAACGTTCGGTACATGGTGTTGTGTTTATTCAGTTTGGTCTCGATGTTTAATCCATACCTCAAAGCAACCAGTATATCTTATTTATTACTGTGGTCTCTTTTTTTTTTATAGAATAAATGCTCTTAATTGGCCCGCTCTCTGTACTTTCAGCATATTCATGTCTTGTGCAACCCCAACTTGTCATCTAATCGTGCCTTCTGGTTATTTTTACCAACGAGCAATTTTATTAAAGTTATAATTGAAAAGTATTCACTTACTTTTAAAATAAAAAAGAGCTGTTTTAAGACCAACGAATTATTGAATAAGCACAACTGGTATTCATCAAATCCAAAGTTTATCTCATATGAAACCAGATAAACAAATAAATAAATTCACATATTCAAATCCAAAAAGAAATAAAAAATCTCTTTGTTGCCACAAAGGTTCAAATACGATGACTCTGGATTACCTGCAAAGCGGGTGGCCTCTAAAATTAGTCGGCTCGCATAACGAGTTGGATATTCAGTATAATTAAAAAAAATCCATAAAAAACAAACTCTAAAATGTATTAATTATTGAAGGTACCAACTCCACTAGACATTACCTCTTAAAATCAAAGTCAAATCATTCATTAAATGCCATAATTTGCATTAACTCTTTAATAATGGATCAAATGTTGTAAAACATGCATAAACATGTTGTACATTTACACATTCACATTAAAGAAAATAATACCTATTTAATCAATAAAGATTCTTCATTAATAATTAATTACACAAAATGATATTTGTGCATAGAGGTTAATTACAATTCTAACCTTTTATAATAATTTAATTCAACAAAATAACCCAAAAATTACAAAAGTAAAAAAAAAAAATCCACATGATTCATAGTTTTGCCCACCACCCCGTACAATTTCAGGTATTGACGTGAAGCCAAATCTGTAAGAGACGTCAATACCTGAGATTGCATGGGGCGACGTGAATTCCATTTTTTTCTTCAGTTTTTATTTTTATGGGTTATTTTGTTAAATTAAATTATTATAAAAGGTAGAGATGGAATACAAATTGACTGGATCAACAATAGTGGAGGGTTCAAAAGAATTTTATATTTAAAACTTTAATGGACTGGAGATGTTTCACTCTATCGGGAATAAAAAAGCTCAGGGGACAAGGCCCCTATGATGACCCGCCCTTGATAAAATGTCAGATTTGTAATTAACCCGATCACATAGAGGTTAATTACAAATCTAATCTTTAACATAATTTAATTTAACAAAATATATATTTAAAAACACCGAACAGAATTCCCACCATCTCATATGATCTCGGATATGAGTGCAAGGCGGTTCAAACCCTGTCAGCTACAACTAGGGGTAGGTTTTGTCTGATAATATGGGTCATCTTGCACTGTTATCCGAGATCCCATGGAATGATTGGAATTCAATGGTTTTTTTTTAAATGTATATATATGGATTAATTTATTAAATTAAATCATTATGAAAGGTTAAATTTGTAATTAACCAGGTAGCATAGGCAC